CAAGTTTCATTTGTGGAAACACTTAAAGAGTGTGGTTTATTGAGGACATGTTGCAAATTCGGCAGCCTTGAAAGAACAATATCACATTGCATGTGAAAAACGTCATCAGAAAGCAATTATGGTTGGCCATTGAATACACTGTTCATCACCTTTAGGTTTTACGCCTTCAGAATGGAAATCACATTTTTTTTTTAAATAAAGGGATATTGAACTGACCTTTTGCACATTTCCAGCAATTCAGTATAAATGAGAAGCAAACGTTTTTGGTCTTTTTCGTGGGCCAGCATCAGGTTTTTAATGGAGAGTTTTTAGCCAAGCTTTTTAGAACACTTTTGCTTTTCCCTTCAAAAGTGTTCTAAAAAGTTTGGCTAAAAATTCTAATTATGTTTCTTTTAGTTATACATCTTTTTGATCTGGTTTCTTATGAAATAGTTAGACTTCTCGTCTAACTATTTCTTTGTCGTTTCTTGAGAAAAGCTGATAGATTCAATATTAGGAGCATGTAATCGATTTTCATCTTCTGGAAATATCACTTTAACAAGGTGGATTCATTTTAATTGCAAAGTTATCCTTACCTATGTAGCCCATATGCATCCAGGGCCATGTTTATGTATAGTGAAGTCCCTGAGTCAAAATGCCAAGTTTTTTTTTTTTTAACAGCTATCATTTAAGACAATGTCCTAATCCACAGTTTATCTAGCTTATATAGAAAATTGACACAGTATATGTCATATTCTACATACAGTCCATGTGTGTTTAATCGTTGATATATTATTTAACAGTTAATATAAATATATATAAATCATTATAATAATTAAAGGAATTATTTTATTTATAGATTTATACAGAGTTTGTTCAGTGGCAACAACAGCAGCAGCAACAGCAAGTAGCTGCTCAGTCTTTAACACAACCTGCAATTGGTTATCAAAGTAAGTTGTATGAATTTGATTACAAATATTATTAATTAAAAATGAAACACTTAACTTATTTAAATTAATATTCTTAATATTTACTTTAAATAAATAATTTACATATTTAAAATCTAATCCAGAATTATCATATATGCCGGCATATATGTTGACTTTCTAAGCTTGAAAAATCATTCCAACATTAGGGATTAGCTTATATGATGGGTATAAAATGTAGATCTTTACCACAGAATGGTAAACAAGTAAAACAGAGTTACTAACAATTGCTGTGCATCACTTATGTAATTACAGCAGGCTACCACATATATTTCTTAATAATACTTGTATTTGATGAACTTACTTAAATTGTAGAAATAAACACTGTATCACAAGTTGTTTCCAACAATTGATGTACTGTATACTACTGATGCAAATGAAGAGCACATAAAAAGAAATACTACCATGTTATATCATTATATCGTCATACATCATACATAATGGCTCTGCCATGTTGTTAATATTTTATTGAAGTTGTTGATTTTGTGTAGCTCAGATGTGTTAATTGATAAATGTAAAGTACAGTATAATAATTATCAATGTAACTTTCTGAATATTTTTATTAGTTACTTGATGCCATATGTAGATTCTTTTGCTGACTTCTATTTTTGTATGGGCCATAACCGGTTCAATTTCTTTTGATTATGGGGACCCACAGTCGGTGAAGAAGTTGCTAAAGAGTTTAACCGGCTGTATGTGATTGGTGGGAAGTCTGGATGCAGCCTGTTAAACTCTTTGGTGACTTCTCATTGACTACCAATCCCCAACAATAAAATAACTTGAATTTGTTTCTCCTTACTCAGCATTATGCTTTACTTCTCTGGTTCTAGATTTATGGGACATGCTGTATATCATACATTGAAAAGTCTTAAAGAAATTGGTCTGGTCTTTTGATATTCTTGCCATAAGTTTAGAGGTGATTTATATGATTATAGGTCTAAACAAGCTGAAAATTATAAAGTTGACTTTATGCTGGCATAAATGGTATTCAAAGTAATACCATAAACAATTAAGAGAGTTTAGCTTTAGCTATTCTCTTTATATATATGGTTCAGGTGGTCTGAATCACGTGTGTTTTCTTGAAAACTATTTTTTGTAGAAGATTGGGAAAAAATTTTTTAGTTAGAACCCATGTGAAAAATAAATTGGTGAAATTGGCATTAATTTAGAACCCAGCAGAAATAGGACCACCCAAGCCTGATTCTGATTTTCATATTGGAATAAATTGAGTTGGGTGTCATTGGATTGAGCTTCTCATATGAAACAACTTTTGTTTAAAAAAATTTTTTTTATCATTTACAATAAACCAAACCTTTTGTAATAAACAGTCTATATATATATATATATATGGACATGTATGTCCCTATATTTCACTTTTCTGCCAAAACTACACATCACACGTGAATGGTGTTTGTATGTGGTGGTAGCCCCAAGTCTCCATTCGTGCATAGGGGTGGTTGCGTCTTGATAGCTATAAGGGTGCGGGAGATATGAGGCTGAAAGTGGTTGAAAGTGGCTTTCTATTTCGAATGTTTTGTTTGAATTTGTTTGAATTTAATTCGAACATAAAATTCGAATATTGGTTCGATTATAAAACGATTGTAAATGTTCCACGTTTTGTAAATGTTCAACGATTGTAAACGTTGAAAATAGTTCATTTGACTTGACGTGAACAGGAGATGTTCAGAAATAGAATCGGGACCAGGTCTCTAATTAGTCTGGAAACGGGGGACCTAATTCTTGCATTATGTGAAAATGGGTAATATTGGCTATAATGTAATTATCTTAATTTTCACTATCGTTACTTTTTAAAAACCCAGTAAAGCGGGTCCTTGCAGCTAGTTAAAAATAAAGTTGTTGATGTGAACTGACTGACAGATATTTAAAGTGTCCTCCATTTTGTTCTAAAAATTTTAAAAGTCTTCTTTAGAAAGCATAAGCATCTTGTGCATGAAAAATCTCAGCTTTCATGTGGAGACCTGCATGCTAGCTTGATATGTGTTTTCGAGTCTTCATATGTTGTAGGATGCTTTTGATACACAATATCTTTAATCCTTTTCCATTAGTCCATGCATGTTAAATTAGACAATCATAGTGGCCGTGATATTGGGCCACCTCTTCCATTTAACTTGTGGGGAAACTTCAAGTGCAGAATTTGATGAACAATCCAGGAAAATTGTGGATGTTACATTATTCTGGAACCACATTGTCTGTGTAATTGCCAGTGACAATAGTAACAAGAAAATCTGTATAATGTTGTCCATTCAAAGACATTTTATAAAGTAAGGATCAATTATTTGATCTCTAGTAATACCATACCAGGTGTTAAGATTTCACATGTTCTGATTGACCATTTCTCTAAGTCAGTTCAGATTTTCTGCTGCCAAATAATGGACATTGTGGATATTGGCATTCCCCCCATTGCTTTTAAATATTGCTTCATCAGACCACAGAACTTGGAAGTGGAAAAGCAGATTTCTGTTCAACATCTAGAGACAGAACTCAATGCAGTTTTGAAGGGATCAATGTTGCAAAGTACTTGAAGCAATGTGATGTGAAATGGATTCATTTTATCGTTTTTCAAAATTTTCTAAACATTCAAATGACTCGTATCAGAATCCAAAGATGTTCTTTGAATGAATTATGAGGGTTAACCGTGAGAACTGCAGTGAGAACACTGCTGCTCATTCATCTTGGGCATGCTATGTAATTTGTTGATTGCAGTTATGCTGTAGTTGAATATGAAGATATGCATACACAGATCATTAAGCATGTGATTCATGACAGGCATAATGAGTTAGATCTGGATATCTTAGGGTATAGACACATTCCACAGCATAAAATTTTCTCTACATTCACCCAATATCATTAACGTGTTGAAAGTGTCTTCATTGTATGGCAAGACTTTTTATAAAAAAGGAATTAAAAATTATATTTACATATGATCTTCATTAATTATATTTTAATAATACAGTGGGTGGTCGGATAATGAACACTTTCACAAAAGATTTTTATGATCGGACAACAAACACTTCACTGAACAAACACAAGAATAAGCAACGTAAAATAACGAATACCAATTGGTCTTCCTTTGTCTTCAGGCAAAATTTGAAACTTTTCGGAGTGCGGGAGACATCAACGTTCTACCCAATATATACTGATCGAATAGTATTCCCCCGAACTTTGAAACTCTCCCTTGTAAGTCCAGCCTTTTATATTTCTGACAGAAACAATTCTTTTACATTTTCTTCTGAAAATGCAGATTTATGCCAATATCTGCTATTAAAGATCTTTTGAAGAAGTGGGAGGATGTCAGAACAACGGTCTTAAAGTGGCATCCAAATCAGGTTGAGGTTAATAGGCATAGGGATCTCTACAATTACAATGCTATTAATTACTTCTGAAAAATCGTGAAGAAGACAGAAAAGCAATTGACATTGGACAGATTCTTTAACCCCCACAAACGGAAAAAACATGACTAATAAAAATGCAAGACCGTGTATATGTGTATTTTTATTATTACATATGAATAAACGTAGTAAGAAAGTATAGACTATATTTTTTATTTTTGGGGGTCCCCAGAACGAATTAATCAAATTCCCATAGAAACCTACGGTAAATCGATAATCGGTTAACGAACAATTCAGTTGTGAACAAAGTCTTGGAGCAGATTATGTTCGTTAACCGATTAAATAGCAATTTCAATTTATTAATTTTTTTTTTATATATTATTTATTTTTAACTTTATTTTAATATTGTTTTTTTTTATATATGTTTAGTTGTTCCTTCTAATATAGCAGTAAGCACTGCCAACGTACCTGTCTCACAAACAGTATCATCTAGTATTCCTATTTCAGCAGTTTTCTCTCAAGGTAAATATAAAATGTGTTATAATGAATAAATTAATATATTGTTTTTTAATTTAGTACATTTTAATGAGTATATTAATTAGTTATTAAAACGTGTATTTGTCCTAATTAAGATAATGTAAGAAATAAATTATATCAAAGTTTACTAATCCTGATTTAATAGCAGTTTGTTAAAATGTTCTTGTTTACTAGATGAAACATTCAAAACATGCTTCATGTATGAATATTAGCGCTTGTCGGTTTATAGTTTGCATGTAGGAGGAGCCCTTATGGCCATAAATAATGTGGCATTGTCGTTATTTGGAATAAAACATTTTTTTATATATTATAATAATTATAATAAAATATTTTAGAATTAATCGTACTACACCCGATAAACCAATTCACTCCATTTTAATACAATACAAAGAATGAGAATTTGTTAAAATTTAATTTATTAGATACTTTTGAGATAACAAATTCTTAATGTTTTAAATAAAACTTTTATACTGTATATTATCACAAGAAACTGATAGTTATGTCTGTATTTGGTTAAATTAAATTTAATTACTAAAATGTATTGTTCATTTAATGATATGATTTTATTGTGTATATTATTTTTATTTCAGAATTTTATATGTAATTATTGTTACATGTCATGTAACAATAATTGCTATTATAAGTGTATAAGTAAGTAAGTACCAGTATTTTACAAATGTGTAATATTCAAAATATATAATAGCTTATACGGTTGAATCTCTTTTAACAGATTGTAGAACAGATTTTTTTTCCCTCAGATCCCAACAAATCAATGTCATTTTACCTCATTTTGGTAGCAACGTAACTCAGAATAATGGATTTTTTATAGCTCCATCTATTGTAAACTTTGTATTTTTTCAATGTTTAGTTAATGTTTGGGTGTTTCCAGAAATTTGTAGAGTTTGACAATGCACTTGTTACATCTGGTATATGTACAATTGAATAATTGTACAAAGAGAGTTAGCAGGCTGATAGGATTGAGCAGGGGAGCCACGTAGTGAATATTTTGATGCTGGTTCAAGTATAGTGCCGAAATTTAGTGAGGCCATTGAGTCTTTCCAAGTTGTGAAGACCTTCCTGATGAGTTTCAGCATAAACTATCAGGTTGTGCTGTACACGACATTGCTAATATCAAGCAGTTGTTATATTCAATAGGCAGAAAAGCAGCATCAAAACAAAACAAGATGGACGAGTGTCATACACACACAAGGCATAATATATGATCTTGTAATATACGTGTTTTTATAGAATAAAGAATAGAGATCTCGAGACTGAATAATTTTAAATACAGGTATTTGTTATATGTAGGGGTTAATATTTCAGATTAATTTTTAAGAGGATTACAGTGTAATTAGAGGATGCACAGTATGTAACAAAGTAAACTTCATTATGTAGCACAGTTCAAATTTGTTTGTTCTAAACTGTTTTGTAAAGAGATTTGAATTTTGATTTAAACACAAATGTTATATAAAAGGTGGCCATAATTAAAGTTTTCCTATTGAAATTTTGGCATCAGTCTGTGTATTGGTTACAACTACAGAGTGTCCTGAATAGAGAAACTTAGATGAAATAAGTACTAAAAAATCCTGTTAACATTTTTTATTTTTCAACGAAATATCTACCTCCATTGATGCATTTTTGCCATTGTTTCAGCAATTCAAAGATAGTTCTATGACCCCTCGTTTGTTGTACAGTATATTGCTGCTTGCTAACTGTCATAATATGGATGATGTGCAAGCCGCAATGTGTAATTTTATACTAATCTATCGCTTATGAGTTGTTCTTTCTAACAGTTCTTCACAAAAACAAGTAAGTACTGGTCTGAAGATGCTAAATTGTTACTGTAGGAGATGAGAAAGAATCTCCTAGCTATTGGATACTAGAAAATATGGTGGGTTATTGTGTGATAGAATGACTTTCATGATGGTTCTCTTGCAATGCAGTGCTTAATGAAGATTTTTTTCAGTTGTATTTGGCTCTTTTGACTAAGAGGGTCTTTTTACATATCCATTGTGGATTCAGCTAGACTGACAATAGGGATAACTATTTGGTGAGGGATGGAGCCCAACATATCTGGGACAGATCACCCACAAAAATTCCTGGGATTGCTCAACTAGATTCGATCCGGGAATCTCCAGAATGGTGACTCTGGGGCTCTCTAGAATCCAGGTGGAGGCCCTGGCTGACAACTGCCTTGGCCATCCAACTGTCAAGACTTTGATATTGATCGGCATTGATCTTTTCTCCATATTCCAGAAAATATACTTTTAGCATTTTTAGGTGTTCCATAAAACTGTTTGCTAATGTCCCTATTTCCAGCTTTAAAGTATCAGAATCATCTTTATAGACTAATTATGCTGCAATTTGAAGATCTGTACACTTTTGAAGACATTTATGAATCCTGAATACCAGAATAATATTCTTCACAAGAAATTCTGTGACTCTGCTGAGTAAAAAAAAAATGTACTATAGTTGGTCATCATCTTCCTAATGTCCCAGGACCATTTGCTAGCCTACAGACATCCAACTTAATTTAAAAGTTTGTCAAAAGAGAGGAATAAAGATTGTATAAATAAATCTAAAATATTTCTGAGTATTTCATGGTAATTCAAATTGATCGTTATTTTTGATACAATACTTATACAATAAATAAGTATTACTGAAAGTTATTGAAAATAGTTGCTTTTTTTATTTATTGATAATTGTTTATTTAGTATCAATATATTATTATTTCAGGAATGACTCTACCTGTTGCATCTCTTCCTAACATTATTCAAACATCTATTAGCCTTCCAGTTTATACAGGTTCATCAATAGCTCCCATTCCTCAAGTTTTAAATACAACACCAGGTAAATATTTACTTAGATATTATATATTTTTCTTATCTATTCTTATTAAAATGAATTGTTTTCAGGTATTATAGCTTCTGAAGGTCACGGAACAATTGCATATCCGGCAGCCTATCTAACAAGTCCGTTACCCGCCGCATCCGTAACACCCACATCAGCTCTTCTGACATCACCAGTGTTCACTTCTACAGTTACCTCTAATGCAGTTTCTGTGCCTTTAGTGGTTAGTCAACAAATACCGGTTCTCTCGCAAGCTGCTCTTTATACTCAGTTTTCGTCGGATGTTGCAGTTTCTCAAGCTAATGTTGGAAGCATAGCTCCCGCTATTATAAATAATATTTCACCAATTACTTACCAATATCCCGTGAATGCGGTAGCACCAATAACTCAGAATCCAACCACCGTCTACTCTGTGCCATCTCTTCCTACTTCACCATCTATCATGTCGACAGTGACAACATCTCTTCCTCCATCAGTCATCAGTACTGCTTATCCTCATCTTCAGTACCAATATTCAAAAGTCGAACTGCATAAAAGAAAGTTTCAAGAAGATCCAAATTCCAACAAGCAACAATGTGATCAGAATAAATTAGTTATTTCAGCAAGGTAGGAAGTACAATAAGAATTAATATTAATGCTTAAAAATAAATTAGCATAATAAATTTAATTTTTGTATGGGTTACACAATCTGCTATTATCATCATCAGTCGAAATTTATGAATCGTAATTTAATACGTATTAAATTAACTAATTTTGTATAACTTTTTTACAAAAACTTAAGTGCTATATTGTATTTATTTCTGACAATTGATTCTGTACGAAAAAGTATTAAAATTTTTAGAATGTTAAATTGTTGATGCTCATTGGTAATGTGTGTCGCTATTGACTTTTTCTTGTTCTCACTGAAAATTTGCTTTGTTTTCAACCACAAAAATCTGTTGTTATCATTTCTATATATTGTTTCTTGTTTGAATTTCAATTTTTTTAATTAGATAGTTCATTAGTGACTAATTATCCATGGATTGTTGTATATTTGCAGTGTAAATCCACTTTGTTTTAAGCTGTACAGAGAATCCCTGGTTATTGCAGTTAATGTTGCCAGGAAAAATGCAGTAATCTGTGATAATCAAACCACAATAATTAAGAATAACACACAGGAGATAGCACAATTTTCCAACATTATGATTAAAACTTAAACTTATTAAATAAAAAAGAAAAAGAAGAAGACCTTTTTTGTTTCAAAAATTTCTTTTCCTCTTGGTACATGACTCGATAACAGTGAAGCAACATTTTCTATTTCTCCGTGAACTTTCATTGAATTCTCACTATTAGGATCACCATTTGTTATTTTTTGCTTAAGAGATTCACAGATCAAGTTCTTTTAATGTGAATTCCTTTGTTGCTGTTTCAGTTTCATTATCGTCAATGCTATCATCCTGAGCTTTATTTTCTTGTTTTGCATGTAGATTAATTAATAAGTTCTTTATCAGTGAAGCCATTATGATGAAACTGGAGTAATTCTTTAATCTCTCTTATCTACTTCAGTTAATCCTAAATCCAGTTCATGCCATGTTATTTTTTTCAACAGTATCGTTAATTTTAGAATCAAATTCTTGGAGGTCATTTTGTGCATTCTGAAATAAGTTTTTGCCTCACAGCTCTTATGTTAGTTACTATAACTTTCTCCGTGGGTCATCAATGTTTTCAAGAGCTTTTTCTTTTTTATCAAACTAATTGATTCTTTTCGTGTTTTCTTTTCAATTGCTTGGCTAAAGGTCTTATATTGGTAATACACTTTAAATGTTGAAACTATGCCCTGGTCCATAGGTTAGAGTAATGAAGTTGCATTGGATGGTAGAAAAAATGACTTTTACACTTTGACACAAATCATTAAGTTTTATTGGGTGACCCATAACATTATCAAGACAATCGAGATTTTATGATTTACAATATCTTAAAATTTACAATATCTTGAGAATCTGAAAATTCAGGTACTGTATACATACTAATTAAATTTAATAAATTTCGGGCATTGACAGATTATATACTGTAGTTTTTTGCCATATAAGACGTGCTTTTTGTACATAAAATTTATCTGAAAATTAGGATGTGTCTTATAATTCAAAGAATATTTTTCCCCAAAAACTTGACACAAAAAATGGAATGTTTCCAATACAACAGCGCATCTTATGAGGCAAAAAATACGGTAAATAGTAATAGTTAGAGGATTTCATTTTGTTTTATTTCTGATTTTATGCAGTATTATATAATATAAACCTTTACATGTAAAAAATATATTTGGAATATTGTTTCATATTAAACTAATTAATTAAATTGGCCTTTTTTACGTATTTTACTTTAAAAATGACAGACAAAAATCAAAAACGACTTTTCAGCCAGTTAAAAATATTATTTTAAACATCATAAATGAGACGCGTAATTTGTCATGCTCGAAATTGAAGGATTAAATTTATTATTATTTTTACAACCGATAAACAGTAATTATTTAATACAATATCTTCTAATTATAATATGCAAATGTGCTACCTGTTACGTATTTAATTTTAAATCTGTGCATTTCCAGAATATTCATTAGTTTTAGTCTATTATGTAACTGTAACGGCTGGTTTTTACCATGCAAATTGGATTGTTTAGCCTTCAAATGATACTTGATATAGTGTATATTTATTGTATAATCAATATCACAATAAATAAACATTACAGTTATATAATAGTCTAAATAATTATAAACCTAATGAAGCTTCTGCTTGGTGTAGATGGGCATTATTAATTTACACATTATTGATAATTCTATTGCAATATTATATTTATTTTTAAGATTTAAATATATTTAATGGTTTAAAACAGTGGTCCAAACTACAACCCTCTGGCCAAATCGGCCCATGGCACGTGTTAATCTGGTCCGTTAACATATTTGACACATCACTTATTAATGCTAGAGGTATGCCTACCTTTAGTATATTTGGAATATTTAATATATTTGTGGCCTACCTACCTAATATGTGCTTGCACTTTGGCCCGCTAGTTGTAAAGTTTGGGCGCCACTGTTTTAAAACATAAAACATGATTTCATATTACAAATTATAACAGTTATTGGCAATTATATTTTCTTTAAATTTGTCTTTAAAAAATCAATTAGATATTATAAATTAGTGTTGTCAGAATATGTTAAATAACATTAAAATAAATTATATTTGATATTTAGATATCATTGACTTCTACTAACACCAAGAGTCAGTAGCACATTCTTTTTAATGAGGTTATTAAGGGTGGTTAGTTACAACAGAACTTGATAAATCAGTTGGTTTGAATTCTAATATATGAGATACGTACACATGCATGTATCAGAAGTTCTATTGTCACCGGGTCTTCTGCTGCGTGCTTTTCTTATATCAAGCGCACCAAAGAAGGCATCGCTTTTAATTCAGTTGCTGGAATATATTTAAGGAAATCATTTCTCATATACGTTCGACACAATTGTTTACTTACGATGGCACCGAGAAATGGTGAAATCATTGTAAAAGTGGCCTGTATTTTGATGAATTATTTGATGCTATCTGTACCAAATGATTCGTCACGTTCTGTTTTAACTACTTTAATTATACAAATCTATCGATTATATTCACATATATAAAATATAATAATTTTATTTGCATATAATATTTTCTGTAATAATACTTAGATGTAAGCCAGTTCACTCAATTATTTATAGAAATAAAAAGAAAGCTGTATGCTATTAATAGGAAAAAGGTTAAAAAAATATTTCAAAATTCCATTTTCTCTAGTTAAAACAATCGTTTATAATAAATTTAATTCTCAGATAAGAAAAATGCTGCCGTTTTCTCGGTTTGGTTTCTATAAAGATTTGTGTGAACGGATATTACAAAATCTGAGTTTTAATCTTATAAAAACATATTTTGACATTAAAAGTATTCAGATTTTCTATTTTACAGCATATATGCTGTCTTATTTTTTAATCTTTTCATCATAATAAAATTCTGATTTTTCTGTAATTTTTGTTTTAGAAGTTGCTATGAATATCCATATAAATATGTACAAGACAATTATTCTAAAATTTAAGAAAGTAAAGTTTTGTAAAACCTAATATAATTTTGTTTAGTTAAATTTATTTATAAAAATGCAGTGATGAAAAGATTAAGAGAGAATAATATAATTAATCCTCCCTTTTTCACCTTTAAGAACTTAAATATCTGTCGTTCGTAAAATTAACCCTTAATGTGCTTAGAGAAATTATATCCGAGCATATTTCGAAATTTTTCGAGAATAAAATAGCATTACGAAATAATAATATTTTAAGAAATTAACTAATTTCTAAAGTCTTTCCGAATAATTGTTGATGCAATTTGTTTGAAAACTTTTTAAATATGTTAAAATCGACGGCTGCCGATTTCAGAATGGAACCCGGTTGCGAACGTAGAACGACAAAGCAGTAGCGTGGTTAGATTTCGGATATAAAGATGGGTTTATGATATTAAAATTAATTTGAGAAAGTGATAAACTATCCTACGACATTTAGTAATTCCGACAAAATGAGAAATGAAGATTGCACGCACAAATTTCTGCACGCATACTGCATTTGTATGTTTTATTTGTGGTATTAGATAATTGTTACCTATAGAATGATTTAAATAAATGAATCCAAGTTCTTACTGTAAGATTACAAAAAATTTTTAATCGGTTTGCAATCGTTGGCTGCTGTTGCTTTTTAAAAAAAAAAATAGATTACAAAATACATTTGAAGTTTGATGTTTTATTTTACAATGATTTTTAGTAATTATGTGAAATAAGTAGATTAAATTTTTATAATAATTAGATTTAAAGTAATAAACAACTACGTTATAAGTTGTTAAGTTTTAATATTTAAATATGAGGTAACAGCTAGTTTTCGCTAAACCATGTCACTTCTTGCTAGATCATCAAAGCGACTGTGGTTTTAGTCATTGTTCTAACTGATGACCAGGGTGCTTTTTTAAATTCTGCCTAGATGTAAGGGAGGATTACAGGCAGGATGGGCAACCAGCCATAAAAATCTGTACCTGAAACTCTCGTTTCATGTATAGGATTCAGATTTAGAAACCCCATAAGACATGGGTTTATGTATATGGTTGTTAGATGTCTCGGTTTTCCGGAATTATTCCTGATTTTTCCGACTGCTATCCAGCAATGGGAGGACTTTATTCGGAAAACTGTTCCTACAATGAAATATCTTTTTCCTTTTCCAAATTTTAAATATATTTCTGTAACTGGCAAAGTAAAAATATACGTCCTGCATGCCCTGGTATTGAATCATCCCAAGTATCTGATAACCCTAATTAAGAAGTGGACGAAGAAGATGTATATAAAATATTTTTAATGATAATAATAACAATGAGATGATTTTGATTTAATGATAAACTTGATTTCTTTGCCTGTGAATGTTATATTAAGCATTCATTTACAAAAAAAAAAATCAAAAGAATTTGTTACATAAATATTTTTGAATTCCTCAACATTAGAAGCAGAGTTTAGAACAGATAAATTTTTAAAATTAACAGTTTCCTAGCATAAACTAATGTGTTATCATTAACGCATCCACTTCCCGTTGATGTAATTCTGCGTCGTGTGAAGGTCGTGTGGTGCAAAATTGCATTGCGGCGGCGAACATTTTAAGGCTTGATTGATCAATACGCGACCTTTATATCAATATGTTTTGTTTCTACGAAACATTGGGTCAGTTCAAAGTTTTTTTTTTTTTTTCTAAATCTAAATGTAAGGTTATAAATATTTAGATGAAATCTCTTAAATTTTGTAAAAGCTACATATTTCAGATGATACGAATTGGTAATTTCTTAATTCGGAGAATATTTTAATGTATATTTGCATATAAAGTGTAAAAATATTTTATTTTTATTCTTTATATGCAAACCGCAATTGGTAGATTTTTCGAAGAAAGATACGAGAGAACAATAGATTGGATTTTTATTAACGAAACATATAATAGTGCATTAAGGGTTAAATTATGTTATTAACGCTATTTAGTTAAATTTTGTACTAATTTAAATTTTTTCTTTATTATGTTGGACACTAACATATCCAGCTTACAGGATTCAACTTTGAATCCATCTATACATATGTTGAATAAATCATCATCTAGGAAATCTTTGGAACCGGGCAGTGACAGAGAATTGATGCCACCTCCTCCTTTACTACCTTTAGTGAAAGATCCTTCAGGTAGTGTCATTTTTAACAATGTTACGCTGATCTTAATATTTTTTCTTTTTATTTTTCAGGCAAGTAGACACGGAGATAGGTGAAATGCAGATCAAATGCAAATGTTATCGGTACCTAAAGACGCTTCGTAAAGACGATAAAACATATTCGAGAGTATTTGCATATCTATAGTATGAGTGAGAATCATAAAACGTTTGATGCGACAATGTAAATAATTGACTTTAACGTGTATTTAAACATTAAAAATCAAATCGGATAGAAATGTTAAAATCAATTTTTGTGCTGTGATCCGCTTTGGTTCGAAACTCGAGTTTTTAGTTGTTTTAGATGAATTTTATATACCGTCGAATGCATTTACTGCTGTAAGTGTCATTTTAAGTTTGTTATAAGTAGGCCTCCATATACTTATTTTAATTATTATATATTTTTATGCAGTTTTGATTGAACTAAATCAAAAGTTCAGTCTTTAATCTACTTGAGCTAGAAATTGGAATTTTAAATTGTGTGTGTGTCTGTAAGCTAGATTACTTTTGGGCTATTGTTTATTGTATGTATAAATAATAACAGATATGTCAAAAAATGAGACTATCCAGCAGCAAACTAAACTAACATTTTCACCCGTCTTAACCAGTCGTCATTGGGTTTTAAATGCATTCAACAGGAGAACGTAATTAGGATACAAAATTTTATGTTCTAATTGTCCTGTTAAATGTATTTAAAACCTGGTGATGGCCGATTCAGATGATTGAAAATGTTAGTTTAATTATTAAAATATTTTCTTATGCTGTATATTCTGGTTTCTTTTACGAGTTTGTATGTTTATGCATCTATTTTTAAGAGTTGTATATTAATTTTATACAGGCTCTCCTTGACTGACAATTGGGTTGGGTTCCAGAAAACACATTGTAAGTCGAAAATGAAAATAAATTTAAAAAATAGGCTATACGGTATGTAACATAAGTTTGGGCTGCAGTTGATTGCGATAGTTTCAAACTCGTGAGCGATCACCATAACTGTCATGCTTGGATATGATCTTAAGTTTTGCATTGATAGTAAAAGCCTTTCTCTTCTCACCAGTAGCAGGAGACGCAGTGGGGCATTTTGAAGACAATAATGAGTATACTGTAAATTAATCCAAACTCTTGCCATAATTAATAATTAGAAACTAAGTAATTTGGTACTAGAGATAGACGTTAGGCACCATCTCTTATCTAAATTAATAATTATAATAATTTATTAAATTAGAACATTCTGAAATATTCTTTAGATAAGAGATGGCACCTAACATCTGTCTCTAGTATCATATTACTATTAATTATTAATTAATGGCATAGATTATTAATTATAGCATGATAATAGCCTGATTAATTGTGGAAAGAGTTTAGATTAGTATTAATACATTGGGTTTCGGGATGTTGACATATGCATACTGTAAAACACAAGACGGTATAAGGTGATTTATATATATATATATATAAGTCTCAAGAAAGATAATTAATACATCAGTAGAGCAACTTGAATTCAAATTATAACCATTCTCCTGTGCTTCTGCTTCGCTCTCGTGTAAAATATTGTATGTCGAAACATAAGTCGAGGAGGAGCTGTATATATGTTGATAATGGTTATTACTGTGTTCGCTAAATGTTATTCTTTAAAAGAATTACATTATTTATATTTAAATATTCAATTTTTTAAAATATATTTTCAGATTTCGCTATTATTTATTTCACAAAATACCATATTTTTAAAAAAAAACAAATTTTATACAATTTTTTTAAAATCATTCTATAGATATGCATTTTTTTTTTGAAGTCTGAAATACTTTTATATGAAAATTATTATGTAAATTCTTAGTTATTAAATGGCATATTTAAATAAATTTTTTGGTAATGTTAATTAATACTAGACTGTACTGTGTAATAAAGAATAAGAAAGTATTTAATATTAAAGTATAACATTTGCATTTATGGGAAACTGCAGCATATGGTTTATTAATTATACCTTTCTTTCTTCCTTAGTTGCAATAAACTGCAGACATTTAATATCATTTACGGTTTCTCCATAGGTCGTGCATCTACGACGGAATCCAGTTTCTTTTTTATTTTTTTCATGTATATTATTGCTAATACTTTTATTATTATAATTTAAGGATTGCCAACTGTTTTAAAGTGCATTTTGGAAAATTATGCACTAGTTATAAAAATTTAAAGGATTCTTTTCAGTACAATGTAAACTTAATAACTTTAATTACTTTGCGTAATTAACGTGCGTAGTTTAAACTACTGAAATAATCCTTGCTTTATAAAAATATTTCTGCTTTTTTCTAAACAGTGATCTTTTTTTTCAAATAAAATATTTTATTATTAACCCTTTAAGGATTAAATGCTATGTTTAAATTTTAAAACTGAATTTTGTTTTAATAAAAATGAAAAAATCGATGTTACATTGACGCAATATTGCAATATAAAGGAATTAATGTTATAATTACGACGTTTTAGATCAAGAAAGAAATTTTCGTCGTCTTCACAAGGCCTCGCTCGTCAGTGTTTACCCGGGATCACCATAATCCTGGATGTTTAAATCTCAAAAGATTAAAATCTCAATAATATAATCCTGGGAAAATAATAATAATAAATTTTTAAAAGACATTTATTTACATTTTTAAAAACGAAACTTATTTGAGGAACATATAAACATGTGAGAGAACACTTCATAGCCTTTTTTATACAATAAAATACTGTATTTAATAACAGTAATAGACAATATGTATGCACTGTGCATAGTACACGCATGTTGGATATTATTATGTTAATACATAGTAGCTAAAATCAAATATATAGAATTACAAATTATTAAGATCAATGCTGAAAATTTTAAATAGCAGGGAAGAAAATAGATACATCAACACATGAAAAAGCATATTACATGGAAAGATTATGGGCAGTCGTACGGAGATAGTCCATAAGAATTGGTAAACTTTCCCGATCATTAACTATATTTTGAAGTTTTGTTTTGCAATGAGTATCTGCTTTTTTCTTTTTTAGCGCATGGTTTTTTTTTGGAGAATACTCTCATATTCGTTTTCTATGTGGCGTTGCACTTTTTGAAATTCTTTAATGATTTGATATACAGCGAAGTATTCCCTACTAAATTTTCCCATCTTCTGTGTCAGATTTCTATGTTGTTTTGGGTACGCACAAATCCATTCTGCATGCACTCACATACAGACCACAGATTTTTGCATTGGGAATTAAGGTTTTAGGCGTTTCAGGATTTTGATCTTTCGAGATTTCAACATTCGGGATGACAGCATTTGAGATTGTGTCTTTCAGGATTGTGACCCAAATCCCAGTGTTTACATAAGGAAAATTTATTTTTACATCAAACTACAGTTTTAACAAATTGATGCACGAAAAAGTCTTGTATTATATTTCAAAATACCATTGACAGAACGTAGGTATTGCATGCAAATGTTTCAAAAAAGTGCCGAATGTTAGCAAACGAGATTTGCATCTTATATGTTGCTAGTGCTGGGAGAAACATCACAGCATCTTGCTAATATCCCAATATAAATGTAATGCCTGTACAACAATATCCTTACAGGATTGATGTGACTATAAACCACAATGAAATAGCCATAGGCAATACAATTATATATGCTTAAACTCATATTTATAATAAAGCTTTTCTACTTTAATTGGAAACCTTCATTAATTAATTGTATAAATGTAGCTTAAAAGTAATTTTTATGATTGGAATTATTAGTCTTGAGAATTCCCAGAATTTGGTGTCGTTTGATAGTATAAGGCAACACAACATGTGGGCAATCTGCCAAGGGGAATGCATCCTGGGAGAATTTTCTGTGAGAAACTGGTTCCTGTTTAGGCATTAGATGTAGTACAGTACAAAGAAATCCTGAAAAACTCCACATAGCCAGCTCATGGGTGAGATGCAAATCCGTGACCAACTACCAGTGCTCGGGGGTTGGCCATTGGTGAGCTTCCTGTGAAAAAAGTGGAGGAGCCAAAAGAAAGTTGTTTCTGCTAACTACATAATATTTTATAAGAATAATAATTATATATATTTTTACCAATGGATTGTGTGTAGAATTTTGGAGTGTTGATTTGACTATTCTATGTTTTTTTTTACAAATTTAAAATGTATTATTTCACTTTAATCATAAGAAAAACCGTCGGACGGAAATTTACAGTAAGGTTATTTTTAGAAAATAAATCCGGCTGTTTTCTTCTTTTTCTATTCCATATGTCTGCTAAATTTTTATTTATGAAATTTAGTCCTCAAAGGGTTAATAAATTTAATAAATATTTAATAATTTAAATGAAAAATATGTTTTTTTTTTATTGTTTTATTTCTGCAATACATTATAAACAGAAATTGAAAAAAATATTTATATATATACACTTGTATTTTTAAAATAAATTTACTATTGATTTTATTTAATAACTAATAAAATATTGACAATAGAGTATCTTTAATCATAATAAATCATGTTACATAAATTGTACATATATTCACTGTGTTTTATTATATATGACGTTTTTGATAATATAATTAGCTAGTACTATAGTAAAATCAAAGCATAACAATAGCTTAGTATGGTAATTCCTATCTCAGTTACTTCAAATAATAAGATAGTTGTTGACCATAATATAGCATCTTCAAAGAATAAACCAAATCATAAAACAGTTTGGATGTTAAATATTTAATTTAAAATATTTTAAGTATTAGAAAAAAACATAGAATTAAATAAATATCAAATATTTACTGTAAATTTTAGCATTTATGGACTTTAATGCACTGTATAAAATTTCAGAATTTAAAGATGAATTTAAAAAAAAAAAAAGACAAAGAGAAATTGTCATTAAGTCCGACCTTACTCGAGATACGACACACGATCCCCTTGTTTCTCCTCACCCCGTTGACCCATATCACCAAATTTTAATTGCGTCAATCCCCCAATACACAAACCTCCCTGCAAAATTTTTTAATCCATAAATACAGAAACCCCCCAAATTTTTTTTTTGTTTTGTTTTTTGCATTTCTCGATGTTTCAAGGTTCCCCGAGTCCAGAAATGTAAAAATCTTGAGGGTCATTTTTGACCAATTGCCATACTTTCTCTATTACATATAACGGAGCGGGAAAAGTAAAAAACAAATAAATAAATAATTTTATATTTAACCTCTTTAAGATAAAGAAAATATCAGTTTACAATTAGTTAAATTTTGTAATTTAAATATTAAATTGAAAGGATATTTATTGTTCGTTAATTTATTGACTTTGGCACCAGTGTCGACATTGTGAAAAAATAAATAAATAATAATAATAAACAAACAATAATGCTCTATAAGGTTTTCATTCAAAACATGTTTATTCCACTAAAGTAAAATGTTTTGAAAGTTTCAAGGCCAAAAGAGAACTTAACAGATTATTTTGGCAGAACATAAATGAATGTATTGAAAGGTCTTTCTTGGAAATTCTACTTTGGTTTTATTATTTACATTTTTGAATGTATTAAATTTTTCATCAATTTTATTTTATATAAGTAAGGTTTAAATTTACATTTTTACGGAATATCGAATAATTTGATTGTTGACTATTAATTGAATATCGAATAATTACATTACGTTTAATTGTTGAATAACTAACTTGTCGAGCATTCTAGATTAGAGACGAATAACAAATTTAATTCAAATAAATTTTAAAATGACTCATAAAGTAAATTTAGTGAAAATTAAAAACTGTATCATGATTTTGTCTCCTTAATATTGTTAATCAATGTAATAAATCACTCTAACTTGGCGGTTCTCAACCTATTTTTTCACTCTGTGTATAGACTCATAGCTCTAACGAACCCTGCTTGCTTAACCCCTCGTTCTCGTTCTCGTTCTATAACTAGTGAAGGAAATATGAAATCGGTAATGGTACTATTGTAACATGCTTTGTGCTAGAAGTTAATGTATACCAAACAAGCTGAAATGACTATTGTAGATGCTTTCCGTTCTTTGTCGAGATTAGTATTGAAAAGTATCTAAAATTGTCAGTGAAAAACTTAATATATTGCGGATGTTTCTTAAGCCGTCGATGAAATATAAGGTATCCAAAAATTTACCGTGCAATGAGAAATTTATAATGACATTAAAATTATACTTACAGCACCGTATATGAGACCTTTAAGTTGTTCATTCGGTACTAGTTGGCCACACAGCATTGCGTACAAAATCCGTAAGTTGTATGCAATACCATATGGTCAAGTAATACCAAATTAAAGGTCTTGTATACATTGCCGTAAGTATAACTTTAACGTCATTACAAATTTCTCACTTCACAGTAACTTTTCATAAAATGCTCTTGTCAACAATATTCAATTTACTACATAATTCTTGAAGTATACATATGGTTTACGATACCTTTTCATATTCTCTTATGATATAATTAGCATTTTTATTTTACTTATACGAGGATTTTGTTGCGTAAGATTCGATACGTGTTAAGTTTTATACAAACACATTTACACTTTCGTCAAATACATCATACATTCTAAATATAAAGCATTTGAGAGATGATTTCGAGCAAAGGTACAAAGGTATATTCAAATATAAGAGGTTCATGTAATAGTTATTAGTGATTCTTCTGTATTTAGTAAATCTAATCAAAGAGATCTGTTGATTCTGACTTTAGGAATCACCACTTTACATTTTTATATTAATTAATCAATAGAAAGTATTATTTTGAGTCACACAGAAATCCAATCTGTTTGTAATATATATTAAATCATTCAATATGTTTATTAATTAATAAAATTCTATTAATTCTTTAAATTGTGATTTTAAATAATAATTTTTTTCCCTCTATTTATTTATTTTATTTATTTATTTAAAATTCTGTTGTATCAAAATTTGCATGGAAATTGACGAATGTGCAGTTGGCAATCCACTTTCAGAACACGAAGTCTCCGAATAAAGGAAAAAACATTATTAAAGCCAAAGGAAATGTTTATTAATATGTTTTTGTTTTGCATTTGTTTCTCTCTCCTTCCATGTGCTGTGTGTGGATGGATGGATGGATCTACTTCAACATCATGGGTGATCTCTTTCCACTACTAATGTATATTTTACTTCCCCCGAACATGTTGGATGACGTGCCGTTATTCTTGGATGCCTACCTCAAATGGTATGGTTTTCTGGAAATTTTTTGTTTTTATATATTTTTCTTTCCCTTTCTGCCAACGTTGGATTGGTAATATTTCGATAAGTAGCTGAGAATACACAAAAAGATGATGATTTATTGGAACCGCCTAAAAAGAGGCTTGCCGGAGCACTTGGAGGCCTTGTTGGTAAGTTCATTAATTCTAATTTTATAAATTAGATTCAGTTTCATGATGCAGTTAACATTATAACATTTTAAAACGATATTTAAAAATACGAAATGTTTTTATTCGGTTCGTTGTTTTCTTTAATCCGGTCAAAAAACCGAAAATTTTAAATGGCAAAAGAGAATTATTATTAATATTGTCATGTTAGAAAATACATTATGCAAACAGCTATACTTTTTTCTTATCAGAAAATAAAGAAAATCCATTAACTTGATCAAAAATAAGTACTAAGTAAACAATGCTTGCTTAGCTTATTGGCTACATCTCACGACTTATTTGACTTTAATAAAACAAACCAAAATAAAATAAATTCCTTACTTTATTACTTTGAGTAAAGTTTGATAAGAGAGATTTTTCTCATCTTGGATTTAAAAATGAATTGACAACTCTGAACTTATTCAAAATTAACCGACATTTTAAGATTTTGAAATATAAATTACTTGGTTTCTTCCCAATTTCATTAGTCTGAAAAATACTGTCCAAAAATGAAGTGTCTTATATGCTGGCAAATATATACAATGGTGCGGTGTTGTACCTCAAATTTAATTCATTCCAGGAGGCCATTTGAACTCCGAATCCTTCGAAACCTAAAGCATTTTTTCTCATTGGAAATAACGGAAAGCGAATTAATCCATTCCCAGGCCCTAAACAATACTCATTTCAATGAACTTAAAACAGCAAGTACATGTAATTTGAGGTAAAAATAACAGAATTAAATGCTCTAATGATAAATCAAAACAGAAAAAACAATAAATAAAATATGTAAATACTGTAAAATAAAATGAAAATTGCATTTACTGGTCTCACACTGTCGACTTTGACATATTAAACGTGGCCTCCAGATTTGCCACAAACGTATCACTTTTGTGCTTCACGATAAGTTCCTTTTTGATCTTAGACTTTTTCGAGCCTTCCTTTTACTAGTTAGACTTTGTTGTTTCCCCACACTTCTCAGTGCCACGATTAATAAGTAATGGTTATATTGTGTTGAACAGAAAGTTTTTGCCTATTTTTAACAGTTGTCTTATTTAACATAGATGTGTGATTTAATTATAAGTTTTGAATTTTAACACATTTTTGTTAATTTGAGATTATATTCTTTGTTCAAAAGCTCATCTTACACTTCAAGTGCATTTTTAATTCTCAGCAGTTTAAACTCCAGAGCAAATTTTTGCCAAATCTGATGTTTGAAGTATGAGGTACTGTTGTGTCCCTTGCATAGGCTTTGCCTTCTTATTCCCAACATAGACTATTCATGGCAAAAATTTTGTGAGGGTTCATCAATTCCGAGTGCCGCCAAAAACAAAGTGTAATTTAAAAATGATAAACTTTATGCAATGTTAGTGGCCGTGTTCTAATGTTTAGTAAGGTAAGTGATTAAAAAAAGAACAATCTTACTTCACCACCTAGTGCTTGTCAAGAAAATTGTTTATTAAACAAATGTTTTCAACCTATTATCATAGGTATCTTCAGATTTTTAAATTCAATAATAAATCACGTCATTTCTCTAACAATTTATCATTGACTTTAAAAACTTGAAGATGGCCTGTGATAGATAATATGTTGAAAACATTTATTTAATAAACAGTATTTCTTGGTAAGCATTAGGTGGTGAAGTAAAATTGTTGTATCTCTCTGCTTATTGCACTGCTTTTGATTAAAAGAAAAGAAAAGAGTGATAATATTTAGCATACTTCAATAACTATGAAATTTTTATTTTGTTTTTGGATTATTATCTTTAAGTAACACTCAATATATAACAATGAATTTTTATTATTTGCCTACTTGTAATATTAAACTGGGCTGTAATTTTCAAAAATTGTAGACCTATAAATTTCCACTGGCATCCATATGTGTGTCTATCTGTCCTTCCTTAATCTTGAGAATGGTATTTGTTAGATGAAAGTCGAAACTGGCTATAGAAAGCTTAGGGGAAGGAGGCCCCGATTAACCGTATAAGAACGTCCGGTTTGGACCGGAAGTCAAATTATTCAATTCAAAAAATTTCCTGAACGGAGTTAGATATATGACTGACATTGTTAACAGGGAAAGTATGATGTACAGGGGCAAGACACTACTAAAATTGAGAGCATTGTGACGATGTCACAATAATTGCTTGTTAGTTTTAAATTTACGTTTTTATTTATAATAAAATTTATGAAATCTCCTTTTCTATTTTATTTTTCTTCCTCCTCATCTTATTACAAACAGCATCAAATTCTAAATATTTTTTACTTTGAGATAATAAATCATTGGTCTTTAACATAGTGTTTACAATTATTTATACGTGTTCACATTGCTTAAAGAATTCTTACTATACGTTTATAAGATAGATATAAAAATTAATGACAGTTGTTAAATGAATTAAAATTAAAAAACGATCCGAATCTTTAGAACAACTTTTGTTTTGAAATTTGATCCTTTTGTGTAGAATAATTCTGTATAAATACAAAAGAATCTTACTTGAAAAGTAAAGATATATATTTACTGTTATATTAATACTTTAACTGCAACTTGCGATTCACACGTGGCTCGTCTAGACCTTTACTGCAGCACTCCACTTAATTTTAATAATGAAATGTATGGGAATACTTATCCATTATATAAAATACAGTTACAATGGGGAATGTAGTTCTCATATATTTCCGATAAGCAATAGTGTGGCTCCTGTCATGACAAGGTTTAGCCAGCCCTGATATAAAGTATTATAGTTATCAAGCCTACAATAATATGTAAAAGCACGTTTCATTAACGCAGTATGGTATATCAATTAAAATAAGTGACAATATTAAATCTCATTTTTAATATATATAATTAAACTAACTTACCATCATGAATATTGGATCTAATTTTTAAAAATCAATTTTATTTTAAATATTTTTTATTATTTTGATTTAAATTAAATCATCTATTTTATAAATAAAATCTCATTAATTTAAAATCAGTATTGACTACATTCTGTCTATGGAAAGAATCTACTTGGGTATTAACCAATGAGTGTCAGTCGTCGATCGCTTAGTCGTGGCAAGTTACTTTTGGTTCCTTCCTCATTTGTTAAATGTCACTGCCGTTATAAACAGTGTTATGGAAGCTTCACATTCTGGTATTGGATACAAGGAAGTTTGCTATAGTAATTGTTAAATGCACGATTCTTTACAGTTATTGTGTGCAATAAAAAATTAACGCAATTAATGGAAAAGTCGTTCTACCATCTAGTGAGAGAAAATAAAATACAATTCACATATTGTATTTTTAATATTAAGCGAAGAGTGCTGATGTCATTAGGGAATGTGTTGATTGGTGTATTTGAAGCGGCATAATATGTGACGACGTTCTCAAGTCGGTTCTTTCTAAAGATAGACTGTAATAAATAATTCTCGAAAAATTTTATATGTTTAAATTTATTTATTAATTGAAATTATATTGATCCCAGTGGTATATTTCTAATTTTATATATATATATATATATATTTTCCAACAATGACTGTATGATCAATGGTTAGGATTTAAAATACTTGATTAAAAAATATTGCAAAAAATTACTGTATATACAGTATATATATTAGAATTATAAACATACCCAAAGATTATGATAATTAATTATTAAAAGCAGAACAAATGATTAACTGCCATTAATCCAGAAAACAAGATGAAATTAGAAGTCGCTTTTTGCGCATTTTCAAATTACTCTGTAATAAAAATGAAATTTATTATAGAATAATTTGCACTGTATTTTCAATTGTATGCTAAGCTTTCCTTAAATATTACAAATAATAATCTGTATACATTCAAAAAGAAGTTAGTATGTAACATAGCATTATTAATATTCCTTTGTTACTAATATTTCACAAGTAGTCTTCTGTGTAGGGCCACGAAAGTATTAACTTTTATTTGAATAAACAGATAACTCAGGATTCATATGATGATTATTTTATAAGTTATCCTCTAAAATGATTACATGGAAAAAAAATATTGTATGAGTTTACAAACAGGAATAAAGACAAAAAAATTTTTAAATTTATATTCTAATTTCTCATATGAGTAGGCTTCATGTTTAAAATGTATTCATATCTTTTTAACAAAATAATAAGCTAAAATTATGTGAAGAAGGGATACTGTAATTCTATTCTTCTTTACTTTGTATTCCTTATGAATAAGTCTGAGAATTTCAATACAGCACTTCAAACATCCAAAGGTTTTCAATGGCAGCATTACAATTTTTATTCACTTAATTTATTATTACGATAATGTTGTTGGGCTGCAATTTTCAAAAATTGTATATCTATAAATTCCCACTGGCATCCATCCGGGTGTGTCTGTCTTTCTGTCCTTCCTTAATCTCGAGAAAGGAGTTAGATAGATGTGGTACTGGATAAGGAAAGGTTAGAGGCTGAAGGTCTATATATGAACTTCCAAATTCGGACTAGAAGTCACATTAATTCAATTCAAGAATTTACTCCTGAACAGTTAGATGACTGGCATGACTCCATTGTTAACAGGAAAAGTGTGATGTACAGGGGCAAGACATTATTAAAATTGAGAGCGATGTGATGAAAAATTGCAGCCTGATATTGTGACGACGTTAGAATTGCTGTATTGTTGTTCTCAAATTTATATAGTTTTTGTATACATATTAACAACTGTTAATACAAATATCAAGGATTTATCATCACTAATTGCACACCGTATATTTATATATATATTGGAAGACAGCGTTATTTTATACAATGGCCAGGCTTGTTTTAAATAATTTAGTATTGATAGTAAAATATAAAAAAATATGTGAACAGTAACAACAGTAGGAGAAAAAAGACAAGAATTGTAATAGAATGTTATGTTCTTTTATGTTTATAAGAAGATTGGTACTTGTACAGATGTTTTATGATGATTTGCATACATCAATAATCTTTGAGTGGCATATGCATATCTTATTACATTAATATTATAAATAAAATAATCTAAAATTTAGAAAATTATTAGGATATACAGCTTCTATAACTTACAAAGCATGTTTTTGTCTTGGTAATCTGTAAGAAGATAGTTTAGAAAGTTTCACTTTTAACTTGCAAGCTAAATGTATGAAATAAAATGTTTATTGGAGTTATTAGTTATTAATGATTGCCAAATTATATTATTTGGCAAATGTTAAAGCTTAATTTATTCAAGAATTTGAAGACACAAAGTACAATTTAAAATTTTTTAGAAGATCATTAAAATCAAATAAAATCATAAACAGATTGGATAATAAAGGTGAGCCTAAATTTATAAATAAGATAATGAATAAAATTAAGCTTCCCATTGGCACATTATAACAGATTTCTCTTCCTAATTGTAACCGTAAGAATTTTTTAAACTTCATATTTATATTTCTAGATGTGTCGATTACATTATTTAATTTTTCTTCCGTTAATAATAACTAATCGTAATTTTTTACAGTATGACTACATACGTATTTTAGTTAATTCTGTTTACTTTTCAGCGTACGGTTCCGAAGATTCCGACGACGAAAATAACTCCATTGGGAGCCCCGTTCCCATGAAACGGAAATCGAACGACATGCCAAAAGTGTCGAGGAAAAATTTTAACTCTCATAATAACAAATATGCTGTATAAAGAAATAATGTACAAATGTTAAAATGGGTTCAAAGAACTTCCTATAAATTGTTTCCTTTGTAGAGAGATGTTTAAAATACTTGTTCAGTGACATAAGATTGTTTTTAGTCTATAAAACACATTTTACTTCTCAGGAAGACACCTTTTTAGCATAAAGTTATCATGCTAATCAATTAAAAGTTATTTACTTCTTATTAAAATGACCACAGGTAACGAGGCAGAATTTTATTAAATTAATTTCCATCCCCATTCTAGCGATATTAATTCCTTTTTCGATCTCCCCCACAGTCAAATTTCTTACACAGAAAATTTAAAAAAAAAATTGTCTTAAAATTATAAATTGTTTCCATTTCATCAGATGCTCTCAGAAGGAATTCGACAAAATAGCTTTTAATTTTAAGATCCTAAATGATAATAAAAATATATATTTTTAATATTTGTGTGATGTTATCTTAACATTTAAACTTCCATACTTTTAAGATATTTCTTTTGTGGAGAATAACTGTAAGGTAAGAACAGCAATATAAAGTATACAAAGGTAATATATTTACTTTAAATTAAGGCACATGATTTCATAATATCTAATAAGACTGTCTTATCCTTTCCTACACTTATATGTACAAATCAAGATATCGTCATACTGAAGATGAAAAGTAAAACAATTTTAAAAATTGAAATCATAATAAACAATTGCTATAAAAATTAGTGCTGAATGTTGGGTACGTCGGGTATTGGANAAATTTTTTTTTTGTTTTGTTTTTTGCATTTCTCGATGTTTCAAGGTTCCCCGAGTCCAGAAATGTAAAAATCTTGAGGGTCATTTTTGACCAATTGCCATACTTTCTCTATTACATATAACGGAGCGGGAAAAGTAAAAAACAAATAAATAAATAATTTTATATTTAACCTCTTTAAGATAAAGAAAATATCAGTTTACAATTAGTTAAATTTTGTAATTTAAATATTAAATTGAAAGGATATTTATTGTTCGTTAATTTATTGACTTTGGCACCAGTGTCGACATTGTGAAAAAATAAATAAATAATAATAATAAACAAACAATAATGCTCTATAAGGTTTTCATTCAAAACATGTTTATTCCACTAAAGTAAAATGTTTTGAAAGTTTCAAGGCCAAAAGAGAACTTAACAGATTATTTTGGCAGAACATAAATGAATGTATTGAAAGGTCTTTCTTGGAAATTCTACTTTGGTTTTATTATTTACATTTTTGAATGTATTAAATTTTTCATCAATTTTATTTTATATAAGTAAGGTTTAAATTTACATTTTTACGGAATATCGAATAATTTGATTGTTGACTATTAATTGAATATCGAATAATTACATTACGTTTAATTGTTGAATAACTAACTTGTCGAGCATTCTAGATTATAGACGAATAACAAATTTAATTCAAATAAATTTTAAAATGACTCATAAAGTAAATTTAGTGAAAATTAAAAACTGTATCATGATTTTGTCTCCTTAATATTGTTAATCAATGTAATAAATCACTCTAACTTGGCGGTTCTCAACCTATTTTTTCACTCTGTGTATAGACTCATAGCTCTAACGAACCCTGCTTGCTTAACCCCTCGTTCTCGTTCTCGTTCTATAACTAGTGAAGGAAATATGAAATCGGTAATGGTACTATTGTAACATGCTTTGTGCTAGAAGTTAATGTATACCAAACAAGCTGAAATGACTATTGTAGATGCTTTCCGTTCTTTGTCGAGATTAGTATTGAAAAGTATCTAAAATTGTCAGTGAAAAACTTAATATATTGCGGATGTTTCTTAAGCCGTCGATGAAATATAAGGTATCCAAAAATTTACCGTGCAATGAGAAATTTATAATGACATTAAAATTATACTTACAGCACCGTATATGAGACCTTTAAGTTGTTCATTCGGTACTAGTTGGCCACACAGCATTGCGTACAAAATCCGTAAGTTGTATGCAATACCATATGGTCAAGTAATACCAAATTAAAGGTCTTGTATACATTGCCGTAAGTATAACTTTAACGTCATTACAAATTTCTCACTTCACAGTAACTTTTCATAAAATGCTCTTGTCAACAATATTCAATTTACTACATAATTCTTGAAGTATACATATGGTTTACGATACCTTTTCATATTCTCTTATGATATAATTAGCATTTTTATTTTACTTATACGAGGATTTTGTTGCGTAAGATTCGATACGTGTTAAGTTTTATACAAACACATTTACACTTTCGTCAAATACATCATACATTCTAAATATAAAGCATTTGAGAGATGATTTCGAGCAAAGGTACAAAGGTATATTCAAATATAAGAGGTTCATGTAATAGTTATTAGTGATTCTTCTGTATTTAGTAAATCTAATCAAAGAGATCTGTTGATTCTGACTTTAGGAATCACCACTTTACATTTTTATATTAATTAATCAATAGAAAGTATTATTTTGAGTCACACAGAAATCCAATCTGTTTGTAATATATATTAAATCATTCAACATGTTTATTAATTAATAAAATTCTATTAATTCTTTAAATTGTGATTTTAAATAATAATTTTTTTCCCTCTATTTATTTATTTTATTTATTTATTTAAAATTCTGTTGTATCAAAATTTGCATGGAAATTGACGAATGTGCAGTTGGCAATCCACTTTCAGAACACGAAGTCTCCGAATAAAGGAAAAAACATTATTAAAGCCAAAGGAAATGTTTATTAATATGTTTTTGTTTTGCATTTGTTTCTCTCTCCTTCCATGTGCTGTGTGTGGATGGATGGATGGATCTACTTCAACATCATGGGTGATCTCTTTCCACTACTAATGTATATTTTACTTCCCCCGAACATGTTGGATGACGTGCCGTTATTCTTGGATGCCTACCTCAAATGGTATGGTTTTCTGGAAATTTTTTGTTTTTATATATTTTTCTTTCCCTTTCTGCCAACGTTGGATTGGTAATATTTCGATAAGTAGCTGAGAATACACAAAAAGATGATGATTTATTGGAACCGCCTAAAAAGAGGCTTGCCGGAGCACTTGGAGGCCTTGTTGGTAAGTTCATTAATTCTAATTTTATAAATTAGATTCAGTTTCATGATGCAGTTAACATTATAACATTTTAAAACGATATTTAAAAATACGAAATGTTTTTATTCGGTTCGTTGTTTTCTTTAATCCGGTCAAAAAACCGAAAATTTTAAATGGCAAAAGAGAATTATTATTAATATTGTCATGTTAGAAAATACATTATGCAAACAGCTATACTTTTTTCTTATCAGAAAATAAAGAAAATCCATTAACTTGATCAAAAATAAGTACTAAGTAAACAATGCTTGCTTAGCTTATTGGCTACATCTCACGACTTATTTGACTTTAATAAAACAAACCAAAATAAAATAAATTCCTTACTTTATTACTTTGAGTAAAGTTTGATAAGAGAGATTTTTCTCATCTTGGATTTAAAAATGAATTGACAACTCTGAACTTATTCAAAATTAACCGACATTTTAAGATTTTGAAATATAAATTACTTGGTTTCTTCCCAATTTCATTAGTCTGAAAAATACTGTCCAAAAATGAAGTGTCTTATATGCTGGCAAATATATACAATGGTGCGGTGTTGTACCTCAAATTTAATTCATTCCAGGAGGCCATTTGAACTCCGAATCCTTCGAAACCTAAAGCATTTTTTCTCATTGGAAATAACGGAAAGCGAATTAATCCATTCCCAGGCCCTAAACAATACTCATTTCAATGAACTTAAAACAGCAAGTACATGTAATTTGAGGTAAAAATAACAGAATTAAATGCTCTAATGATAAATCAAAACAGAAAAAACAATAAATAAAATATGTAAATACTGTAAAATAAAATGAAAATTGCATTTACTGGTCTCACACTGTCGACTTTGACATATTAAACGTGGCCTCCAGATTTGCCACAAACGTATCACTTTTGTGCTTCACGATAAGTTCCTTTTTGATCTTAGACTTTTTCGAGCCTTCCTTTTACTAGTTAGACTTTGTTGTTTCCCCACACTTCTCAGTGCCACGATTAATAAGTAATGGTTATATTGTGTTGAACAGAAAGTTTTTGCCTATTTTTAACAGTTGTCTTATTTAACATAGATGTGTGATTTAATTATAAAAGTTTTGAATTTTAACACATTTTTGTTAATTTGAGATTATATTCTTTGTTCAAAAGCTCATCTTACACTTCAAGTGCATTTTTAATTCTCAGCAGTTTAAACTCCAGAGCAAATTTTTGCCAAATCTGATGTTTGAAGTATGAGGTACTGTTGTGTCCCTTGCATAGGCTTTGCCTTCTTATTCCCAACATAGACTATTCATGGCAAAAATTTTGTGAGGGTTCATCAATTCCGAGTGCCGCCAAAAACAAAGTGTAATTTAAAAATGATAAACTTTATGCAATGTTAGTGGCCGTGTCTTAATGTTTAGTAAGGTAAGTGATTAAAAAAAGAACAATCTTACTTCACCACCTAGTGCTTGTCAAGAAAATTGTTTATTAAACAAATGTTTTCAACCTATTATCATAGGTATCTTCAGATTTTTAAATTCAATAATAAATCACGTCATTTCTCTAACAATTTATCATTGACTTTAAAAACTTGAAGATGGCCTGTGATAGATAATATGTTGAAAACATTTATTTAATAAACAGTATTTCTTGGTAAGCATTAGGTGGTGAAGTAAAATTGTTGTATCTCTCTGCTTATTGCACTGCTTTTGATTAAAAGAAAAGAAAAGAGTGATAATATTTAGCATACTTCAATAACTATGAAATTTTTATTTTGTTTTTGGATTATTATCTTTAAGTAACACTCAATATATAACAATGAATTTTTATTATTTGCCTACTTGTAATATTAAACTGGGCTGTAATTTTCAAAAATTGTAGACCTATAAATTTCCACTGGCATCCATATGTGTGTCTATCTGTCCTTCCTTAATCTTGAGAATGGCGTTTGTTAGATGAAAGTCGAAACTGGCTATAGAAAGCTTAGGGGAAGGAGGCCCCGATTAACCGTATAAGAACGTCCGGTTTGGACCGGAAGTCAAATTATTCAATTCAAAAAATTTCCTGAACGGAGTTAGATATATGACTGACATTGTTAACAGGGAAAGTATGATGTACAGGGGCAAGACACTACTAAAATTGAGAGCATTGTGACGATGTCACAATAATTGCTTGTTAGTTTTAAATTTACGTTTTTATTTATAATAAAATTTATGAAATCTCCTTTTCTATTTTATTTTTCTTCCTCCTCATCTTATTACAAACAGCATCAAATTCTAAATATTTTTTACTTTGAGATAATAAATCATTGGTCTTTAACATAGTGTTTACAATTATTTATACGTGTTCACATTGCTTAAAGAATTCTTACTATACGTTTATAAGATAGATATAAAAATTAATGACAGTTGTTAAATGAATTAAAATTAAAAAACGATCCGAATCTTTAGAACAACTTTTGTTTTGAAATTTGATCCTTTTGTGTAGAATAATTCTGTATAAATACAAAAGAATCTTACTTGAAAAGTAAAGATATATATTTACTGTTATATTAATACTTTAACTGCAACTTGCGATTCACACGTGGCTCGTCTAGACCTTTACTGCAGCACTCCACTTAATTTTAATAATGAAATGTATGGGAATACTTATCCATTATATAAAATACAGTTACAATGGGGAATGTAGTTCTCATATATTTCCGATAAGCAATAGTGTGGCTCCTGTCATGACAAGGTTTAGCCAGCCCTGATATAAAGTATTATAGTTATCAAGCCTACAATAATATGTAAAAGCACGTTTCATTAACGCAGTATGGTATATCAATTAAAATAAGTGACAATATTAAATCTCATTTTTAATATATATAATTAAACTAACTTACCATCATGAATATTGGATCTAATTTTTAAAAATCAATTTTATTTTAAATATTTTTTAATATTTTGATTTAAATTAAATCATCTATTTTATAAATAAAATCTCATTAATTTAAAATCAGTATTGACTACATTCTGTCTATGGAAAGAATCTACTTGGGTATTAACCAATGAGTGTCAGTCGTCGATCGCTTAGTCGTGGCAAGTTACTTTCGGTTCCTTCCTCATTTGTTAAATGTCACTGCCGTTATAAACAGTGTTATGGAAGCTTCACATTCTGGTATTGGATACAAGGAAGTTTGCTATAGTAATTGTTAAATGCACGATTCTTTACAGTTATTGTGTGCAATAAAAAATTAACGCAATTAATGGAAAAGTCGTTCTACCATCTAGTGAGAGAAAATAAAATACAATTCACATATTGTATTTTTAATATTAAGCGAAGAGTGCTGATGTCATTAGGGAATGTGTTGATTGGTGTATTTGAAGCGGCATAATATGTGACGACGTTCTCAAGTCGGTTCTTTCTAAAGATAGACTGTAATAAATAATTCTCGAAAAATTTTATATGTTTAAATTTATTTATTAATTGAAATTATATTGATCCCAGTGGTATATTTCTAATTTTATATATATATATATATATATTTTCCAACAATGACTGTATGATCAATGGTTAGGATTTAAAATACTTGATTAAAAAATATTGCAAAAAATTACTGTATATACAGTATATATATTAGAATTATAAACATACCCAAAGATTATGATAATTAATTATTAAAAGCAGAACAAATGATTAACTGCCATTAATCCAGAAAACAAGATGAAATTAGAAGTCGCTTTTTGCGCATTTTCAAATTACTCTGTAATAAAAATGAAATTTATTATAGAATAATTTGCACTGTATTTTCAATTGTATGCTAAGCTTTCCTTAAATATTACAAATAATAATCTGTATACATTCAAAAAGAAGTTAGTATGTAACATAGCATTATTAATATTCCTTTGTTACTAATATTTCACAAGTAGTCTTCTGTGTAGGGCCACGAAAGTATTAACTTTTATTTGAATAAACAGATAACTCAGGATTCATATGATGATTATTTTATAAGTTATCCTCTAAAATGATTACATGGAAAAAAAATATTGTATGAGTTTACAAACAGGAATAAAGACAAAAAAATTTTTAAATTTATATTCTAATTTCTCATATGAGTAGGCTTCATGTTTAAAATGTATTCATATCTTTTTAACAAAATAATAAGCTAAAATTATGTGAAGAAGGGATACTGTAATTCTATTCTTCTTTACTTTGTATTCCTTATGAATAAGTCTGAGAATTTCAATACAGCACTTCAAACATCCAAAGGTTTTCAATGGCAGCATTACAATTTTTATTCACTTAATTTATTATTACGATAATGTTGTTGGGCTGCAATTTTCAAAAATTGTATATCTATAAATTCCCACTGGCATCCATCCGGGTGTGTCTGTCTTTCTGTCCTTCCTTAATCTCGAGAAAGGAGTTAGATAGATGTGGTACTGGATAAGGAAAGGTTAGAGGCTGAAGGTCTATATATGAACTTCCAAATTCGGACTAGAAGTCACATTAATTCAATTCAAGAATTTACTCCTGAACAGTTAGATGACTGGCATGACTCCATTGTTAACAGGAAAAGTGTGATGTACAGGGGCAAGACATTATTAAAATTGAGAGCGATGTGATGAAAAATTGCAGCCTGATATTGTGACGACGTTAGAATTGCTGTATTGTTGTTCTCAAATTTATATAGTTTTTGTATACATATTAACAACTGTTAATACAAATATCAAGGATTTATCATCACTAATTGCACACCGTACATTTATATATATATTGGAAGACAGCGTTATTTTATACAATGGCCAGGCTTGTTTTAAATAATTTAGTATTGATAGTAAAATATAAAAAAATATGTGAACAGTAACAACAGTAGGAGAAAAAAGACAAGAATTGTAATAGAATGTTATGTTCTTTTATGTTTATAAGAAGATTGGTACTTGTACAGATGTTTTATGATGATTTGCATACATCAATAATCTTTGAGTGGCATATGCATATCTTATTACATTAATATTATAAATAAAATAATCTAAAATTTAGAAAATTATTAGGATATACAGCTTCTATAACTTACAAAGCATGTTTTTGTCTTGGTAATCTGTAAGAAGATAGTTTAGAAAGTTTCACTTTTAACTTGCAAGCTAAATGTATGAAATAAAATGTTTATTGGAGTTATTAGTTATTAATGATTGCCAAATTATATTATTTGGCAAATGTTAAAGCTTAATTTATTCAAGAATTTGAAGACACAAAGTACAATTTAAAATTTTTTAGAAGATCATTAAAATCAAATAAAATCATAAACAGATTGGATAATAAAGGTGAGCCTAAATTTATAAATAAGATAATGAATAAAATTAAGCTTCCCATTGGCACATTATAACAGATTTCTCTTCCTAATTGTAACCGTAAGAATTTTTTAAACTTCATATTTATATTTCTAGATGTGTCGATTACATTATTTAATTTTTCTTCCGTTAATAATAACTAATCGTAATTTTTTACAGTATGACTACATACGTATTTTAGTTAATTCTGTTTACTTTTCAGCGTACGGTTCCGAAGATTCCGACGACGAAAATAACTCCATTGGGAGCCCCGTTCCCATGAAACGGAAATCGAACGACATGCCAAAAGTGTCGAGGAAAAATTTTAACTCTCATAATAACAAATATGCTGTATAAAGAAATAATGTACAAATGTTAAAATGGGTTCAAAGAACTTCCTATAAATTGTTTCCTTTGTAGAGAGACGTTTAAAATACTTGTTCAGTGACATAAGATTGTTTTTAGTCTATAAAACACATTTTACTTCTCAGGAAGACACCTTTTTAGCATAAAGTTATCATGCTAATCAATTAAAAGTTATTTACTTCTTATTAAAATGACCACAGGTAACGAGGCAGAATTTTATTAAATTAATTTCCATCCCCATTCTAGCGATATTAATTCCTTTTTCGATCTCCCCCACAGTCAAATTTCTTACACAGAAAATTTAAAAAAAAAATTGTCTTAAAATTATAAATTGTTTCCATTTCATCAGATGCTCTCAGAAGGAATTCGACAAAATAGCTTTTAATTTTAAGATCCTAAATGATAATAAAAATATATATTTTTAATATTTGTGTGATGTTATCTTAACATTTAAACTTCCATACTTTTAAGATATTTCTTTTGTGGAGAATAACTGTAAGGTAAGAACAGCAATATAAAGTATACAAAGGTAATATATTTACTTTAAATTAAGGCACATGATTTCATAATATCTAATAAGACTGTCTTATCCTTTCCTACACTTATATGTACAAATCAAGATATCGTCATACTGAAGATGAAAAGTAAAACAATTTTAAAAATTGAAATCATAATAAACAATTGCTATAAAAATTAGTGCTGAATGTTGGGTACGTCGGGTATTGGATATAAAACTCTTACCTGGATCAGTGGTTTTCAACTGGGATGCCGCAACAATGCTTCGGGGATGCTGTGAAATGGAGATTGGTGGAAGAAGGCAATGCAACCCAAATGTTGCATCTGTCAAGGAGTCTTGCCTTTTGCCTTGTATTACATATGCCAAGGAGAGCCACTCCAGAGGACTTTCTATGGAAAACTAGCTCTATTTAGTTGTTGGACACAAAGTAAACACGGAAAACTACACATGGCCGATAGGCGGTTGTGCCTTGCCAACCGACTACCGGCAATCGGTGGTTTTATCCACTCTGCCACCAGTGGGCCCCATGCCACAAAATGTGTCGAGCAGAACCGTAACACTTCTGTGTATTACTAGAAGTCCTAACAGCACAATAACTACATTGATTAAAAAAAAAGTAAAGGTGCCACTATTAGAAAAAGAAACACTGATCTGGGTAATTGGGGTACTTGTTTAAGAGATTGTCGGCCAATTTCACCAACCTTCGTTAAAATACAGTAACAAGATATTCTTCAAGTTTCATGAAATACTTTAGTCATTAAAGTTTATGGTAATCGTTAAATTTTAATGGTGGTTGGTGAAATTGGCCTCCTCCGTAAAGTCCAACAAGTAAAGTGATTTTAAAAAAAAAGATTAGTGAACATTTTGTTTAATTTAAAGTATTTAGCTGCAGGGGAGCACTTGCCCCCTTCTAATATGCATTTTTTTTTTCTTTTTAACAATTGAAATTTGTTTTCATGCAATCCACATAATTTCATACGAATGTGAAAGGAAAATATAATTTTCTCCCTTTCACATTTGTATGAAATTACTGTAATGATTCAAACCTGCACATTTGATTCGTTTGGTGATTTTATGTAATTCTATTCTAAATTCAGTTATAGATCGGGGCATCTCAAACTATGGGTTACGACTTCATTTTGGGTCGCAAATGATTTCACTTCAACCCGAAATGTCCCTCTCGGATTCTCCAAAACCACCGGTTAGTGAAAATGATTAAGAATAACGTTATGGATACATAACAGTGGAATAAAGCACTTGCACGTCTCGCTGGGATCTATTAGGTGGCATTTCTATTTTCAAAATTGCTTGGGACCACTTTTTTTTTTAATACTCTTTCTGCCCTGTGGGCACTAAGAGGGCCTCTTATAGCAGGCCCATTATGGGTTCGGCCAGGCCCACAATGGGGCGACCAGGTGGTGAGGGGCCTGACATCTGAACGGACCACCCCCGAAAAATTCCTGGGGATTCCTTGACCCATCCAGATTCGATCCCAGGTTCCCCAGAGTGGTAGGCTGCCACCTTGACCACTCGGCCATCCGGCCGTCTGCTTGGGACCACTAGTGCATTTAAAGTTGTGAATGAAATAGAACAATTTGAATGTATTCATTGTTACTAAATAAAACGTGAAAAAGTGAAATTAGACTGATATTTTATGTGTTTTCCATTAGCTCGAATAAGTCGATTCGGCGTTGACATAATTAGTGTATTCCCATGCGCTTCCATGTGGTTACTATTATAGCTTTCAAGTCATAAATGTTATGGTATTGTTGTCAGTTAGCATCTGGCACTTGATGGTCCCCAAGCACAATTTAGTTTCGAGGCCCCGTATTTTAAATACTAAATAATGCTATCAAATCGATTTATTAACTTAATTTTAAAAATCCAACAATGAATTGCATAACTTTCCCGGCAAAAAAGTTAGTTTGTGTGGTGCCATGTGTTTAAATTTAAAGAACGTATACGTAATTAAAATAATCATTAAATAATTAAATAACAATATGGAGATAGAATAGATATCGTGTGGTATGACGTCATACCACACGGAAAAGAGATTTTGCGTAAGTTTTCCGGTTATNTACATTATCTTTTCCGATCATCAATCAAATCACTAAAAACTTCATCCGGTTCAAATTTCACATCGTGCATTTCTCTTTTTTGGCAGTGTTTATTATAATTGATTGCTTTTGAATGTTTAAACTGAAATTGAATATTTTGGTTTGAATTTTTTCATAGGTTCAAAGCAAAACCCAAAGAAGAGATTTCTCTGTGGAATTTGTGACAAAGAATTCTTTTTTTAGTCCTCATTAGAAAGTCATCGGAGGATTCACACCAGAGAAAGGCCATTCTCTTGTCACTTATGCTCTAGAAGATTTAATCGGACTTTCGCTCTACCAAGGCACTACGCCCTTTATACACGAGTTAACGTGCCAAATTTCATTTCTTAAAGAACCCTGCAGTTATTTATGAGCTAGATTTTAGAGTTTACACATCAAACTTTGTGTGTTTATCATTATTTCCGACGCTTCCGCCATTTTGAATTACAGTAATTTAAAGAAGAACCAACAACATTCTTAAACGAGTAGACCTTAAAAATTATTTTAAAAGTTTTAAAAAAAAAAAATTAACAATTCAGACTTAAAAACCATTTTAACAAAGTTTTTAATATATTTTAATTTTAAATCGCGTTTAAATTTGAATTTAAAAATTCGATTTGCCGTAGAACGGAATCGATTCTTTTAACGTGAAATTGCGTCATTCTGCTTCTGTGCTCCGAAGAAGAAGAAGAACGTCGACATGGACGATAAACGAGGAACGAATGAGGAAAAAATCAATTTAATATTAGAAATTCCGGCATCGGAATTGGAGAAACTCACTCCTTCGCAACGAGAAATGCTTCCTAGATTAAGGGGCATCTTTGCCAACAGAAAGATACAAGAGGATATCCCGAGAAAACGAGGAAGAAGCAGGATAAGTCAAAGGCTCACATCATCTAGNATTTTTTTTGCAGTTCTTTAAACGAGTAGACATTAAAAATTATTTTATCAAAGTTTTTAATATATTTTAATTTTAAATCGCGTTTAAATTTGAATTTAAAAATTCGATTTGCCGTAGAACGGAATCGATTCTTTGAACGTGAAATTGCGTCATTCTGCTTCTGTGCTTCGAAGAAGAACGTCGACATGGACGATAAACGAGAAACGAACGAGGAGAAAATCAATTTAATAGTAGAAATTCCAGCATCGGAATCGGAGAAACTCACTCCTTCGCAACGAGAAATGCTTCCTAGATTAAGGGGCATCTTTGCCAACAGAAAGATACAAAAGGATATCCCGAGAAAACGTGAAAGAAGCAGGATAAGTCAGAGGCGCACATCATCTAGGAAGAGATCGAATGCCAAGAGAAGAAGATCCAAATCGAAAACCATAGGAAGGAGTGAAAAAAGAGGGAGAAAAGGAAGAACTGGTAGAAAGAGAATAGGGCGCCGATAGAACGATAATTTTCGACCGAAAACGGAAACGGAATTGCTGGATTCCCTTAATCTAGCGATCAAACGGCTCTTTTCAGAGCCATTTTTTTATTGGTGAAGAGTAGCCGAATCGATTTTAATAAACATCGCTTAATTAATGCATTAAATGTGGTAGATTCGGTTTTATTTTAAATTTGCAATCGCTTCGAATGTAGAATTTGGAAATCGTTTAGAGTGAAAATTGGCTTTTTCGATTATTTAATTTTTATAAAAGAAAAATTACAATATAAAAAGTTTTTAGTTTGCACCGGCCCTTATATTTTAACGCATTTATTTCACTTGTGTCAAAATTTTTACACAAGTTCAGTACGTGGATTACCTTTAAAATTTTTCGATTTAGCCCAAAGTTGGCCGATGGCATCGGGAAGCGTTAACCCGGACAAGAAGCGAGAATATTTACTTTTAAAAAGGAATGTGTCGGCATCGAGCGGTGTTGACGTTTAGGACTTTTCTGTTTTAAATATCGGGTGAAGCAACTCCTTTTTTGAAATTTACAACGTTCGAAGTAACCGACAGCGCGATTCAAATTAAGGGTAGAAGAAGGGAAGGTTTGTGCATTAGAATAAAAGGTATAAATGCGGACTTTTGTAATTCAGAAATGAAGAAATTTTGTGGGAAAAAAGAAAATGTCGACGAGGAAAATCGAATTTATGGGACGAGACGAACGTTTCAAACGTGGACATTCCACGTCGTCTGAATTGCGTAGAGTATTTTAAATGTTTTATTCGATAATCTAATAATTATATTAATGGATTTCGTGAATTTAACGAACATTTTACTCAATTTTAAATTGGAAAATGTTTCTTCAATTCCCGTGGCTGGTCGAGCGACCGGTTGAAAGGTTCGAATTCACTTTTAGTCCGTGTCTTTGGATTCAAATTTTCTTTTGAGACGAGGAAGACATTTGAACCGCAACAAGGTTATAATGTGGAAATACATTATCTTTTCCGATCATCAATCAAATCACTAAAAACTTCATCCGGTTCAAATTTCACATCGTGCATTTCTCTTTTTTGGCAGTGTTTATTACAATTGATTGCTTTTGAATGTTTAAACTGAAATTGAATATTTTGGTTTGAATTTTTTCATAGGTTCAAAGCAAAACCCAAAGAAGAGATTTCTCTGTGGAATTTGTGACAAAGAATTCTTTTTTTAGTCCTCATTAGAAAGTCATCGGAGGATTCACACCAGAGAAAGGCCATTCTCTTGTCACTTATGCTCTAGAAGATTTAATCGGACTTTCGCTCTACCAAGGCACTACGCCAGGATTTATTCTAGAGAGAAACCTTTCACCTGCTATCACTGCAGATGAAGCTTTGCACATAGACAACACCTGGTAAAGCATATTCGCATTCATACCGGAGAAAATCCATTTAATTGCCAGTATTGTTTGCGAAAGTTCTCTAATAAATCCAATTTGAATTCTCACATCAAACGCCATAACAGAGAGAAGCCTAATTAACATATATATTCAAACACTACTTCTTCCAACATGTATTAATTTCTGTGATTAAACATATTAAGGAAATTAATTTGGTTTAATCCGGACGAATATTAATTGGGTTATGGAGCAATACATTTCGGCTATTTGGAAATACCGAGCTGAACTGAGGCCTGGTGCAATGTAGTGTACGGAGGCATTATCCTGTTTGTACTTTCTTCGATTGTATATTGTGATTACGAATTTGTTTTCCCGAATTTTTTGGTTTGGTTTTGTTTATTTGGTTACGGCAACACGACACGTGGGCGATCTGTTAAAGGGAAGTGCCTCCTGGAAGGACTTTAATGGGAAACTGGTCCCAATTTAAATGTTGCAAACGTGAAGAAAACTCAGAAAATTCCACGTGGCCAGGCGCCAACCCACTACCAGTATTTAATGGTCGTGGGTAGCCCAATTGTTGTAGGCGCAACGTCTTTTTAAAGTCGTTGCACCTACAACAATTGGGATGACCATTTGTGAAATATTAGTGAAAAAATTTTAAGGCACAAATTAAAGCTTAAAGCCTTCTCTGACGATGCTTGTTATCATGCTGACGTTGCTTCATCCGTTAAACTTGGTATTGTAATATTATACGTGTGGCTTAGCTACCACACTCTAACAATATTTCTTAAATTATCTTAATTAATAGTAATATTTTTAGTAAAATTGAATAAATCGTAAATATATTGATATAAACACATTTTACAGGCCGTATGGCCGAGCGNTATAATTGCTTTTGAAAGTTCAAACTGAAATTCAATATTTTGGTTTGAATTTTTTCATATTTCGCCAAGCAAAACCCAAAGAAGAGATTTCTCTATGGAATTTGTGACAAAGAATTCTTTTTTAAGTCCGCATTAGAAAGTCATCGGAGGATTCACGCCAGAGAGGCCGTTCTCTTGTCACTTATGCTCTAGAAGATTTAATTGGACTTTCGCTTTACCAAGGCACTACGCCAGGATTTATTCTGGAGAGAAACCTTTCACCTGCCGCCACTGCAGATGAAGCTTTGCACATAGACAACACCTATTAACTCATATTCGCATTCGCATAACATCTTCATGAAATGCGACCGCTCTCGAGATATGATACGTGACAACCCTCTGTACCACCGAAGATTAAAACAGCATTACACACAAGCTATCGTGCCAAATTTAGTTTCTTAAAGTGTATACAGGTTTCTTTTATGTTGTTGTCAAGTTGCAAGTTTTCTCACTATCACTCACATAGCAAAAAGTGCTATAGAAATGTGCCCACTTGTGGAACGGATTTTTGTTTCTGTTACAACGGGTTCGCGTCAACAATGTACCAAAGTGTTGTAATGAAGCTAAGTGTAATAGAATCGCTAATCTTTCTCGTATTCTTCTGTGCATACGTTAGCTGAAAGTTCAGATTTGTTTTTGAATTCACCGAATCCAAGCGGTCGGGGGAAAACACTAGAAATTTTTCGGGATTATTCTGTTCCATATATATCGGGCCCCGTCCGTCGCCGCGATTTACGATAGGTCGACGGCCCGATAGTCGATTGCTTAAAGTGGCAACCATCGTTCTAGAAAGCCGAAATCGAATCCAGACGGCTAAAAAATCCCAAAAGTTTTCGGAGTGATCCGTTCGGATAAATCGAGCCCGTCCCTCATTGGACGCTCAATTGTAGACCCGGCCGAACCCATAATTTTTAAAAAGGATCCTCTTAAGGCGCGTTCGGAAATTGTAACCGGTGTTACCGGTAACACCCAAGGACTATATACTACAAGGATAGCCAGATCCCTATTCTACAATGTTAGCCNATTTTTTAATAGCTGTGCAGTCTTTCAACAGATGAAGAAGAGAAAAGTTTTCCGATTTACACCAATAACACTTTTGTTTAGAACAATTTATATATGTATGTATGTAACCAACAAAAAATATTTATTTAGACCAATTTGTAATAATAATCGTTAACATTTCATATTTATATCAGTTATAATAAATCTGGAATCAGAAGGAACTTTTAAAATTTGAGAATACCATGAATGATAAGCCGATTGCAATATTGAGTTTTGATTGCGATATGGCCAATTCCATCAGTAGTGTATAGGCGTTATTCCAATTTATGTCAGATTTATCTAATAAAACACTTGAGATTCCATATGTTTGAAGTATATTATTTAATTTGTGTTGCCAAGTATCTTTGGTGGAATATAAAACATTAAGCTTAGTTCACACTGAGCGAATAGCGAAAGCGAATGTGAAAAGCGAAAAGCGATTTTTATTCGCTTAGCGAAATTGACCCTACAACCAAAAGCGAAAAGCGATTGCGAATTTTNGGCTCCCTTTACTGGTCGAATGAGTGTTGCCAGCTAAAACATGTAAAAATAATATTAAAGTAGCCAAGACATAGCCAAATATTGTAGCGCCACATCACTAGCGTACTTTTGAAATTTGCGGACTAGGACGGTCGGATAATCGGGAGTCGGATAATCGAGGCTCTACTGTACTTATATAAACGAAACGTGACGTCGAAGCACTACAGCCTTTTTAAAATATAAAAAAATAACATTAAAACTGATTCGTTTAAACTTTTGTAACACCATAAAAATTGCATGAAAAATATAGATTAATAATAACTGTTCTCTTTTCAGGTTACTTTTTCTAACTTAATGTTGGCATTATTCATCGGTGCATTTACTGTTACGAGAGGTTACGAGATCTTCGACCGAGCTTCTTTGAAAAAAATAGCATTGGCAAACAATGAATTCTCTTTCGAGTTACTAAGAAGTTTAGAATCTGATAAAAACATTTTCATGTCTCCATTCAGCATCTACGTAGCGTTAGCCATGCTTAGCGAAGGTGCAAAAAGCGAAACATACGAACAGATACGACGTGTTCTCAATTACAACATGGCAGGAATCCAGAGAGATAATATTTCTAGAAGTTTCAAACAATTGTTGCAGTTCTTGCAGAGTAATGGGAGTGAATACGAACTAAATGTGGCAAATGCCATGATCTTGCAATCGAATTATTCAATTTCGAACGAATTCCTGAAGAAAATTAAGAATGATTTTAATTCGCTCGTAACGAGGGTGTCTTTTGAAACAGGAGACAATCGCGCTGTTACAGAAATTAACAATTGGATAAGGCAAGCAACTGGTGGGAAAATAAAGGAATTGTTTCGAGCGCTCGAACCCGAAACCAGACTCGTTTTACTGAATGCAATTTACTTTAAGAGCGTGTGGGAGAATGCATTCGATTCGAAGAAAACTTACAATCGAAGCTTCTATAACAATGGCGTAAATCCTGTCCAAGTTCCCTTCATGCACGCGAATATAAAAAGCGTAATGAATGTAAATTTTGAAAACTTTCGTGCAATTTCTCTTCCTTACAAGGGAAAAGACATACAAATGATAATTGTATTGCCAACAAACGATTACAATTTGAAGAATTTACAATTGAATGCCGATAAATTGGAAGAGATTATTTCCGAAATGAAACCTCAACCCTACTTAGAGTTGGCATTACCAAAATTTACATTGGAAGAATCTTTATCGTTAAACGAGCATTTGAAGAATCTTGGTATGACAAATTCCTTCACTCGTAAAGCTGATCTATCGGGAATTACTGGTGATAAAGATTTATATGTCAGTGAAGTGATGCACAAAGCTGTCATCGATGTCAACGAAGAGGGAAGCGTAGCAGCAGGAACGACGGGACTGATACTTGTTGCAAAAGTAGTTACAGATCGTAGATTCTATTGTGATCGTCCTTTCCTGTTTGTTATTCGCGATATGAGAACGGGAATGAATCTCTTTGTGGGTCAGTTAAAACAATTGTAAATTGTCAAAATTAATTATGCATTTGGATCTTATGTAAATCAATAAATTGTACATTTTCGATTTGGTTTGGTTTGGTTTTGTTTTATGAAATACAGCAGTGCAACACGTGGCATTATTTCATTTCCCTTCCCAAACGTCAGTGGTGGATTACCCAATGAGTGACATAATTCATTAATTGACGACTTTATTGTCTTTTTAATATAAACATACACTTTTATATAAAGAGCCTTAGCGCCTAGGGCCTTAAAGGAACATAATCCGCTACTGCCGAATGTTCTATACGATTGTACAGCGCGAATAGCATCTAGTCGTCCATATTGGATACAAAAAAAAATCCAGGTTACACATGAAAAACCGTTCTAAATACAACTATTCGATCATTTTGGGCGCGTGCCCACTTTTACGTCTGGGTTGCCCTTTTTCTTCTAATCCCAAGGGGCCCCAAATTTCATTATCGACAAACAACAGAAAATTCATGACTTCTGCCCAATTCTGCAATATAAAAGACTCTAATAAATTATATTTGTCCATTGGCTAAACAATTGTTTCGAAAGTTAAAGAGCAGAGACCAAGGATAGACTAAAGCTTCTATGAGGCCTGGGGTTAGAGTAGACTCCTTTAGCCATTATTTTTAACAAATGAAGTATGATGGAATGATTAAAAAACAGTCTTAAATATTTTATTTTCTGTTAGTAAAAAAAATAACATTAATTTTATAGCGGAAGGAACCACTAGAGACCGCTAAGTTTTTGTCAGGCCCAGGTAAAAATTCCCAGCTCCCCCTATCGACGTTCTTTCGTTGTCTCCTTATCACATTTAAAACATTATCGTTGTGTATAAATTAAATAAATTAAAATTATCGAGTCACTAAAACTCCAATTACCATATTAATTAAACGTGATGATAAGATAAGGAAATAGCGTAATATTTTAATATACGCAAACACTTAAAAACAACATCCTGGTCACATATATTTATGGAAAATCAAGACGATCCGGATCAGATTCGATCCCGGATTCCTCGAAACGATGTAAGAATAACTTAACTGTTTGTATATGGTAACGCAACTCTCAGGCAATCTGCGAGGGGATGGATGAATCCTGGGAGGACTTTAAATGGTAACTGCCCCTATTGGGTGTTAAAAACGTAAAGAAAACCGGAAAACTCCACGGTGGCGAAGCGCGAACCGTTGACTAGTGTTGCCAGCTTTTATTCAGCCTCAGGCTCACCAGAGGCTGAATAGTTGAAATTTGAAACCACCGCACATTGGTAGTTTCAAATTTTAAGGCGTGACCAAGCAGTCCTCCATTAATTAATTACATGTACAGTTTTCTGTGGGTTTTTTTCACGTGCCTAGCATCTAAATGTGGGTCAGTTTCCTACAGAAAATTCTTAAAGGAAAAGATCACCCATGTGTCGCATAACTGTTTCCAACAATTCAAAACGTGGGCCATCTGGCAATTTGTCTAGAAAATTTTGAGATTATAATCATTTGCTCGGAACTGTGCAATTTCTAAAGTGTAACATTTGCTGAAGATCAGTACAATACTTCAAACATTTATTATTATGGAGATTGTTATTACCAATTGATAAATGCTAGCAAGTACAGTACAGCGGATCCAGAAATCTTCAGAGAATGGAGAATGGTATTATTCTAGTAAGGCATATGCCTTACTAAAATCTTTACTACCTGAGATACCAGGCCTATTCGGAAAAAAATCCCAGAAGGGGGGTACAGGTGTGCTTTGAGTAGGCCTAAATTCTCCCTGAATGCAGGAATAAGCTAATAAACAATGTAATACACATCTCACACAATTATGCCCGAATAATCAAAATCCTATTTTTTTTAATCTAAATTTTTATTTTGTAATAATGTGTTTCAGTTTAACAATTTATTTTGCATATCTCAAGATAAAATTTTAAATAAATAAATTTGTTTCCTATTTATCTGCACGTTATCTGATTTAAAATATGAATAATTTCAGATAATTATTCAATAGTATTTTTAGAATGATTGATATTTCTAGAACAAAATTTCATTTTATGAAGCTTAGTACTAGAAAATTTTGCATAAAAATTCCACTTATTACTTTTTGGAATCTCCTCCCTGAAGGCACTAAAAAGGCCTTTCTTCTGTACACAGTATAGGTTTGGTTCAATCAGGCCCACAATGGCCAGGTGATGAGGAATGGTGCCCAACATATCCTGGAAAAGTTCTCACAGTTTTTTGACCTTGTAGATTCGAACCTGGATCCACCAGAACTGTAGATTGACGACTTAACTGCCTCGGTTATCCTACCTATCGCTTATCTTTAAATTAATCAGTATATATAAATATAGGAACACTATAATTACCTTCCACATTTTGCTCACCAGTGGATAAAACGAATTAACACTTGATCGCAGGTCCGTGCCTTAACAAAAGTCATCCATTAATTACGTGTACAGTTTAAGAGGGGTCACTAGTATTACGTAATTATACACAACAGGGAGGGACGATGTCAAAAGTGGTTCAAATACTATACACTTAATACAGACAACTCATAGAGTAATTGTATTCATATATTATACAACTAACTAAACATACATATTTTTAAATTTACTTTTCATTTTTTGTTCTGACAAAATAATTAAAAATAAAATAAAAATAAGGTAAATATCTTATCAGTATGAATGCGATTTAGCTTTGAAAAACAGAAAAAATAGAAACAGAAATGATAAAATTAATTTAAGACGTTATTCACGCAATTATATGTATCGTTGCATACACATACATATGAAAACACAGTATGTATGTATAGGTTATGCGTGAAAACGTTATACATATGTTACATCTATAACATTTTCCTATCAAATTACTCACGATACATAAGAAAATAACACGAGAATAACATCTGAAATGGGTTTTATTTTTTTTTTTTTAATTTTTGCATTAATGCAAAATTTTAATGCAAATACCATGTGTTAATGCAAATGCCACGTGTTGGCTAATGTAAATGCCACGTGTTAGCGAAATGTCCCCAACACGTGACCACACGTTCATGTAACATCATATATCATATCATATCAATGTGACATATCGCAACAGATTTTTTTTTGATGAGATGCACTGATTATTTGTATTTATTTATTTCTGTTTCAATAGAAAATATTCATTTATGACTTATTAATAAACATAAACAGAATTTAAATTATTGATATGCTAAACTGTAACAAAATACATTAAAATATGACACATTATCTCCCTCTATCTCCCCACCTCCTCCACATTTAACCACTAAATTTAATAGCTTCAATTGCATGTATATAAGAAATAAACCTGCCATGTTTATTATGAGAGAGTGCTCGAAGTGTGGCATTTTGCAAGTCAGTACCCTGAGATCAATTGTCATCTATGTAGCAGGAAAGGGCACATCAAAAATGAATGTAAGAAATAATAATACAGACATCAGGTAAGATGGATACAAGCCTACGGTTTTTAATTAGAAGTGGGTCTGTTAATTCTTTCATATTGTCTATTTTGGCACTATCTTCCTCTAAACAAGATAGATATTTTGTCAAATTAGAAAACAGCAAGATTTGCAAACAATCGAAGATACCGGGGAAAGAAGCTGATAAATAGCGCAAACAGCACTTTTAAAAAATGTTAATCTTACACTTTGAACCGTTTATCTACCTCCATTCGAGATAATAACCGTTGCAGCATGGCATACAAAATTCGTTATAGATAATTAAACAGAACAATCCTGTGAAAGCTTTAGACACTAGTCAAGTGATTTAATGACTTCTGTGAGAATCGAATCGTTTCCAGAAAATTCAGTAATAAAGATATTGAGAAGCCAAATTTCTAAAAAATGCGACGAAACTACTCCACTTCTTCACTCAAAGGATCAAGACTTTCATCAAGTTTATGTAAATGGGTAAGTACAGAAGGCTTATTTAATTTGCCACGCGATAATTTAATAATTTATTTCATTTTTTACATCTATTCTTTAATGTTTCATTGAATTCGAATCCAAAAATTGCCATATTATAAGAATATTCTCGTGTGGTTTCGTGGCATTCAACTGATGGAGCCATTGAGAAGTATTATAAATTTACATTTGGGGTTCTCGAAATTTCAATTGAATTTTATTACATCCTAATTGAAACTTCAATCTCTATTTATTCAGTAATCTATTCACAATAAACTGTTTTATTTTTAAATATATTTTTCCAATTTTTTCTCCAATACCAAACATTGAAACTCCTTTGTAAAATTCATTAGGTCTACTCAATGAAAGTTTAAATAGGCCTAAATTTAATTATTAATTAACTAAATTACTTAATTATGTAAATATACGATTCTTTTTATGTTATAAAGCAATATTATGCTTTACTAAAACTGAAAACAATGGTGAAAAGTTGTTGAATTGCAAAGATTGAAATTTAATTTCGGTTTAATTCACTTCGTTTTTAAGGTAAAATTAGATAAAGTATCAGATTTATCTATAATTTTATCGGAATTTCTATTGAGGGATTGCAGTCACACCCCTTCTGCGTGTTCAGATGTGATTTGTACCTAAATAGTTCGATTTTTTGTGATATTTATGTCCCTTTTGTCATGCTCTTTGTTGGATAAAAACAATTTCATGTTATTAAAAAGTAAAAGGACAGTATTTATCTTTATCAGGTAATATAATAATGTATATATCGATTATTTTTCTTTTTAATTAAAATTTCTTTTCGATTCCATAGAGATGACGGTTTCAGCAATGCATCTTCAACAGATGAAAAAGAACTTGGATCATCTTGTGATACTAGATACTACTTAAATATATGTAAATTAGTTGTGTTGTGTGCATCTGTTCTGTTTGCTGTTGTAAGTTTCCGAAAATAGAAATATACGTGATTAATATTTTATACTTTCAGTTAATAATGACTGATTTCAGGTAGCTTTAAGTTTCATCGAAGAAAAGTCTAAATCATGGACGAACATTGCCATTAAAAATGATCATCCAGTACGTATCCTTTAATTTGAGTGGGTAATTCTTAAATTTCTATGGATAATTAGCTTCTGTTTAGGTATTAAACACGCGAAGAAACCCGGTTAACCTTCAGGCACAAACCCGCGACCCTCCAATGGGTTGGCTAAGTGGAGTTTTCCTTGTTATCTTCACGTGTGGATCAGTTTCCCATAGAAAGCCCTCCCGGAGACATGTATTATAGCCGTTCTACCTACCCAAAGACAAGTTAACTAGTCATGTGGTTTAATTGGTTACCACACATTACAAAACCAATAAATCCTCAATAAAAACGGTTAAGAAATTAAATCAAAAGGCATCGTTTCTATTCTAGTTTTTAAATCTTTAAACAGTTTTTAGATATCAATTTGTCTGAAAAACTCGATTCTAAAAACCCCATTCTTCACGTTTCGGCAATGGGTCCATTTCTTCCAGAAAAATATTTAAATTTCAGCCAAAATCGTATATATTTCAAAATCATGGAGGTGACTCCGAGTGGTCTTCACGAGGTAAGTAAATACTTTATTATAAATATATTTTTATAGAAAATTAATGGAAAATATTATACAGACGTCTCAACCCACGTGGGTGATACCAGCATCACCGGCATATCTCGTGAATGATATTGAATCGACTCTTGAAGAACGGAGCTTCAATCTCCTCCTCGAAGAAGAACTCGAAGGGTAGGTTTACCTTAACATGATTTCTCTATACACCAGCAACACTCAATTTAACTATTTATAGGAGTTTTTATCAACTTATCATCGGTACGGAAGAAAACAACGATTACATCTTTATTGCGGTATCATTATCATATCAACCCCCCATAGCCTTAGACAGTATCATCATGGCCGGCTGCGTTTTAGTAGGGTTATATATTCTCATAATATTCGAGGTGATGACTGGTGGATGATAAACATTCGACATGACTTTATAATGTGTCCTGAAGTAGCTTTTTCAATCTTCCAGTTGGTGCATAGAACTCTGGCAGCCATCATCGGAGCAACGGTAGCTATCGGATTTTTATCTGTAATTGGAGAAGTACGTTATTATCTGTAGATTATTAAATTAGTTTGCATTTTTAACAAGATTATCGTACAAATCTTATCAATTGTTTGCATCATTGCTTCTTTTTCAAGCGTCCAAGTTTACTTGAAGTGATAAGTTGGCTGGATGTGGAAACTTTAAGCTTACTCTTTGGCATGATGATTATGGTAGCCATTTTCTGCGAAACTGGATTTTTCGACTATTTCGCCATTCTGGTGAGGGCAATTTGCATTCGAATGTGTTTTAAAAGAGGGACATAATTTAATTCTATTTTAATTGCAGGCATTTCGTTTAGCACGAGGGCGTGCTTTACCACTACTAACAGCTCTATGCCTGTTTACGTTAGTCATGTCTGCATTTTTAGATAATGTTACCACTATTCTTCTTATAACAGCTGTTACTATAAGGTACGATTTTTAAATTTGAAAAAAAAATTTACGAAAAATTTAATAATGCCTCCATGAAATATCATTATTTTAGACTCTGTGAAGTATTAAATGTGGATCCTAAACACTTTCTTATTGCTATGATCATCTTCTCCAACATCGGTGGTGCTTCAACACCCGTGGGTGATCCTCCAAATGTAATCATCATTAATAATCCTAAGATTAAAGAAACAGTAAGATGATTTTTTTTAATATAAGCGATTTAATAGCCAATATTTTGATTTAAAAAATTACATATTTACACGTTGGTTTTCAGGGATTGGACTTCTCGAGTTTTATTCTTCATGCCTTTCCGAATGTTTTACTGTGCACGCTTTGCACCTACTTATTTCTCAAGGTAATGTATCGTAATCAATCTTCTATGCAATTTGAAGAACCACCGGAGGTTGTAGGTATGTTCAACTACAGTGTTATACAGAATACACTCCATAAAACCTATAGAAAATTTAATTATACAATAATTTTCAGAGCTCAAACACGAAATAAATGTTTGGAAGAAGGCTCGAAACTCGTTGTCAGGTTATTCTCGAGACGAAATGACAGTCAAGGCTCTTTTAAAAAAGAAAATTCAATTACTGAAAACCTTATTACGTAAAAAATTATATGATGCCAGGTATATATATCATCATCATTATCATTGATATACGTATACAATATGAAACTGATGTTTAATTATTCTCTTATTTAAGGCCTTCGGATGATAATTATTTAGCTAATCTGGAAGAACTGAGCAGTAAAGTAAGTTTCTCGGTTTCAAATAATCTTCTTCGAAGCTTTAAATTGTCTGTTTAATTAATCTATTTTTATTCTATAGTACAAGATAAGAAATAAAGTTCTACTGGCGAAAAGTAGTATAGTTTTGATAACAGTCATCATCCTTTTCTTCTTACAAAGCGTACCCAGTTTAAATCTGAGCTTAGGTAAGTAAACAGTAAACTAAATACACTGTCTTCAATAATATACTACCATTTCAATTTACTGTAATTATGTTAATTATTACATGAGAAGTATTCACTGTACATCAATTTCATCTTCCATGTTCATTCAAACGTCTTGTTATTAAGTGTCATAAACAAAAATGGCGACACAACAGAAGATACGTTTTGTGTTCTGCAGCTTGCAAATTCGGAATTGATCATCCATCTTAATATTTAGAAGCTGCATAATACAGCTGTGGAGCTACAAGAGATTCATAATTGTGTGTTGTGGAGGAATAACAATTGGTACTGTCGTGTTTGACGTGTGTAGTAATGACGATAGTAATTAACATAATTACAGTAATTTAAACTGGTGGTTCCATGTGTGTTCGTAGATTCTTAATTCTGGTGTGTTTAAATCATTATGAAGGTTGGATCGCACTTCTTGGAGCTATCATGTTATTGATTCTTGCTGATTTTGACGAGATAGAAAGCGTTCTAGGACGAGTCGAATGGTCGACTCTTCTATTTTTTGCTGCCCTTTTTGTAGTTATGGAGGTAATCGAAGAATTTAAATTGTGTAAATTAAAAAAAAAAAAAAAGTGAATCTAACACAATATTCGATTTAGGCATTGACGAAATTAAGATTAATCTGGTTTATCGGCCAAATGACTCAAGATTTCATCAGTTCTGTAGACGAAAACCAACGATTACTCGTTGCTATTGTGGTCATATTATGGGTTTCAGCACTTGCATCCAGTTTCATTGACAATATCCCTTTCACTACAGCAATGGTATGTGTTTTAAAATGGATTTATAAATTAAAACTATAATTTTATTAAGTAATTTTATATTTTTAGGTACAAATCATAACCGATTTATCCGATAACGACGAATTGGATCTTCCATTGATACCATTAGTTTATGCGCTTTCTTTTGGAGCCTGTTTGGGAGGTATTTTAATTTATTCTTATCCGAAATTTTACTACTGTACATTTAAAATTTTAGTACATTTATTTTCTCTTTTTGGCCAGGAAACGGTACATTAATTGGCGCTTCTGCCAACGTAGTATGTGCAGGTCTTTCAGAGCAACATGGCTACCGTTTCACTTTCATGGATTTCTTTAAGTAATTCTTTATTTTACTCATGTCTGTTCAGTTTTATTAACATATTATTAAGCTAAAAGTTATGTTTTTTTTTCCTTTTGTCAGAATTGGTTTTCCAGTTATGCTCATAACGACTGTCGTTTCCAATTTATATCTCATGGTGTGCCACGTGTTTCTGCAATGGAACGAATGAATCTACTTCTGTACATAATATGCTTTCATATATAAAATACAACACATATTTAATTAATAAATTAATTAATTTACACTCCTTTTTTTAAAAAAACGACTTTAAAAACAAAGTAATTCAACTTATAATTAAGAGTACTTCTGACTCAAGAGTTCGTCCTTCACACACTTTAATGGCGTCGAAGAAATTAACAAAGGTCATTGTTCAGTTTCCACATCCAAAAACATAATTACTGATAAATTATAATCAAGTTTTAGTCCTTCAAAGTATTTTTCTTATGATTTTTAAACTTAATTACTAAATTTCCTGACGTATTCTTTAAATTACAAGATGGTTCCGTTCGAAAAAAAACAAAGAAAAATGGCAGTTTCTCGCTCCTTAATTAAACATCTCGCATCTTTCCATTAATTAAAAAAGAAAAATTAATAGTTGAACCACTTAAAAACTTGGCAATTTTTTAAGTGGTCGGTTCTAAAATTAGTACACAGCCCTAATTTAAGCCAGTAAAGGATATTTAAAGAGAACGTACAAAAAGTTTCTCCCTATGATCTACACTCTTCTACACTCTTCTATGAAAAAAATAAGTAGTGTTGTTCATTATTTTAACCCCTAAAGTTCATTGAATAAAAGAGCATTTACTCTAAACCTTGAATGAAAGCGGTTAACCTTTGGCTTTAATTCAAATAATAAATCTCCTGTATATACAAAACTAAACACGTATAAAGCGTAGTAAATAGGTCACAATATTTTTTCAGGATCAAATTATATTTATAGAAAACCATTTGTGTAACAAAATATACGTTTTGTTTTCAGCTTTGTATTGTTTTCTTTTATTTGGGTGTTTATTTTGTGCATTAATCACACATGTTTTGTACGTTTCTTGTACTGTACATCAAATACAACACACATAGGTATGTGTGTTGTCGTATATACAGTACATAATAGCGTGTGTTGGGTGTGTTGTATTGTGTTGTGTGTAAGCATTAAGTGTTATAAGGATTATAAAGATGCGTATAGAACTTAAGAAGAGAATGGGAATAATTGGCAATACTAAAAATAGAAATTTGCAAACATTTAGCAAATAAATAAGTGTTTTCACTTATTTTTTTTATGTGGATTGATGTATATTTTTACAGTCACGATTGTTACTATTTATCGAACAAACTATTTGTTTCTCGATTTATAAAATCATGCATAAATCACACCCACAGAAAGTTTATGTTGGAAGAGTTTTGTCATTTTCTTTACAAAAACAGACGTCGATCAAAGTGTAAATTATGCTTCTGATTAACCCAATGGAATTTATACTAAAGACATCATAATGGACGAAGTGTGGCACAATAATGATGCAGTAAACTAATGGAAATGTTATATACACAATGGGTACAAAAGTAGGTATGCAGATGTTATTGTGGGAGAAAAAAAATGGAAGAAAAACATGTTTATGTATTAATTAAACCATAAATAAGGTATAAGAAATAATAATAATAATGAACAGAAAAGACCTGTATATCACAGATTCACAACTGTATATCTACTTTTGCACCCCCTGTATACATGTTTTTATGTATATATACAATGTATATAAGTTACTTAACAACAGAAGGCTATATATATCTATATATAATTTTCATAAAAGTGTATTATTTCTTCATAAATGACTGGTGGACTGTGTAGTTGTAGGAATGCAAATTATCATCCTCTAATGAAGAAATTATTGATCATAAATGTTTTAGTATTACATAATTCTTTCGGAGTATCAAAGAAATTGGAAATGTATGAATTCAAGGAATTAAATCGCCAGTGAAATAACCGAAAAAAGTTAAAATAAGTAATATACTACAGGAGCAAACCGAGTTGTATTGTTGAAAGAAGGCGACCAACACTTGGCACTCTACCAAGAAGGTTGTCTTTCGAGGGACTTTATATGATAAACTAATCCCTATTTAGGTGAAGAAATACCATAAAATTTCACGTGGTAATCCCGTTAATCAGGCGCGAACCCGCGACCAACTGTTCGGTGGATAAAATCCCACCAAAAATTGGTAGATGTTCGCGGATTCTCATCTCACCAACAGGCTTGAGGGTATTAAATACACATATAATCACGTAAAAAGAAAGAAAGATAAATGAAGTGCCATTGGCCCTATAAAAATTNCCTATAAACAACGCCCAAGACAATAATATATAGTAAATATTTGAAGTCGTAACTTCTCTACTGGTAACAAAAAATTTTGTATTAAATATGTTGCATAGAGGAAAAAAATATTAATTTAAAAGCTTGTTTAATGATTTTTAATTATAGAACTTTATTTGAATTTATCACATTAAACATTTCTGTTTTTTACAAAAATTATAACTTATTAAAAAAAGAGAAACATTTTCCCAACATCTCAATTAGAATCTCATATTACTAAGCCTTATTTCCTTTGTTTTTCATACAATTTCGAACAAACGAAGGAATTTCCTTCGCTGCTAAACTAATTCATTAACGCCTGCACCTAATTTCAAGGGTAAAAGAAGTGCCAGAGGTGGGTTTTAACGAGTTTAGACCATAAGTGACAAGTTAATGGTTTTATGGAAGGGCGCGTCATTAAGGGAGAGGGAGAGCATTAATGCTTAACCACAAGAACGGCTTTCGAAATTGATTCCCATACTTTCTCTTAAATTGATAATATTTCATACATTGTTATAAATATTTTTACATATTTCGATGTTTTAACCTAATGTTCGAACCGTTTCAAATCGCTTTGTCTCTGCCAGTCGTTAGGCCTTAGAATTGACATATTTTCGGAGATCCATAAAATATATCAAGAATTCGCTTCATGGTTGAAAAACTGCACTCAACAGATGCACTCGTACCGTAAAAATCAATATTAAATCATATAATTCATATATCTGAGCAACACTGTCTTATTATTAACACATAATTAACTGTTTTGTCACTTCGAAAAGCTGGGACTACACTTCGACGTACTTTGATAGTTACGCTTTCGTAACATCGTAACATTCTATACTTAAAACCGAGTTAATATCTGACAACAACGATTTATTTTTCGGTATTAACTTCTAAATTTACAAATATATGTTTTCGTAACATCGTAACGTTCTATATTTAGGGGAGAATGAGCTGAATGAGGGGAGACGTCGTCTCTGTGTGACACGTTGTCTACCCTCATTCAGCTTTTATTCGTGTTACATCGAACTGTATATTTCTGTGCGTTGTTAGATTCGTTTATTTGCTTCGTTTTTTGACAACTTCATATTTACAAATTCTCTTGGTCCAGAGTTAGCGAACCTTTTAGTTCGCGTACAGTATAGTAAGCATACTGTATGTTTAAAAATGTTTATGCATGCCAAAGTTTTAGAATAACAATATTCAAAGGAATGAAATGAATATAGTTATTCTAATCTTCTAGTGCTTTAATTATACCGTAATAAACGTAACGAAGCCAATTGAAAAAGGATAATCGGATGATAAACCGAAATCGCGTGATAAGTTACATGCCAGATGATTTCTCCCGATGTGACACAGGTTCTTCTCCCGTTCTACGCCTACGGATAAGTTNCAATTTATACGAAGTCGCATTTCTAAAATTAGAGTATTATTATTATTATTATTATTATAAATGAACTAACCAAATAGTAAAAATACAGATGAATTCTGTCCTTCGAAATATAAAATAAATGTTATACAATTTATTATTAGTAGATTTCCTATAGGGATGTTTACAAACTGATATGTCGAGTAATTTCAACATCAGCTGTCTAGCAATTACCATCTTTCGCCTAGTTTAAGCAATAAACGTTACATCCTACACACGTTGCAATCGCGTGTAGGATGTATTATTGCACTTTTGAGTGGAGTAATAAGGTTTAAAGTCGCTCCGAAAAAAATTTTTTTAGACGTTTAAACCGAAAATAATTCCATTTCTGTTACAACTAAAAGCTCGAATGAGAGCCATTAAAATATTCTAACGCGTGTTTAATACTTTAAATCAGAGATTTATTTATTTATCCCGCGCGTAGAAAAGTAACTAGATGAAATTTTACGGCCATAACTCTTCGTGTGTATGTCGGAAAAAATAACTGTATTTGTTGTTTTTTTAATCTATTTTCACGTGATGAGTAGCAGCTAAACATGAAAACAATGCCAACCGTGCTACGTTTTTTTTTCTTGGCACAATGTCGCGGCGGAAAATACATTTAACATACTCAACGAACAGATAGATACAAAGGAAAAAAAATAAAACAGTATCGTAGTTATATACGCAGTCGTCACGAATATTTCGAATTTTCGACATCAGATGACGCTACGATCGTACTATGTCGATTTTGCGATTATAACACCCTTGCACGTGCTTAATAATTTTAATATGCTTTTGATCTTAAATTTTAATGTTTTAATAAAATATAAATTTCGTTAAACCTAAATTTACGAGAAAAAACATTAACAAAAAAAAATTACTACTACCGAGTGTAGACGATCTAAATATATCAGAGTTGCACCTCGCCCTCTGGAGGCAGGAGTGTTTATTATAAAAAATTTTCTATAAATAAAAAAAGAAAAATAAATATAAAATAATAGACACGTGTTTGGCACCTATACCTATTTTAAAATATATTCCAATTTTAAAACAACTTTGCTCGAACAGAATACCAAGTAATACGTAATCACGTGAACACAAAGCCGAAATGATCCTCGAGAGTACGTAAAACAATTGAGACACGTAAACTAAACGCAAATTGGCATTAATTTTAGTAACTCGATACGTAATTTTTCCTTTCAGTATTTCAACAGAAGGATTTTATGGTTCAAATTCTAATTACACTGCAACAAAACTAGTTTTTTTCGCATTGTATAAGCGATCGGTCACTGAAACTTCCAGCGTTTTGGCTCTATTACACACAATTAAGAACCGGTTTACATCATCACAGATCAAGAAAAATTTCTGATATATCGAATTAATGACGTCGAATAAACGCAAATTCCATCGACCGAACATCCCTTAAGCATAAACAATTTCATTAACGCGTTATCAATAGACACGTGATCAAAAAAAAAATTCAAATGACGCCATTTTTATAATGGTCATCGCTACGTGACGTAGAGTTACTCTGAACAGATTACGTAAATAAGTTGAAAGTTCATACGATTATTAAAGGGTCAGAATGTACATAAAGGAGAGTTGCAGCAGCAGCAGCATCGAAGTTAACCTAAAAACACTGGACACCTTCCTGAATGAAAACCGAGAGGAAATTAACCTACAGGAACTTTCTTTAGCGGAATTTATCGAATGTTACAGGAAGTCGGAGTTAATGGAGTCATTTTTAAACGTTGGCAACTAAAAAAAATGGCAGTTCGACTTGTTTTCTAGCTGCTAAAATTGTCACTTAATGTATCTGACGTGCAGAGAGTAAGTACAGTATAGGCCTTATAATTACAGTAGTACAGTAACCGTTGCGTTGTTAGATTTAAGGTACAGTACATTAAAAAGTTCATGCAACTTATTTATTAACTTAATTATAAAAATTTATCATCTAACTAATTATAAAACACTGCGTATGGTGACACGGGAAGTCGTTATTGTTATTCAAATTGTTATTCTATTGAAATTTTATATCCGTAGAAGTATTCGGGATTGAATATATGATACCTCACCTATATACAATTGTATATAAACCAGCATTGAAAGCTATACACTTGTATGTTCGATGTACAGTACACTATACACGTCAAACAAAAAAATAAAGACTTCCTACAGAACGTCATCGGGTACCGGTTACGTCATATTCAACTGGTTGGTTGTTGCAGCTGCATCCAGACTCTCCAACTTTGCAAGCCACAGGGGTCAAAGGTAAGAAATTGCGTGTACTTTAGTAAACAAACCTTGAACTAATCCACTAATTAACATTCAAATATGCTTAAATTTTGCTAATTTAATTGGAAATCGATTTTAATTTTTTAAAAAGTCCTGTCGATTCGACCTCTTTTATCACTCTATTTTCAATCTTTTCTAGTGTTTTTTTGTACTTTATCACGGATCTAGATACCGCGACATGATTTTTTCTCAAGGATAAATGAGTACGAGTAATCTTCTATGGTATATAAATCACTTAATTTCTTGTATATACAGAGGAAAATGTTCAACAATGGATATTGTATTCGCGGATTGTCACGCTATTTCTTCTATAGTGAGGCAGAAATTGAATTCCGAATACCCTGTGAATATTTATTAGTGAATAAAATATGGATTAGTTTGCAGTACTTTAATTGTTCACCTGTTAAAGCAGCTGTTCTCTATTCACTAAATTGTCAATTAATGCAGAAGAACACTTACAGCAGCTCTGACGAACGTGTTTATGTTCATTAAAGTATTGTTAATTAATTTGATCAAGAGATTAAGCTGTAATTTACTGGCAGTTTTAAACAGATTCATTGGAAGGGACACACTTGTAATGTGCACATGAAATGCCACTCAGTTTAATGGCCCTCACATTTATTATTATATGTGACATTGACTGCATAATAAGGTGAATCCTTTGCCTGTGTATGGAGATTGCAAGTTGGAAAAATTAATCTCATACTGAAATTTCAAACATGGTATAGGAGAAAGTAGAATCAGATACCTTTTGTGAAATATCCTACTATTATATTACACAGAAGTAATGTCTTTATTAACAAGAAATATCTTTTTTGTTTAGAGAAATTTAAAGATGCCTCTAACATTCTTTCAAGATTTAAAAAATAAACAGTTGTTACCAATCAAACTGTTGCTATTTCTTCAGGCTGCAGGTGGGTATTGTTACTTTATTTATTTGTTTACAATATAATGATGTAATTAACTTAATGGATGTATTCTACTTACAGGTGACATGGCTCTATATCCTTTTATAACTTTACACATGAAGTATCTCGGGATAAGTGTTACCGATATTGGCATTCAGTTCGCCGTCTCTCCGGTTGCCACGCTGATTGCGACTCCTCTTGTTGGTCTTCTAGCTGACAAGATAGGAAACTTTAAAATAATGTTGAGCATTTCGCTAATTCTGTGCGCTGTAGTCTCTCAGCTTTTCATGCTGGTGCCAGCAGTCGAGACTATAACTTTACCCAGCAAAGAAATTTTCTTGGCCTGCAATTTTACCGAATATGAAAGACCTCTGTTATCAGTGGATCACCTGGACGACGAAGAGACATTTGTCGGATGCAAAATGTCTTGCAGACACCATAATTCGACGAGTTTCAACTTATGCTTTGTCAGTTCTACTAGGAAAGTTTGTATTTCTGATGCCAATTTTGATTTTGGTATTTCTAACCGGAGTGTGGATAGAGAATTCTTTTTTAACAACAACACTTATAACATGATTACATGTTCAGTTAACAGTAATTGGACTTTGTGTGGTGTGGAATGTTTACAAATTAGAAACAATACCATAGTGGACACTAAATCAAAGGCAATTACCTTTTGGTCCTATCTGTTAATAAGAGTGGGATTATTTGTGATTATAGCTACAGAAATGAGTTTATTAAAAGCAGCTATTTTGACTATTTTAGATAAAGTTGATTCGGATTACGGTTTTCAACGTCTCTGGGCATCTGTTGCAGTCTGTGTAGTTCCACCCATAACTGGGATAATTATGGATCAACTGCAAAAAGGTGACGTACAAGTCTATGCACCGTGCTTCTATATATATGGCGGAATGAAAGTTTTAATGGCAATTATAGCGTTAATTGTCAGTTTGGACGTCAAGCCTCCTACTTTACACGTGTGGAAAAACTTGGGTAAACTATTAAAGAATGTAGAAGTCGACACACTCCTCTTTTATTGTACTTTTATAGGAAGCTGTTGGGGTTTTCTGGAGACTTTCTTCCTCTGGTTCATGGAAGGTTTGGGTGCCAGTAAGTCCTTAATGGGGCTGACTTTTACAGTGGGTGCAGTCTCTGGCATACCCGTAACACTTATCGCCGGAGCACTGGCTAGAAAATTGGGTCACGTGCCATTAATAGTGTTCGGACTGATAGTGTATTGTGGGAGGTTTATCGGATATTCATTCATAGAAACACCTTACGAAGCATTAGGACTCGAAGCCCTGGAGTGTATAACTATGGGACTTATGATGATAACTTTAACGACTTATGCCAATCTGCTGGCTGGAAATGAATTAGTTGCAACTATGCAGGCAACGTGGGCTTCATTACATTTTTCTGTTGGTAAGTATATAGTGAAGAAATACTCATAAATTTCATATAATAATGTGCTAGTTATACAAATGAATTTAAAAGATTTCTTTAAAATATAATGGTGTTAAGTAAACAAAACATATGAAACTTATGGATTATAAAATTAGAGTAATTATAATGATAGTTTACATTTGTTATAATGGACTTCAATAACAAAAGTGACGAAAATCTATACTCGAATAATTATTTTTAGAAAAGTTATGCTTAAATAATGTATACATTTACAGCTATAAAATAAGTTCTCAACTTATACAAAAATTTCTAATTAAATTTATATTATGTTTACAACAAAAAAAGAGAAATTATACAATATAGTAATAATAATATATGTTTAAAATAATGTAGTAAAATTAAGTCAATGTAGAGTGCAAACACTTAATAATAACAATGTTTCCAATACACAAGATTTAGACTAGATTTATAAGTAAGGAAATGCACAACACAGTATGAAATAGTTTTGCACAGATTTACTCCGAACTCGCCTGCTCTAAATATTCTTCCATAGTAGCTGTTTGTTTTTGCTTTGATGCAGGTGTTCATCGCAGAATGTGTTGCGTGACGATGTCTGAAACCATCAAGCAATGATTCGCATTCAATTTTATCAAAAACTTTATGGGTGTGATCCCAAAACTAAGGTCCAGTATTCAGTGGCATATCCCAAACTCTCCCAGACCAAAAATGCATGACAGAGCTGCAGTAAAGTCAAGACAATGCTTTTTTTTTTCTCAATTGTGAGGAGATTGTAAACTGCTATCGTGTCCTTCGACTGTAAATATCAGTTATCCTTACAGTAGTGATATAAGGTCTTCCCACTAATTTTTGGGATACTAAATTTGTGTATTGAAATCTCTTTCCAATACAGAACTATCCAAATCATCCGGCAATCTCAACTAGGGTTTAAATCATAAAGATTTAGAATAATTTTATGTTAAGTTGTAAATAATAATGAAAATATTTAGAAATTTCTTGAGTTATCTTGCTCCCTAACTTACGAAAATTAGTGTAATAGTAATTTGTATATTTATATTTAAAAATTTTAATTTAATCAGGTCGAGCATTAGGAAGTGTAATAGGAGGATTTTTAATGGAACAATTTGGAACAAGAAAAACATATCAAATATTTGCTGCGTCGTGTGCAACTATGGGTGCATTGTACCTTTTAATTTATAAAATATGGTTTGCAAAGAATCATCAAAAAGATAAACCCAAAGGTAAAGTTAATAAATTTCATAATCAGAATGTTATTTTTATTAAATTTATTATGTTTACTATATAAATACTTGATATATATTTTGCAGAGGAGACAGAACACGAGAANTATATATATATAGTGCATACATATACATAAAAAAAATACAAAAAAAAAAATTAAAAATTCGATACGTGAACCCCATCACTAGGCCTATTTCACGCATTCGGTTGCATGCTGGCGTAGAAGGGTGGTAACCATTAACGTCGCATCTGGAAGATTTTTTTTTTAATTGTAAGAACCTAAGGCCGAGGTTGGCAGGGCCCGAATTCCCAACTAAGACGAAGTGCCATCCATGGCATATGCATCATGCGGGAATGAAACTTTAATTATTGCAAGAGGTGCAATTAAGCTAAGGCTATATATCGTATAATAAATACATTTGAATAAATTTAGGAATCGGCAACTGATGGATTCTTTTGGCTAAGATGGGACCTATACCGAATAATTGGCGAATGTATAGGCGCAAGACGTGCTTCAGAGGTATGGGAGTTGTGGCGTGTTGTAGTAGCAAGTTCCTTTGCTCTTCGGAAAGTATAAGAGAGCGACGTATGGCTGGTATGCTGAAAGATTCCGCAGCATCCAATACCACTCTCAGAACGTCGGGTACTTGATGAGGATGAAGGCGATGGAGTGTTTTCAGGATTCCAAGAGGATGTTGTAGCTGAGGTTTGACCACGACGCGGGCACCGTACCTGAGAAGAAGACGTAAGAGATATACTTCGGGATTATCTACGGAATTGAAGTATTCTCCCATGGGTGGTTTGAGTAGTGGACCCTGTTCCGATAGGGTGATGGCGTTCGGATCCGCACCGCTATCCAGCAATAGGCGCGTGATGTCTTTCTTGTTTTCCACCTTTTCCGAGAGGGCTATGTGAAGAGGGCAACCGATTATGGGCGATCCCGTGTTTACGTCTGCTCCGGCATCGATGAGCAACTTCACCATCTCCACGTTGTCCCTGAGGATGGCGAAATCTAACGGTGTCGGTTTTTGATAGTCAGAGGGAAAGATGACTCGTGCTCCCCGACTAAGTACCAACTTGACCGTTTCCAGGTTGCCACTCAACACGGCATAGTGAAGTACGGTGCGATTGTCGTGTCTCTCGGGGGTCATGGCATTAACATCCGCCCCGTAATCTATCAGCATTTTAGCAGCCTGAAGACCCTGAGGATGCCTGCACGCCTTCATCAGCGGAGTCAGACCGGATCTGTCGCGTGAATCGGGATCGGCACCGTGTCTCAATAACAATTCCAAAAATTTGATATTTAAGGGGCTAATTAGATTGATCTCCGCACCCAAGAAATAGCGCGCGTTGGGATCTGCACCATTCTTTAGAAGCATCTCGGCACATTCGTAATGGCTATTCTTAATTGCCAGTCGGAGAGGTTCGTCTGCCAGACTGACGCGCGGAGGATTGCCCAGGCTCTTTTCGTCGGCAGTCATTTCCGTAAAGCACACGCGTGCTCCGTGTTTAACCAATAGGTAAATCAAGTCGATGTATCCTCGCTCCGCGCAGAGGTGCAGAGCTGTGTAGCCGACCTCGTCCATGGCATCCGGGTCGCTCCCTCTAACCAGCAATAAATTAACGGCTTCTTTGTATTGTTGATAAGCTGCGTAGTGTAAAGGACGAAGCCCTTGAGTAACCGGCTCGTTCACTTTTGCACCACAGGCCAAGAGAATGCGGATATCGTCCAGCGATGCGCATCGGATGATGCTGTCTGCCAACTCTCTCTGCAGCGTTTGTAAACAGGGCACTGATGGCATGTTGGTGGATCTGCGAAAACAATGAGAAAATACGTTTAAATATGTTATATTTATTGCCCTCCCTCCCTTAACGGCTATATTTAGCGGGCGATTTGGCTTTTGCCGTGGAATATGTACGTTGTAAGTAGGGACGACTTGTTGATGTATCGTCTACCGTGTACATGTATTAAATTTACTTGTTTACGTTCGCAGAAAAACTAATCTGACTTTGCACACTTCTACAAATCTCCAACTACACGCGGCTATAAAACACTCCAATATTCATTTACGTTTTGGACCATGTCTGAAAATTATATTTAGAAAGAAACTTTCGCTTAAAAAAAAAATATATATATTATATATATACGAGTCGCTTTACTTTCTTATTCATTAATATTAATTCTCCATTTTTATATTTTCGATTTTTTTAAAAGTTATACTAAGGTGCGTACCGCCATCTTGCCTCTAAATATCAAAGCTTCGTAACGGCGCAGTTCGTTAAATTCGAAAACAAAGCTGTGACGTAGTAAATCTTCGATAACGGGGAAACATGTCCCATTAATAGGACTTAACCTCGAAGTAGTTTCTGTTACGGGAAGTCGGCTTTTACCTTCTTCAAGCGCTGACATTCTCAGTCGATTCTAAATATAGAACGTGCTTCTACGCAACGCGACAAAAACACTTGTAAATAAACACATCCGGATGTGTACGTCAACATTGTCAATCTAGAAAAACGTTGTTCACGTGCTACGGGATCCTTGAGCGAGTTAACAAAGAACTGTACTATTTTAGAGTAACTCCGCTTCGCACGATGGTAATACGTGCGCTACCTTATCGTAGAAACACAGGCAACAATACCCAGCTAATGCTTAATATAACAATATTGATATAATATACAAAATACAATTGAAAACACGCGCATTGTTCTGTTAGAAATATAATACAATACGAAAATGAGACAGAAGAACACAAGTTTAGATGTTAATATAAATCTCAAGGTGTTGTTAGCACGTCGGGAAAAGTAAACGTAACACGATATTTACTATAACTCACAGCAAGTGTTAGTGTGTGTGACACACAACATAAAAGCTGGTGTGTTAATTACTTCTATTGCTTAGCGTTAAGACACGTCTCGAGGTAAAATGTAAGGAAGAAGATTACGCATTACTCGGTGTATTACACACCAGAGCATTAAGACACCTAATTAATTAACAATGCGTTAGTGTTAGTGATCTGTGTTTGAGAATGATTCTTTACGTTGTGGGCCATCTCCGAGAACCTTTGGCACTCGGATACCGAGACGATTTTCACGTATAATATCGAATTTTATACGTGTTCGTATGCATAACAATATGAACCAAAGTTATTCTTAAAGAGATAGACGGAAGCCATCTGACATTGAAGTGTCGAGTTATAAAAATAACCGAGACGTTATCCTTTAGAACGGGCAAAATGCCATTCGGCCGCTGCTACGTAGTGTCGAACAGTTATTTCTGAACGGGATTTCCCAACAACGGGCAACAAACGGAAAGCAAGTTTGTTTTCCATACGTCACTTCCGTCTTTTTCCCCCCTTATGGCGAATTAGTTATTAAAAAACAAAACAAAAAAAAAAAACAGAGCGTGATCCGAAACGGACACAATGCGTAAATGAATGCGTGGAGCGTTATTTTTTTTCTCCTCCATGATTAAATTAATGGGAAAATTCGCAGGAAACGTACACAAAGAAGGAAGAGGGTGAATGCAATTTGTTACTTACCCGAGTTTATGATCCCTCCTTTTGTATGTAACAAGATGTAGAGTTGAAAATTGGTTAAGTCAAACGAGTTTGAGACTTGAAAGAAAACTGAAGATGCGTAGATGAGTGGCTTGAGGATATCCTCAACAAAAAAAGCACGTGATCGGCAGAGATGGGCGCCCTCTTTATGCCACCGACTGGATGACGCAGTCGGTTGACGTCTTTCTTTGTCAGCTTGGCAGAGTTTAGAATTAAGTTTGTATCGGCGATATAATATCGCCGTCGATTACATAATTGACGATATAAATAGAAAAATAAAATTCAAACTGTTTATTTATGTTAATTTTACACGTAATAATAGTATTAACAGCGAGAGCGGCGGAGTATGAGGACCTAGGGGGGTGTACTAGATCACGTGATTCGAGTAGCTGCGATTGGTATATTTATTGTTTACGAAAGCGCGTGCTGGACTAAATACAAATAATTTCAACAATATTAAAAAAAAGTCTACCGTCTCTGCCAATTATATTATATTATTTACGTATTAGTTAATTAATTAAACCTTACAAAATATCGCTTTATTGCATACAAAACATTATCTTAATGGCGTGTATTATTTACTGAATGCAGCCATATTGCTTGATATTTTTTTACATTATTTTTATCGTGCTTTATAACATCATTTTAAGCCTTTAATTCTTGTTAAATAAAGGAATTCGTTGGCTAATATTTCTTCGATAAAAACTAATTGATTCTCTACAATCGTGTTGAATCCGGGTTCGAATCCTCAGCTTAATTTGAACCAAATTCTTTTCCTTGTTCTTCTTTGGCGTTGTTCGATAGCGTTTGCAGATTGTCTAACAGATAATATACAATTGAGGTTAGCGACGTAATTCACGAAAGAATTCATCGTGTGAACGCACTTACTGGGGCTTTATTCAATTTTTTAAGCAATAAAATAATTGCATTTCATAAATTCTGCAGTAAATTACTCCCTGTTACATATATCCCTTCATAATTATCTAAATGCGCATTTATATATAATATATTATGTAGAAATATATCGACTGCTTCATTGAGAAATCATTAAAAAAAATGGCCAAACCCGAGAGTTTACAAATATTAATATGCCCACGATGACTTTATTACAAGATGAAATATCCGTTTAAAGAAAGATAAATGAAGTGCCATTGGCCCTATAAAAATTCTTATTGTTTAATGCCTTCTATAACAGTTGCTAGTTCAACGACATTTTCTCGTACCAGCTGACTTGCAGTGTTGCGAATTGGGAACTGGCCCGGTGCCATCAACCTGTCTAGAAAAACCAAACAATTAAGAGAAAGTGACGCAGTAAAGAATACATCAGCTGATCGAAAAATTCTGCTTAAACAATAAACAATAACAAGCCAATAAATGCGCATATTGTTCATTTTAAATATTTAAATTTTTAAATCAGCCAATAATATTTATTTAATGTGGTACATGCGCATTTCGTACGAATTATTAATAATACTTTTTACATACCTCTCTCGTGATAAATGCTTTATTTTTAACATAAGAAAACAAATTGTTTTATTTTTTATTTTTAAATTAGTAATTAAAATTATATAAAATGTAATTATTACCGAATAAGTTGAGCGATTTATATTCGAATTTTTCAAATTTTTAAACTGACCAATTAAATCGTTCGGACTCAATATATTCCTCATACACCTCCTGGTGTCAAAAGATGGATATTCTTAAATTTAAAAAAAAATAATAATAAAAATAAAATAAGTATTCCTAGTTTAATGAATTTTCGTAAAAGAAAACAATGACTGATTCAGTCATTTACCTGCAGCTGCCAGGATAAGGTTACTCACCTTACACAGTTGGAATTATATCCATTTTTAAACTCGCCATTCGAAGTATAATCAAAGGGATCGAGCTAAATAAGATCGGTTAACGACTTCGCTTCGATCTTAAATAAAAACGTATGGAAAAAAATCTCTTATTAAACTAAAAAATACACTAAAATATTAAATTTCTTTCCATATTTTTAAGGAGAATCGTACTAAAAGTACATCAAATTGCATACACAAAGGAAACGCGTTCTTAAAATAATCATTACGGATGACATTACTTAGAAAATAAAGGTCAAGAACAACGGTATCAAAAGAACAGGAGCGGTATTATTTAACTTTAATTTGATTCTCGTTATTGCTATTTAATATCGGGTAATAAAAATCGCTTCTATCAGATTTTAACTGTATTAGTAAACGACTTTACTGTTTGATTTTACACCAGATCAGGTATTTTTTTTTCAATTTGTTATTCTTTCCGTCCTGTGTGCACTGTAAGGGCCTCTTCGGCAAGCGCATTATGGGTTCCGCTAGGCACACCGGGACAGATATATCTGGATGGACCACTCCCCAAAATATTCTTGGGGTTTTTCGATCTCGGGTCCCTCAGACAGGTAGGCTGCCACCCTAACTGCTAGGCCATCCGGCTGCAAAAAATTATGTAAAGTATTTGTATAATAACTGTAATTACTACATAAGAAAGAGAACACAGCGTAAAACAGCCTTCAGGATCGTTAGGCATATGCCAAAATGGCGACTATATTTTTTAGGAGGAATAATACGAGAGCATTAATAGTAATACAGTATTGTATAAGAATTTTTTTTTATAACGTAACAACGTGAGGTGATGACCTCATCTTTCTTCTTCCTTGAATGCCAGATCGGTTTTTCGGCCTCCCCACAAAAAAAGTCAATAATTTTATTTATTATTTAATAATTAATTTTAACACCTAGAGACTGTCCCCATAGGAGGCATACCCTTTATTTTACATTTATGAGTTTGAGTCATTCACACGAGTAATTGGCGCTAAATCGAGATTTGGTTACGTAGATCTGACGAGGAGATTCCTCCCGGCAGGACTTTTCCAGGAAATTTGCCCCTATTTAGATGTTAGAAACGTGAAGAAAACCCGGTAAACTCCACGTGGCCAGTCACCAGTGTTCATCGGTTTTATCAAAATGGTGGGCGCGCTATATCGAGGTTTGGCAGTACAGTCGACCCCCTATAAAACTGTTGATAATTCCGTTTTATATGAATTTCATATTGTAGAGTCTCTTAAATTTTACAAATACGTGAGCCGTTCACAGCCGAGCACACGTATTTGTAAAATTTAAGTGACTCGTACAACATGGAATTCATATAAAACGGAATTATCAACAGTGTTATAGGGGGATCGACTGGTATTTAAACTATAAACCGCGGAAAGAATATTAATGTTATGTAATTAGGGTCGAGGACGAAAGGTGAGGAAAGTGCAAGGACAAAATCTATCCAGTTATGTAAAATATTATGTTACAGAGTTTCGAATTTGTCAACATTTCTACAGAATCGATTTCAATAAAGCGTGTATTTCATAGAAAATTTATTTTAGAATACATTAAGTTAATAAAAGTTGTTATTCTAGTACTTCAGAGCTGTTTCCACAATACTTGGCAACGTGACATATATTGTTATAATAATATAATCATATAAAATTACCGTAATTTTATTAAAAACGAAGTGTCAGAGGCGTATCCGGGGGATGGAGTGCTTACAGTGTGCAGCACTTCTCTGATACCAAAGTTTTAACTTTCCTAATTAAAGTAATTCTAAGGTAATTGAGTAACATTGTCCGGAAAATGACAGGTTATATGTAACCTGGTCCCCCCCGAATGGCACCCATATTATATAAATCCTATATTAAGTGTGTGTTAATTTTTCTGCTGACGACTTTAAACTTCTCAAAAAAGACTTCGAAGTTTGCTTTACACAATTAATTTCTGTCAATAATAATAATAATAATCTCAACGTTATATAAATATATATTTATATATATACAAGGTGGCTCAAAAGTCAATTAACCGTTGCAACGACTTGCTAATTCAAATACTTTACTACTTAAAATTGTTCCATAATAAAATACTTCTTATTTAATACATATAAACAGCCGGAACACAGAAACAAAACACGTTTGAATGACTTTTGAGCCATTGTATACAAGTAAACGGTGTATCTGTGTACTGCAGTGTGTATATATATATATATATATATTCTCTTATTTTTCATAATAAATAGTAAGTTCCATGTAAAACTTTATGTACGACATTCATAATTATATATGCCCCATTCCACAGGGCATGGAAAGACATTAATTCATATCTAATAAGAGATACAAGCAATTATTAAATTTAACACGAGATGGCGACTTAATCGTCTACCTCTAGCCAAATTGCTTAATAACTTAATTAATTAATTAGCCTTAATGTAGCCCAATAAGAATCGATTTGATTAACAATTTATACGAAGTCGCATTTCTAAAATTAGAGTATTATTATTATTATTATTATTATAAATGAACTAACCAAATAGTAAAAATACAGATGAATTCTGTCCTTCGAAATATAAAATAAATGTTATACAATTTATTATTAGTAGATTTCCTATAGGGATGTTTACAAACTGATATGTCGAGTAATTTCAACATCAGCTGTCTAGCAATTACCATCTTTCGCCTAGTTTAAGCAATAAACGTTACATCCTACACACGTTGCAATCGCGTGTAGGATGTATTATTGCACTTTTGAGTGGAGTAATAAGGTTTAAAGTCGCTCCGAAAAAAATTTTTTTAGACGTTTAAACCGAAAATAATTCCATTTCTGTTACAACTAAAAGCTCGAATGAGAGCCATTAAAATATTCTAACGCGTGTTTAATACTTTAAATCAGAGATTTATTTATTTATCCCGCGCGTAGAAAAGTAACTAGATGAAATTTTACGGCCATAACTCTTCGTGTGTATGTCGGAAAAAATAACTGTATTTGTTGTTTTTTTAATCTATTTTCACGTGATGAGTAGCAGCTAAACATGAAAACAATGCCAACCGTGCTACGTTTTTTTTTCTTGGCACAATGTCGCGGCGGAAAATACATTTAACATACTCAACGAACAGATAGATACAAAGGAAAAAAAATAAAACAGTATCGTAGTTATATACGCAGTCGTCACGAATATTTCGAATTTTCGACATCAGATGACGCTACGATCGTACTATGTCGATTTTGCGATTATAACACCCTTGCACGTGCTTAATAATTTTAATATGCTTTTGATCTTAAATTTTAATGTTTTAATAAAATATAAATTTCGTTAAACCTAAATTTACGAGAAAAAACATTAACAAAAAAAAATTACTACTACCGAGTGTAGACGATCTAAATATATCAGAGTTGCACCTCGCCCTCTGGAGGCAGGAGTGTTTATTATAAAAAATTTTCTATAAATAAAAAAAGAAAAATAAATATAAAATAATAGACACGTGTTTGGTACCTATACCTATTTTAAAATATATTCCAATTTTAAAACAACTTTGCTCGAACAGAATACCAAGTAATACGTAATCACGTGAACACAAAGCCGAAATGATCCTCGAGAGTACGTAAAACAATTGAGACACGTAAACTAAACGCAAATTGACATTAATTTTAGTAACTCGATACGTAATTTTTCCTTTTAGTATTTCAACAGAAGGATTTTATGGTTCAAATTCTAATTACACTGCAACAAAACTAGTTTTTTTCGCATTGTATAAGCGATCGGTCACTGAAACTTCCAGCGTTTTGGCTCTATTACACACAATTAAGAACCGGTTTACATCATCACAGATCAAGAAAAATTTCTGATATATCGAATTAATGACGTCGAATAAACGCAAATTCCATCGACCGAACATCCCTTAAGCATAAACAATTTCATTAACGCGTTATCAATAGACACGTGATAAAAAAAAATTCAAACGACGCCATTTTTATAATGGTCATCGCTACGTGACGTAGAGTTACTCTGAACAGATTACGTAAATAAGTTGAAAGTTCATACGATTATTAAAGGGTCAGAATGTACATAAAGGAGAGTTGCAGCAGCAGCAGCATCGAAGTTAACCTAAAAACACTGGACACCTTCCTGAATGAAAACCGAGAGGAAATTAACCTACAGGAACTTTCTTTAGCGGAATTTATCGAATGTTACAGGAAGTCGGAGTTAATGGAGTCATTTTTAAACGTTGGCAACTAAAAAAAATGGCAGTTCGACTTGTTTTCTAGCTGCTAAAATTGTCATTTAATGTATCTGACGTGCAGAGAGTAAGTACAGTATAGGCCTTATAATTACAGTAGTACAGTAACCGTTGCGTTGTTAGATTTAAGGTACAGTACATTAAAAAGTTCATGCAACTTATTTATTAACTTAATTATAAAAATTTATCATCTAACTAATTATAAAACACTGCGTATGGTGACACGGGAAGTCGTTATTGTTATTCAAATTGTTATTCTATTGAAATTTTATATCCGTAGAAGTATTCGGGATTGAATATATGATACCTCACCTATATACAATTGTATATAAACCAGCATTGAAAGCTATACACTTGTATGTTCGATGTACAGTACACTATACACGTCAAACAAAAAAATAAAGACTTCCTACAGAACGTCATCGGGTACCGGTTACGTCATATTCAACTGGTTGGTTGTTGCAGCTGCATCCAGACTCTCCAACTTTGCAAGCCACAGGGGTCAAAGGTAAGAAATTGCGTGTACTTTAGTAAACAAACCTTGAACTAATCCACTAATTAACATTCAAATATGCTTAAATTTTGCTAATTTAATTGGAAATCGATTTTAATTTTTTAAAAAGTCCTGTCGATTCGACCTCTTTTATCACTCTATTTTCAATCTTTTCTAGTGTTTTTTTGTACTTTATCACGGATCTAGATACCGCGACATGATTTTTTCTCAAGGATAAATGAGTACGAGTAATCTTCTATGGTATATAAATCACTTAATTTCTTGTATATACAGAGGAAAATGTTCAACAATGGATATTGTATTCGCGGATTGTCACGCTATTTCTTCTATAGTGAGGCAGAAATTGAATTCCGAATACCCTGTGAATATTTATTAGTGAATAAAATATGGATTAGTTTGCAGTACTTTAATTGTTCACCTGTTAAAGCAGCTGTTCTCTATTCACTAAATTGTCAATTAATGCAGAAGAACACTTACAGCAGCTCTGACGAACGTGTTTATGTTCATTAAAGTATTGTTAATTAATTTGATCAAGAGATTAAGCTGTAATTTACTGGCAGTTTTAAACAGATTCATTGGAAGGGACACACTTGTAATGTGCACATGAAATGCCACTCAGTTTAATGGCCCTCACATTTATTATTATATGTGACATTGACTGCATAATAAGGTGAATCCTTTGCCTGTGTATGGAGATTGCAAGTTGGAAAAATTAATCTCATACTGAAATTTCAAACATGGTATAGGAGAAAGTAGAATTAGATACCTTTTGTGAAATATCCTACTATTATATTACACAGAAGTAATGTCTTTATTAACAAGAAATATCTTTTTTGTTTAGAGAAATTTAAAGATGCCTCTAACATTCTTTCAAGATTTAAAAAATAAACAGTTGTTACCAATCAAACTGTTGCTATTTCTTCAGGCTGCAGGTGGGTATTGTTACTTTATTTATTTGTTTACAATATAATGATGTAATTAACTTAATGGATGTATTCTACTTACAGGTGACATGGCTCTATATCCTTTTATAACTTTACACATGAAGTATCTCGGGATAAGTGTTACCGATATTGGCATTCAGTTCGCCGTCTCTCCGGTTGCCACGCTGATTGCGACTCCTCTTGTTGGTCTTCTAGCTGACAAGATAGGAAACTTTAAAATAATGTTGAGCATTTCGCTAATTCTGTGCGCTGTAGTCTCTCAGCTTTTCATGCTGGTGCCAGCAGTCGAGACTATAACTTTACCCAGCAAAGAAATTTTCTTGGCCTGCAATTTTACCGAATATGAAAGACCTCTGTTATCAGTGGATCACCTGGACGACGAAGAGACATTTGTCGGATGCAAAATGTCTTGCAGACACCATAATTCGACGAGTTTCAACTTATGCTTTGTCAGTTCTACTAGGAAAGTTTGTATTTCTGATGCCAATTTTGATTTTGGTATTTCTAACCGGAGTGTGGATAGAGAATTCTTTTTTAACAACAACACTTATAACATGATTACATGTTCAGTTAACAGTAATTGGACTTTGTGTGGTGTGGAATGTTTACAAATTAGAAACAATACCATAGTGGACACTAAATCAAAGGCAATTACCTTTTGGTCCTATCTGTTAATAAGAGTGGGATTATTTGTGATTATAGCTACAGAAATGAGTTTATTAAAAGCAGCTATTTTGACTATTTTAGATAAAGTTGATTCGGATTACGGTTTTCAACGTCTCTGGGCATCTGTTGCAGTCTGTGTAGTTCCACCCATAACTGGGATAATTATGGATCAACTGCAAAAAGGTGACGTACAAGTCTATGCACCGTGCTTCTATATATATGGCGGAATGAAAGTTTTAATGGCAATTATAGCGTTAATTGTCAGTTTGGACGTCAAGCCTCCTACTTTACACGTGTGGAAAAACTTGGGTAAACTATTAAAGAATGTAGAAGTCGACACACTCCTCTTTTATTGTACTTTTATAGGAAGCTGTTGGGGTTTTCTGGAGACTTTCTTCCTCTGGTTCATGGAAGGTTTGGGTGCCAGTAAGTCCTTAATGGGGCTGACTTTTACAGTGGGTGCAGTCTCTGGCATACCCGTAACACTTATCGCCGGAGCACTGGCTAGAAAATTGGGTCACGTGCCATTAATAGTGTTCGGACTGATAGTGTATTGTGGGAGGTTTATCGGATATTCATTCATAGAAACACCTTACGAAGCATTAGGACTCGAAGCCCTGGAGTGTATAACTATGGGACTTATGATGATAACTTTAACGACTTATGCCAATCTGCTGGCTGGAAATGAATTAGTTGCAACTATGCAGGCAACGTGGGCTTCATTACATTTTTCTGTTGGTAAGTATATAGTGAAGAAATACTCATAAATTTCATATAATAATGTGCTAGTTATACAAATGAATTTAAAAGATTTCTTTAAAATATAATGGTGTTAAGTAAACAAAACATATGAAACTTATGGATTATAAAATTAAGAGTAATTATAATGATAGTTTACATTTGTTATAATGGACTTCAATAACAAAAGTGACGAAAATCTATACTCGAATAATTATTTTTAGAAAAGTTATGCTTAAATAATGTATACATTTACAGCTATAAAATAAGTTCTCAACTTATACAAAAATTTCTAATTAAATTTATATTATGTTTACAACAAAAAAAGAGAAATTATACAATATAGTAATAATAATATATGTTTAAAATAATGTAGTAAAATTAAGTCAATGTAGAGTGCAAACACTTAATAATAACAATGTTTCCAATACACAAGATTTAGACTAGATTTATAAGTAAGGAAATGCACAACACAGTATGAAATAGTTTTGCACAGATTTACTCCGAACTCGCCTGCTCTAAATATTCTTCCATAGTAGCTGTTTGTTTTTGCTTTGATGCAGGTGTTCATCGCAGAATGTGTTGCGTGACGATGTCTGAAACCATCAAGCAATGATTCGCATTCAATTTTATCAAAAACTTTATGGGTGTGATCCCAAAACTAAGGTCCAGTATTCAGTGGCATATCCCAAACTCTCCCAGACCAAAAATGCATGACAGAGCTGCAGTAAAGTCAAGACAATGCTTTTTTTTTTCTCAATTGTGAGGAGATTGTAAACTGCTATCGTGTCCTTCGACTGTAAATATCAGTTATCCTTACAGTAGTGATATAAGGTCTTCCCACTAATTTTTGGGATACTAAATTTGTGTATTGAAATCTCTTTCCAATACAGAACTATCCAAATCATCCGGCAATCTCAACTAGGGTTTAAATCATAAAGATTTAGAATAATTTTATGTTAAGTTGTAAATAATAATGAAAATATTTAGAAATTTCTTGAGTTATCTTGCTCCCTAACTTACGAAAATTAGTGTAATAGTAATTTGTATATTTATATTTAAAAATTTTAATTTAATCAGGTCGAGCATTAGGAAGTGTAATAGGAGGATTTTTAATGGAACAATTTGGAACAAGAAAAACATATCAAATATTTGCTGCGTCGTGTGCAACTATGGGTGCATTGTACCTTTTAATTTATAAAATATGGTTTGCAAAGAATCATCAAAAAGATAAACCCAAAGGTAAAGTTAATAAATTTCATAATCAGAATGTTATTTTTATTAAATTTATTATGTTTACTATATAAATACTTGATATATATTTTGCAGAGGAGACAGAACACGAGAAAACTAAATTAGGAAAAGATGTATCATTAGCACTAGCTAACATTATAACAGAGGAGAAAAAGTCACTGGAAAAACAATCTGATTCTCATATAGAAAAAAATTCTTTAGATAAAGTCAATCAGAAAAATACGGGAAAAAATAATTTGGCGTTCGAGAGCACCGATCTATAGATCGTGCCGTCGTGTTCGGTCACAAAAAAATTATCAAATTTGATTATCCAAACATGTGATATTTTATAATAATAAAAAAAAAATGATTGTAACATTGTAATAACATTTTTAAAACTATTTATATAGCTTAAAAACATATAAGTGATGAAATTGTCAATAAATCTTCAAATTTAATACTGGCAAATTATTTCATAATTAATAGTAATCAATGATAATTTCAAGTAATATACGTATTACATTTATATTCGGGTTTGTCAGTGATAATTGAACTTATCGATTATGAAACAGTATTTTGTAATCTTTAACAATAATCAAGTTTAAAATTTAAAAACAGGAAGCTTGTTTTATAACTAATAGAAACTAGTGACAAGTTCAAATGTATACATGATATATTTGTCATTTATCATTGAATTTAATGACTACAAAATAGATTTTTTTTGTGATACTTTATTATTTTTTTAAATATATTATTGTTATCTGTATGTAATGTATAGTGGTACAGGTCAACCACCAATTTTTCTGCCATAACTGATTTCAAAATCTTGCATTCCAGACCACTAATTATACCGGTACATCTCCCATATCTGTAAAGCATTATGTTGGAAACTTAAGCATATATTGAATGCGGACTGATATTTATGCTTAATATCATTGACGCCTGCATCTTTTTTACAAACACGGCTACAGCTATTCAAGAGAATAGATAAAAAGATCGCCAATAACAACAATGTAGACAATTTGAGCAAATGCGCGCTATGCGCAATACCACGTGTAGCCATTCGGCAAGTTAGTCTGGCAGTTACGAGAATTTTAAGTGCCTTTGGATGCCGGAAAATAAGCGGTGAACCTGTGTACGATGACCAATATTATATATTTGTGATTATTGTTTAAATACTTGTTTGGATGTGAATTAGATTTAATAATAAACTTTAGTTTTTTTTTTCTTTTTTTTTTTACATTTTAAGCATCACTGAGAACAAATATTCAAGAGAATTATTTTTATTGAAAATCCATTATCACTTATTCAAACAACTAAATTTTACAATGATGAGAGAAACAATACAATAAAACTATAACAAAAATCCTATTTAGAATATTTCTTTATTTTTGGAGAACACATTTTTTTTTTTTTTTTCACATTTAGGAAAAATTTCAACTTACAACAATTTCACATTCTAATGTTATGAGAAATACTGATATGAAAAATTTAATTTTTTTTTTTAATTCTAAAACTAGAATTATCATTATCGTCCTTATTTATTCTTTCGATTTATTTTACAGAACTCAAAATTTAATTTAAACAGTGCAAGTAAGAATTAAATAATAGAAGTGACTCGTTTGTAAACCCAAACTGAAAACGCCGTAAAAAAATAAAGAAGGGGTATTGCTATCAGATCTAAGGAATGTGGTCGACGTTTTTACATTTCGAAACTGTGCCGTAACGCAAAAATAATTCATGTTCAAAAATATTCTTTTAAAGATATTTTTAAGTGTTAGAATGATGAAAGATGCTGAAAATTGATCCCTTTTTTTTTTTTTTCTTCTTTAAATTTTCTGAAAATTGTTAATTACCTACTAGGATAGATGACGATCTAATTAAATTTTGATATGAGAACTATCTACGATGAATGATACTATCCGAAATTTTGAAAACTAATGCTCCAGAAAAATATTTGAAATTTTAAACTTTCTATTAATTTATGGAAGTGAAATTAAAATGAAGTTTGGAAAATACACGAAGATATTTTTTGCTTATTTTCGTTCATAGCCAAAATAATTTTATCATTAAACTTTAATGCAATGATATCAATACCCATCCTTAAAGTAAATAAATTAAAAAAAAGTATATTTGATACAAGTATAGGAACCGTGTAAAAAAATAACGAGTAAATCTGCTTTTTATCTAAGCATTATCTTAGTTTAAAGAATAAAAACAATAAATAATAAAATTGGCACTTTAACAAAATAAAAATAAAGAGGAATTGATTCCACGTCACAACCTACGAACGTTTCTCAAAAAGACAAAATGCACCAATTTGTACTCTTTCAAAATCGAATTTTGTAAAGATCACTTTAAAATTCTAATATATATAATATATATATAAATAAAAAGAAAAAAAAATTATATAACAATCAACAAAAACGTCATGGAATGTAGTGCAAATGGTACAGATCAAAAAGAGCTTATTACCAAAAATTTGCTAATTTTAAAATACAATATTTACAAAATGATCTGAAATACATTACACAAGGCATGCAAACATTCATATGAATACTACACAAACATAGTATAACAGGAAATTACAATATGACATTTATTTTCACCAAAGCCACTTCTTCGACATATAAATTTGTATAGAAATCTAGATTAAGAGCAAACAAGATTTTTTTTTTTTTACTTATTTTTTGTATATTAAAAATTCTATGACATCGTATGAATGACTGAAGAAGGCCTCAAAAAGTTGATGCCTCTGATACGCTGTACAAAATGCTAAAATTACAAACACCATAGAAATTATGGTGCCTTCCAAATATCACAATAAGTTCACAATGATTTGTTCCCAAAATTCTTTTAAAGTAATCGAGCAAGTTAAACAATACTAAGTAGTGGCACATCATATTTTTAAGTACAAAATTCTATGGCAGGCCTGCACGTCAGAAACTTTCGACAAAACTAGCTGGAAAAAGACCAGTTCTACCTGTTCTCTGCAAGGTACCTTTGTACCATCCATCGTCTCTCTTCTTGTGAACATAAACAATATCTCCTACTTTTAATTCTAGCTCGTAATCACTGTTTGGTGGATAAGGCACGATACAACGAAATCTACAGAATTAAGAACCGGATATGTTTAGACTCCATTTGTAAGTGCTAATTTTAAATCATAGCTTATAAGTACGGAAGGGGGACGTACTTACCTTTCTTTTATTAAAGGTGCAGGTTGTTTAGAACGAGAAGATAACCTCTGTACTCCAGCTGCATTACCATCTAAAGAACACGATTTCTTATGAAGAGCTGTCTGACTACCTAATGCCTCACTTGGACATGACACTGATCTAAAAATAATATAATATTTAAAAAAAAAAAATACATTTCATAAATGTCATTTTTATTTAATTTCATTTACAAATAATTTTGACTTTTTGATAAGTCAGTATTATTAGTAGAATTTATTAAACAATTTCCCTAATTCAGGAAATGTTTGGAAAAATCAGCTTCTTTCAGGGATTGAAAATTTCTTTCTTCGATTCATCTTGTTTGAGTTATCTTGACTTAAACTGCTTTCTTATTTAAAAATTTTTTTCTGCATTAGAAAAAGAAAAATTCATTAAGAGTTAGTTCAAGGAAATAGATGAATTGTGGAAGAACAATTAATAATTCCAACTTTAAAAAGAAAACAACTTGAGTCAAAAGAACTCATTCAAGAAGAATTGAAATTTTGTCAGCTTTAAAAAAAAACTGATTTTTCTAAATGTTTCCTGAATTGCAAAAATTCTGTATAAAGTGCGCTGAGAGTTGAATAACATTAAACAAATTTCTTTATGTTCTAACACATTTGATTTTCTAACTCCTTCCTGGAACTTTTTGAACACATGTTATAAATAAAATTGCAAGAGTCGCTCTGAAAAATTTTAAAATATTGCCAACCATTTTGCCAGTTTTAAATTTTTTCACCACTTCAAACTATTTATCGCCATCAGTTTTACTTATTAATTAATGCAGGTACTGGTAGCCTTATCAGTTTGGCATCTGAAAAGCAAAAGTAACATGTTAAGCTGTCACTTACAGGGAGAGGGCTAGACATTCGGGTCTCCAATTTGAACGAAACATGGTGAGTACATAGCCTTAAACACAAACAACTCCTTGTCCAAATAACAGGACCTACTTCTCAAGCATATATATATATATATAAAAAAATGAACAAGTTATGTCACATTAAAAGAAACGAGTTTTTATTCTCAAACTGTGAAACAGTCAGCATTACATCAAAAACTATGATTATATGTTTAATTTCGTCATTTTGTCTTCTTTCTAATGACATAAAATACGCGTGGAATTCCGAAAGTGCTTTTTTATATGTATTTTATTGTTTGATTTAAAATTTACGCGAAAATGAACATATTAAATTAAAGAAAAGCTGTAAATTATCTGCTTACACGGAGTGACATCGGGTTTATGTGAAATTTGAGAGGAAGGTGTTACTTTTAGTGTCGGAAGATGATCAGTGTAGCTCTCACTGACTACTATTAATACTGATAATAATGTCGATAAGTCGTTAATTGTTTTGTTGTCTTGTAGACATTGTAACGAACAGTTGCAGTGAAAATAATTTCATAAACGTGAGTTAAATACAATAAAATTATTTTAATGATTTCATAGCATGTTGTTAACGTTAAATCACATCGATATGTTCCGAAATGTATGCTTAAATTGACTACAAGTATAATTATTCCATATAATAGTACTAGGATATCGCNAATGGATAAAGGCCCATAGTGGCATATTTGGGAACGAGAGAGCGGACCTCCTAGCTAAGGAGGCGGCACACATGACTGACGTGACTCAAGGCAGGATCCCCATTTCGGGGATAAAGAGACTACTCAGAGACGAAACCATTGCAGAGTGGCAAGACAGATGGTCATACTCTCAGAAAGGAAGACACATGTTTTGGTTAATACCAAGCGTGGAAGAACGAGTCAAAGAACTCAATTGGCTCCCTATGGATCACATCAATTGTCAACTATATACAGGCCACGGGAATTGCTACTCATACTTAAAGAAAATCGGTAAAAGGCAATCAGAAGTATGCGATTGTGGTAGCGGCATTCAAGACATAAGTCATCTATTACTTAACTGTTACAAGTATGATAAAGAAAGGACAGAAATTCTAAGTCTTCATCATTTAAACACTGGAAATAATGACCTACAACTCTATAACCTCATCAGAGATAAGTGCCTCAAACATGACCTCAGGACCTTCGTGAGAAGGACACTTTTGTAAAGGTGATGGAGAAAGTCCTCTTCACCACCTATTGACCGGAAAGCTTCCGGCACATGCTTGTCAAGTTAGACAAGCAGGCTGTACAGTGTTATTTATGTATTTTATAACTTTTTACTCTATGTACTTAATGTCAATTTGTAATAATGTTAATTTTAATAAACGAAACGTCCTCCTTGTGATGTGAAAACGGGACAAGGATGATTCTGATCCCCGAAAGGGGAAATGATGACCATCAAAAAAAAAAAAAAAAAAAAAAAAAAAATGTATTCAAACATCAAAACAATGTTTAGTTACATACTTGGTTGGTTGAACATAATTTCCAGGGAAGACGCCATTCTGCCTTGTTTTCATAGAAGTACCTTTGAACCAACCATCTTGACATTTTTCATTCACTATGTACAGTTCACCTCGTTTTAATTCTAATTCATCTTTCTTTTGTGGATGGTAATTGTACAATGCCAAATAACTAAAATAAAAAATAAAAAAAAACATCAAAATTAATTTTATCATTAAAAATAGAAAATGCTCTTTCTAATTCAATAAATTTACTTACTAAAGCTGTGAAGCCAACATTTCTTCATTCTCCAACACCTTCGATCCATTTGCACTAGGTGAAGACGGGTTAGCTGGTGTCGGATTACATGGTAGGACAACTTTATTATCTAGTTCTTCGCCATCTTGTGAACTTGTATTTACAGATATTGTTTCGCATCTTTCTTTCCACTAAAAAAAGATTAATTATGTATTAATTTAACTAAGAAATTTTACATTGTAACATTGATGATGATATATATTTTACATGAACGATTCTAACCTGTGTTGATGATGCATCAGATGAAGATTGCACCATAACTGTAGGATTTGAAGGTCCTGCTGATGATATATCGGGACAGTAAGCTCCTTGCGACATGGAAGAAGTTACAACATTTGAAGATGGAAATGCATGTAATCCATGTTCGATAGTTTGAAAATATCGTTGATTGCTTGAGGTTACACTCATATTGTCTTTTAAATAGGTTTGAGAAATGGCCGTATCTTCCTGTGTGGCAGGAGTCGATTCTCTATGAATTCCACTTGATACAATGCCAATATTTTGTGTTGATTCATTATTGGTAATTGGAACAAAATTAGTTATCAGCGGAGACGATCGTCCTTGTTCTTTCTCAAGACTTCCAGAAATATTTGATACCGGAGAAAAAATTGGGGAATCTTCACGAGAAACTGCATGTCCAGAATCGCTTAATGAAGAAGTATGTTGTTCTTCCTCTGTTTCTAGAGTGCCTTCAGCAGGCTGCTCTATTGAAACATTTTCTGATTCTGGAGAAACATTTTCTTCATGAGAAGGTAATAACTTAACTTGATCTTCTGAATAATTATTTGTATGTAGAGACATCAAAGAAAATGCATCAGGAGCAGGAATAGCATCATAAGATACAGTAGGAGGTGTGAGTCTGGAAATACTATGATTATATGTTTCTGGATGGGAAACCTCTTTGTCACTTAAAGTGACTGTGGCTATTTGCATAACATTCATTGTTTGCTCTCTATCATAATTATTTATGTGGGGTGTTTGAGTAATTAAAGAATGACTATTAGTATCTAAATAATTAACAGAAGATTGTGGTACAGCATGTAATGCATGCTCTCTTTTGTAATTGTTGCAATAACTAATTTGAGGAAAAGACTGTAAATTATTCGACAAACCAATAGCATTTAACGTACATAAATTTTGGTCTCTTTGATATATAATAGATTGCGAGACTTGAATATTTGGAGGACTTTCCCTAGAATTTGCAGTTATCATCAGATTATGTTTTCCATATGTTGAATGATCTCGTTGATTGCTATCAGAAGGACAAGGGACACCTGAAGAAAGAGGAAGAGATGTCTGCCAAATAGATGAGCACAAAGGATCATGAAGTTTCATTGCCACCGTCGTAAAAATTGGAGATGAAGGACACGTCGAGGCTGTCGTAGTTACTGACACCGAAGGTGACGACGTAGGAGGAGGAGCACAGTATTGCATATTTGAACTTGCAGGAAGGGACACTGGATGCACGCCTGAAAAGATGTAAAACAAAAAGTTTAGAAGAAAGAGAAAAATTAGATATATTTTAACTAAAAAAAATTTGAGTATTCAATAAAAACAAGTTTATATTTCATAAAAATTTAAAATATAAATATTCCATCTGAATATTGCATTTAAGGATTNTAAAAATTTAAAATATAAACCTTATCAATAAAAATATTTAAAAATATACAATAAAATCTTAATTAAACATACTTTGTACAATTTTTTAATTATTACTTGTTACTATGGCCCTATTCACTTTGATGTCAAAAATTCTTAAATTTAATTTAAAACACTTTTTTAACTGAAAAACTTCAATTTATTGTTGCATAAATTAATTTTAAATCAAAATAACCATTATTATTTTAACAAATATTTAAATTTTTTTTTGTGTTATGTCAAAATGTATTTCTCATTTAACATATAATTAATTTAAATGCAAATTTCATTTGATTTCAGCTAAATATAGTCAAGTTGCCATGAAAGTCTTAAAAGAAATTTAATTCTGGAATTAAGACTACATACAGTCAATTCCACTTAATTGAGGCAGCTACATTTTTGGGCCAAATTCTCAAAGAACAGAAACCAAACTAATAAACTAATACATAATTTAAACGCTTAATTGTGACAGTAGCAGAAAAGGAATTTAGCAATTTTTGATATATTTTAGGGATCTTCCAAAAATATGTCAACACAGTACACTAATCTCGTGTAGGTCTGATGGTTAGTGGAGACAAAGCAATTTTGTCTTTCACTCAGACAGTTCAGTTTTTCTGGAGGAGGTCAGCACAGCAAGACACATCACACCAAGATCCTGTCTGAATGTGAGCTACTGACCCTGCTCTGGATTGGACCAGACAATCTCTTTAATAGAGAGGGAACAAAGACCCCAGCCAATATTTTGAGGTCTCTCGACTACGTTGGAAGACAGCTAGAGTTCTCTTGGAAGGTGTTGTGTGCATGATTACATCTAGACTCAGACAGCAGCCATCCAATCGTTGGGACCAGCATCTGGAGCTGGCAGATTCTACGGATGTTCCAGCCAAAGTGGCCCATTTCCAAGTAAAGGAAACTGTGCTCAAAGAAAGGCCATGAGGTAACTTTTGGACGAACCTGGATATGTTCTAACTAAAAAGGGAGAAAGGGAGGGTTGATTGTTCGATCAGGAACAGATCAAATGATCAACCCTTGTTTACATCACTACTAATATTTGACATTAGTGAGGTTGAGGCCAAAGTTTTAAATGCGAAAATGCATATGTCAGATGTTCAGCGCCGCTTTTCTGTAAGCCTAGAAGTTTGACAATAGCATTTGGATAGTCAGTGGAATCATGCTCGACATTCCAAACACCATTGTCAAACTTACAGAAAAGCAGCACTGTACATCCAACGTACATGTTTTCACGTTTAAAACTTCGGCCTCAACCCCGCTATTAGCATGATGTGAATCGTCTATTGTCGTGAGTCTGGCAAATTTTTAGTACAAATATTTTCTGTATTTTGGTTTAATAAAGCATTAAAATAGTGTCTAATTATTATTTTTTTTACCCACATATATATTTTATTTTAGAATTTATTATTAGTTTGTTTAATTCGGGCAGCCTTTTAATTGGGCCAAAATGAATTAGTCCCAATATGTCCCAATTAAGCAGAATCGATTTTATACACCTATAAGCCTATTTCGGAGTAACAGTTTTATTCTAACTGCCATAAACAAAATTAATTTTTTCATTAGTCTAAAATACATCAATATTGGCAAAACTGATAGAAAGAAATACTCACTGGAGACGACGGTAGGCTCTGTCTGATTACACGCAGGCTGAATTTCACACGTCGTCGTCGACAAACTCGGTCTGGTCATTTGTTGACTGAACAGGAAAAGAAACCATTTAAATGGTTGGCCCATCATGTATTTCCACAACTACAATGTAATCAATATAAGCAATTGTGTCAGAATTAACTTTAAATAAGTAATACCTTAGTTATAATTCAGTTTGTGATACTCACTTGGATGAAAGCTTCATTAATGCTTTTGCAGAAGCATTTAACTGAAAATAAATAAAATTACCTATAAATGGAACCAATCATCAACTAATCACTTTTTGTTTTTGTTTTGTTTTTTGTCTCTTCTTTTTTCCTCAATTAACATTCTGCAGATCTGACTGAAAAATTATCACATCCATTGTTATCATAATCTTCTTACTGCTGCAACATTTAGTAAGCACTTTATGAAAATGACAAATGTATTATTTTTAATGTTTAAATTTAATCAATTTTAAATCGCAATTCTTCTTATGTATAAACGTTCAGCTGCTACCTGATGTTTTCTTTTAATTAATTTAAATCGTCGCATATATGCTTTTGAAAAAGCTATAAATAATGTTACAATTCTGCTTCAGTTCATTCAGTGAATAAGTGATTATTTACTGTAATTTTGTCTACAAATGTATTCATTTTAAAATGTTTTTAAGTGTAGCCATAATTTTATATGATAAATGGACTTATCTGCTTGCTTCCTTATCCTATATAGTAGCTAATGTAGCAAAAAGCAACCTATACATTTTTATAGTTTATAAAAAGTGTCTATTTTTCATTTTTTAAGTTTAATGTAAGTTTTAACTGAACAATTGTTTAATGTAGAAAAAAAGTCAAATCTAATCTTAGTAAACAATATAATGTACAGGTACAAAGGAGATATAATATATAATTAATATATAACATTGAGAATAATCAGGAAAGTCAAAGAAAGCAACATTGAAATTTTTATGGACATCATGCCAATAGGTAAATCTGTAGTAAATTATTTTTTCTAGTTTTTGAATTAAAATTTAAAAAAAAAAACATTTAATTTCAAAATCATCAAGAAGTTGTTCCAAAGTTTTTCTTACATCATTATTAATTCCAAAAGTCTAAATTTATTACATTAATGTGTAAACGATAATACAAAACAAATAAAATCATATCAGTATAAACACAAGAAGACGACTTAACTTCATTTTAATTCACAAATTTCTAATTTCTTCGTAAAATTCAAAGGTAAACATCAATTAAAAACATAAGCTTCGATCAGAATGATAAAAATAGATCAAATTTTTCTCATATCATCTAATTTCTTTAATGAATTTAACTTTCTAAATTTGTTTTCATAATAAATTTGCATTTATTCTGTACTTTTATACAGTATTAAAAGAAAACTGAGTATTTTTTTAGATGTATGAATATCATTTGGGGATTTCCTAATTTTTATATATCAGCATTGGAGCATCCTCATTTTCAATAAAAGTGACTGATTCACCGATGGTAAAATAAACATTTTTACAGTGAATAAATCGCTTTTATTCAAAAGATAAGACTTCGTTATTTTTAATTTTAATAATCATCAAATATAATGATTTTGTGAAATATATTATTTTGAACTGTTATTTCAATGACTTTAAAAATATTAAATTTTTGGAATAATTTAATTGTATTTTTGTATTATTAATTTTGAAAATTAACAAAGTCCTTATCAATAAATTATATACATTAAAATAAAAGCAAGAAATTCTTTAAAAAAAAAAAATGTATATGTAGAATTATTTATTGTGACATCATCACAATGCCAGGTTGCAATTTTTAATCATATTCTTAATTTATTCAATTTAAAACATATGCTCTCCATCTCAAATTTTTAGTCTTGCCCCTGTACATCATACTTTTCCTGATAACAACAGTCATGCCATTCATCTATGTAACTCCATTCAGGGAAAAATTTTTTAATCGAATTCACGTGACTTCTGGTCTAGACCAGAAGTTTATATATAATTAATTGATGCCGTCTGCCCCTAAGCTTTCCATATTTGGTCTTGGCTTTCATCTATCTAACACTGTTCTCAAGATTAAGGAAAGACAAGACAGATGACAGTGAGAATTTATAGGTCTACGAATCTTTCAAATTATAGCCCAATTTGCAAGCATTGAATCAGATAAGTCCCCCAGATATGAAATCTTTTGCCCTATTTAAATAAAATGGATGTAATTCAAGATCTATTAGAACTGATCTGACGTTAACATGTTGGATTTGATTTTTTCAATGTCGGATAAATATTTGCATATTATAGATATATATAATTTAATGTAAAGAACTGTATTTATGTAATCACTGAATTGTATATATTTATCATAATTTCATTCATCTAACTTATTGTTTTAGTGTGTTTGCATACAATGTTTGTTTTTTTTTTTTAAATTCCGTCAATGGATGCAAGAGAGGTTTTTTGGTGCATGTTCTGTAATGCTTGTTTGATTTTTATACACAAGTTATAAATTAAAATTCCGAATACTTACATACTGCTGACAATTCACCAAATTTACCAAGAAAAATATTAATAATCAAATATAATTTAAATGAAAAGATGCAAACATGTGAGAGAAATGAATTCGTGATGAAATTTTGCCCAATTACTGGAATAAACTGGCAAAGTAACTAACTACTGTCAGAATTTTACATTACACGTTAAGTATGTAAATTATTGAAAGTTTATGTTATTTGTTTTTTAGCAAATGAAAAGTGTAATGATTTTAACAGTACTTTGTTGTAATTTCATATTAGTGTTAATAGAATTCATGTTAATTTAACTTACGTAAGCAGTTATTTAATTCTATGTAAATTAAAATTATAAAAGAATTTGTTTTGCAAAGAGTTATTTAGTTAAGGAATTATGTGTAAATGAATTCATCAAGTTTTGTTATTTATGATTTTCAACTAAAGTATGTTAATAGTAACAGAAATTTCATTGGTTCCCAGCTATTAATTAATATTTGAAGCAAAATAATTTTACCACCTGCTCAATTGCCGAGTTTCATTTTCCAGGATATCGATTCCAAGAAGAATCTGATGCATTTGCTTCTTGATTCCTTTGAATGATTTTATATATCAACAAACTGAATTTCTGATGCTATTATATAGTATTTGAAAAAGTCCCGTTTAAATTTTTTTTTTAAATATATGTATAATTCAAAGAAGTCAACCTTTAGGTCTAATGTTATCTTGATGTGTCTATTCAAATAACTGAAGATATACTTTATCCAACTTTAAAGATGACTCAAGAAATTTGANACATACATACATAATTTTCATCTATGCGAGTTTTTATTAATTTTTTCAAATACTATACATCTCATCTCCAAAAAATCCATGTAATTTATTCACTTCAGATTTGGAGAATTTGACCAAAAGAAATTTTAAAAAGGTACATAATTATACATTATTATTTATATATTTAAATAAAATTTTAAAAAACTTGAATACAAACCTCTACAAATGAAATTGGAAATATTCCTGATCTTTCTCCAATTTTTCCTTCTGCCCAATTAGAATCAACTTTTCTCATAAATGTTACAGTTTCACCCTTAAAAATTATTAATTAAATAATATTAAAATTAAATTGTAATTACACAACAACTTATAAAATTAATACGGTACAACCCATCTAAAACAAAACCTGCTTATATGGAAAAATTCTTCAGAGTGATTTCTATGTTAAATTTTATAATAAGCTAAAAACCTAGCCTATGCAAAAATAGAACGAGTTTCTGGATATGAAGAACGTAATCTGAATAAAGTAAAAAATTAATTTTTACAAATATATAAAATTGCCTCCAGATATAATAGTCATTGCACAGCTTAACAAACTGTATTCGCAGAATTATTTTGAACCTTGTTGGATAAAGAAAGGTTAGGTAGCAAGGGGGACACAGATAGAATCTGCTGTTAGAATTAACCACAGGCAGAATCAACTACTTTTAAGAATTGTGAACTTTCAAGAGTAGAATGAGTTTCTGAGAATCAAGATTTCAAGAACAAGCAATGAATGTAATTCATGAAAACAATGAAAATAAGGAAAGTAACAGTGTTATCAATTTGCCCTGTATGGATTAGTTGATAATTAGGCTACAGAGATTGAAGTAAACAATTATAATCCTGAGATGCCAAATCACAGAATAACTTGGTCATTGTATTACTGTAATGTTATTAGAATTTCTGACAGCATATAAATACACTAGTTCTTGTACTCAAATAGGTTTATTCACTTTGAAGTTATAAAAATCTGAGAATTAACTTGTTTGTATACCTAGCACAAGTCTCAGTAGGCTTAAAATCAGCAACTTCATAAGAAAGATTGTATGTAGTCATTACAGAGATCTACAAAGTTCCCTTCCAGCCCTCATCCTGAAAAGGTTGATCATCACTGTTCTAGATTTTAGAATATTGATATCTTTATTGGTATTTAATATTTGATAGCAGTATATTGATCTGATATCAATATATCTCAGTATCAAGTTCAATGTGAATATAAAAATTTTGGTTTAGCACAGCCATAGTGAAAACTCTGTAAAAATAAGATAAGAAACGTCTGATGATTCACTTGATAGTGATGAAATGACATTCTGGGTTAATGTAATCAAAGTATATCTTAAATTATTATTTAGAGACATATGTTGGAGTCAGAGTCAGGCCTTCTATAATTCTAGGGTCAGAATCAGTGGAACTGCCTAAAATTCTGACTTGAAGTAAGAGTTGGGGGCTTAGTCTACAAACTCCAGTCCTGAGCAGTATGCATAGCATATATAATTAAAATATATATACAATATATTATTTATTTTTCAGTTGTAAAAATCTCATTTTAATTGAATCTCATTCACATGTCAAATTATGAAGGCGATTTGCTATCCACTTCAAGGGGCAGGAAATATATTCCAAATTGTTACATTTATAACATCACTTATGATGTAAGCGACTAATAAAAATTGATACAGGGATTTGTCTTTAGTTATCAAGTAGGTGTAACTTTTCAAACATTTTTGCTTTTCTCGGTAACTGATTTATTAAAAACTACACTTCAGCCACCACAAAGTTGTTAAAACAGTTAGGACAACAGCATTTGTTTGGTGAAAGTTTAAAGGTCGTGCTACAAAGGTGATTTGCCGATCAGTTTAAAGTGTGGGAAGATATTCAGTTTTCTTGCATTTATGATCTTAAGTTTCTTTTTCATTACTACTACACTACGGTTCTTGTCAAATGAATGAATAACTTCAGAAAAATTTATAGTTTTTTGGTATCATAAACTTAATTCCAACAATAAAAGAGATGTTTAATAAAATTATGTGTAATGATAAATGGTGATTGACAACTTAACCAGATTAAACTTCTCTAACAAATAAATAATATTGTTCAACTTTTTATAACCTGCCCTCCTCTCCTATTCCTATTTTAAGCCAGTCTTTATTCGATGCCTATGGTCAAAATTCATCATCTGAAAGAGTATTTTAACTGATTCTTTGCTTTTCTTTTAAAATATTTCATATATAATTAATTCATTTGGAATATCAAATGCAGGACATTGCGTTTTCAGTTATGGACAAAAACACCCGTTATTTAGATTGTCTGCTATTTAGAGATTAATATGATAGATGTCCTATTTGAAGGGTCTGGGGATTGTAAAAATGTCCGTTAAATAGAGGTATTCGCTATTCGGAAGTGTCCATTAATGGAGGTTTCACTGTATATACAATATATATATATGAAGGATTTCTACATTAGAATTGTCCTCCTTTTACAGTAGACTTTTACAGGTACTTGATTATATCCTGCTTTGTACATAAAAAAAATTCAATAAAACATTAAATTTAATTTTTTTAAAAACTATTTTACACTTTTTACTAACTACTAAATGCGAGATTATCATAAATTAAAATTCCTAGCTCAGTAATTAGCTTATAATCAGGACATAATCACACTTATAAAATAGAAAAGAATTAGTCAAACAGGCTACCATTGTGCAGGCATGACAATGTGCAAACGTACTTTGTGAAGTAGCTCTGTCCAGGGTAAAATATTTTAAATATAGATGGAAATAGGTGTTCTGTTGAACAATGAAAAATGTTGTACTCAGTGAGGTATTTGAAAAGTAATATGTAAAAATTATAAATTGATTTAAAATTTTAAAATCTTTACTTCTTTCACAAGTAATTTTTGTAAAACTAAAAAAGGAGAGATGAATAGCATTTATAAAAATAATTAGAGATTTTACTCAGTATGAATTTGATTCAAAATTCTAATGACCATGACATCAAAGTAACTAGCAAGTTATATACTGGTCAAACTGAATATTTAATGTGTTCTGGCTAATATATATAATACCACCAAGAATGTATAAACCTTTTAAATGACATAACAGTACACAAATATGCATAATTACATTAAAAAATCATATAATTTTATTTAAATTTCAATTTTAATTCAAATCACAATTGAAAATTCCATTCTAAAGTAATTTTCAAGATCCTTAATTTAATCTAAACTGCATTATTAATTACTGAATATTAAATTCAGTAACAGTCTTACCTTTAAAAATGTTAAACAGTCTTTATCATCCTTATTATTGGCATGGAAATCATACAGAGCTTTTCCCTGGGGAATGGGAAAATGAAGTGGTACAATGATCTGAATATGTGTAGCTGGAAGATAGCCCAATTTTCCATTTGTTTCTCCTTCATACCAATTCTGATCTATTCTTTTTCTCAGAACAATCATATCTCCTTTTTTAAAGGATAAATCACTATAGAAATAAAAATTTATCATATATAATTTACCATATAATTAGTAAAACAAAGTAAATGTATATTTTATGTATTTAAACTAATACATACATACATACATACAGTACAATATTTAGATTAATACATAAATAGTGTAAAACCTCTGGTTGAACCACCTTTACAAAAGATCAAACTTTTCATAAACAGGATTAAACATATAAAAACTGATCTAAAATTAACATTAGGTGTTAGATTGTTTAGTTATTTACACTATCACTTAAAAGGGTTTTTTGACAATTCAGCACATCTGCAATGTCCTTCTAACTCTGACAATTAACAGAGGTCAGGGATCATTCAGATGATGTGTATTAACAAATTCTTTTTATTGCATTTTCGATTGGTAACTTGCCGATCTCTCTTTGGTAAATAGATGTAATCTACAACAAGAATTACACTCTCCTGTTTGACAATCAATTACCCATTACATAGTAATATTGACAAATACCATTATAATATGTAACTGCTAAATAGTAGGTGATTATCAAACAGGAGGGTGTAATTCTTGTTGTAGATTACATCTATTTACCGAAGAGAGATCGGCAAGTTACTAATCGAAAACGCATGTAATAAAAAGAATTTGTTAATACACATCATCTGAATGATCCCTGGCCTCTGTTAACTGTCAGAGTTAAAAGGACCTTGCAGACATGCTGAACTGTCAAAAAACCCTTTTAAATCACTGTGTAAATAAGAATTAAACATATATATTTTCTTTAAAATTAAAACATCTCTAACATGTCCAGTTAATCAAAGAAAATTTTCTGGCTGCAACCACTTACAACTTATCAGTTTGAGGATTCCATATTGTATGCAAAGCATTAAAGCTTAAAGGCTGGTTCTTACTATAACAGAATAACATTGCAGTGAATTGCAAAGTTTTAATGCAGGAAAAGGGACTTCTTATGAGTTATGTGGCGTTCAACTTTAACAATGACGACAAATGAAAAAATATCCATCAATGCAAAAGCATCATCTACATTGCTGTCATTGAAGTTGCTCTTAAAGTGTTACATAAATACCCTGAAACCTTGGCTGTAGACCATAGCCTATACACAGTTATAACTTATTCGTAAAATTCATTCAACTGTCAAAGACACTTAAAAATCTATGCTGTTCCTTTCCTATGGGTTTTATTCTGGAGCTGAACCCCAAAACCTTAATTATAAGTTGTGGCCTGTATATAAGAGCATCTTATCCACAAAAAATTCAATATTCCTGCACAAGTTTTGCTTCTGAGAATTATACACGAGGACAGTCTATAATCAAGATTTTAGTATAATTTAAATTGATTATTTTTATCATATTTTTCATTTATTCATTTTTATTTTATACATCAATAAAAGAAAGAAAAAACGGTTTATTAAAAGTGCTTACAGAAACAAGAAAGAAATAATATATGGAAAATTATACTGAAAGCAAACTTAAGTACTGTAATATTTCTCAAATTCTGGCAAATTATTTGTATAATAAAAATTCTAACAAACTAAAATTCCTCTTTCATTTTCCAGCCAATACAGATAATAAGCACATAATTATAGAAGCTGATGTACTGTACATACTTCAATTGAATGCTCTAAATCCAAACCTATGTTGTAACCAAAATGTTTGACCAATAGTGATGGATGACACATCATGCATTGCATTCCCTTATTGCAAAACTTCTATTGAAATAACTCGTCATCTGAAATTACTGAACATTGTAAGAGGCTATTTTTTGAACATGCACTTGATAATATGATTACTTAATGTTAACAACATAAATCAAGTAATTTGTTTCAATAATTGACTAAATGAAATAATAAATCTTTAACCCTTTGTAATATATCCATAACTGCCTGTGGATGCCATGCAACTAAAAGTGTTGTAAAAATTTGCAGTGGGTGTGGCTTTGCAACTGTTGTACATAATATGTACAATTCAACACAACAGCAATTATAATAAATATATCTTTACAAAAATTCTATTCTTTATATTCTTTGCTCTTTCTTAATCTTTGCACAAATTTCGATTCATTTTGAATGGACCGATGCATTTATTTTTGAAAACGAAATTTTTCTCACGTGTATCGTCACATTGCTTCGTCACCACTAAAGCATGAGAAAATTTAATTCTTCCAAATTTGCAATAACTAAAATTTTTCTTTATTTCATAATTGTTCCATTCAATTATCATGACAAATGCCTTTATTTGGTAATACTATTACATGTTTTTAAGTTATAAAGCTTTAAATTTATGAATTTGACATCATTATGCAACTTGCCGAATTTTTTATGATCTCTTATTATTTGCGATTCCTTCATTTCTCATATAGACAATCAGCCACAAACTATGTTGCAAAAAAAAAAAAATAATAATAATAATAATAATAATAATAAAATTATGGTAATCCAATCTGACAAAAACTAACTGTTTAATCTTAAAACATTTTTCTAAGTAGGACAAAACAATAACTTTGTAACTTGATTGATTTCTAACCAAGGAAGTGATTTTTATTGGGGTAATAAAACACTTTATGGTTTGTTTACTTTACAAATGGGTGGGACTCGCCACTCTCTTTTCACCCTCCCCAAAAGTAATAAAGTTTTACTATCCAGACCTTGAAAGAAACCTATCGATCTTCAATTACAAAACACACCTGATGTCAGTCAGTGGAACAGCGAGTTGAAATTTGATGCATTTAATTTTCTGCATTTTTGGATCAAATTACATTTAAACAATTACCAAAAGTGAATTTTTTTCAACCCACAAGTATTTTATATTGTTAGACAGTACACAAAATTCAGAATTTGAAGATTTAGTCATAGTTTTTGATGCAATTTTACAATTTGAATATAACATTTTAGTAGCCTGTCATCTCCGATATGCAAGCAATACTGTTCATTGAGTAAACATGAGCAACTAAAGGTTAAAATGTCTCAAGATTAAATTTTTCTAATAAACATTTGATTTTTAAGTCTCTTTCCTATTTTATTTTACATAAGAACTATTATTATAATTTCATAACAGTTTTTAAAGCTTAGTTATTGTTGTAAATCAGGATTATCTATGGCCAGGCTACTTTTCATCCAGAATGCACCAGACCGGCAGATAGTAAAAAGTTCTATATGCTGTTTATGCTGAGAATATTAGAATTTTTATAAACTATATACCGAGAATACTCCTGTTTACCTTATATAATTTATACTGAGAATTTAGTGTATAGAACTTTTTTACTGAGAAATTGCTATTACATAGTACCAGCAGTTTTTCAGTAAAAATTTCTATATGTTCAATCATCATATATGTGTTACAGTAGTAATTTCTTTTAGAAAAAGAGCACTGCCTATGAATGAAATTTAATTAAATAGAATTAACTTAAAACTAAAATTTTCAATCATTACATCGACTTTAATTAAAAAACAATAATAAATAAATCTACTTTACTTACCCTAATCTTTTAGCTTCATATGGATATAATGCTTTTGCACAAGGAAGAGGTTGAATAACCTACATAATGCAATATGATTTTAAAATTTTCATGTGACATGTTTTATAAATATAAATAAACAATACATTATTAACACTTTTATCTTAATTTACTATTGTACTCATTCATAATATTCTGAAAAACAAATTATACAAACTGCACGTAATGAAAATGATACGAGTCAAATTCTAACATTTATTTATTCATTCATAAATTTACAGTTCTAACCATCCCAAAGCCTGATACCTTGATACACAACCAAATGATTGCCTTATCGGGCTATAAATATGCTATTATTAATGATTGGATACTAAATAACTTGATATTAGAGGTAGATGTTAGGTGCCGTCACTTATCTAAATTAATAATTATAATTTTTAATAATTTATTAAATCATTTAGAACCCCCTGGAAGAAAAGATCTAGCCTGAAGCAGGACGTGAACCCACAACCTCCACTACAGTGTGATGCACTTGCTAGTTGTGACGCCCAGCCCTCTGAGCAATTCTTTGCTTAAATGGTTATAAATTAAATGGTTATATGTAAAGTTTAAATATGTATTTAAACTTTACATATAACCATTTAATTATATTATTTAATAAATTATAATTATTAATTTAGGTAAGAGATGGCACCTAACACCTCCCTCTGATATAAAATTACTTAGTATCTAATCATTAATAATAACGTTTTTATAGCCTGATTAATTAAGGCAATCATTTGGTTGAATTTACAGTTTGAATATTTATGTATATGAATAGTCAATTTATGTTAATACTTAGATTATTTTACATTTTCAAGTTTATTAAGATAAGCATGTTTGCTTGTTAGAGAGTAAGTGTAACTTAAGATTAAAGTAGTTTTTTTTAACGGGAAGCTTACAATTTTAAAAATATTCAACTACAATACATTATCTTGTTAACAATAAATAAATAAATAAATTCTATTGAAATTCTTAATAAATATATAAAATTTATTAAGAACGTCAACTATTTTTTTTATTCACTTTTTCAATAATTTTGTATTTTTGTCAATTAATACACGATGTTGAAAGTATTCAATGATATACAGAACTTTAAAGTTAAGAAATATTCCTCCTAACTCCAAAGTTTTCTATAAAAGACACAAAGAAAAAAATAGAATATAAATAAAGGAAAAAACAAGTTCTGAAACACAGAGAAGGGAAAAAAAAGTTGTACAGAAACTGTAAGAAATTTCGATTTTTTTGAAATGTGAAACTAAATTCTAAACATTGTTCTAAGTTAGAAAGCGTTAAAGTTTCGGCAAAAGCATTTCTCATGATAATGTCAGAATTCATAAATGAATTTTTTTCTAATATAATATTAGTAAAATCTGTATTGTTACTGCAAGTTTATATAATTATGTAAATATTGTTACTTCTACTATTAATTAAGGGTAGAAGTGACAATTACAGAATACAATAACCGGTACTTTTCGTATTCATTCAAATAGTATTAAAGCGTTTAATAAAAATCACCTGTTTTATATGGGCCCTTAAATCTGATGATGCAGAATGCTGTAACTGATTAGTAGGAAGTGATGTCTTTGGTCCTTGAAATATCATTGCTTCGGTCTTAGTATGTGTGCTATTAGCAGATGATACATTTTTATTTAATGCAGCAGTGCTCTTAATGCCCTCTAATAATCGTATTAGCAATATGTTACATGGAAGATCTTCAACTTTCGTTTCGACAAGAATCCTACATTCGGGACATCTTAGTTCCTTGTGGCAACTTACAATATCTTCTAGACATCGTTTGCAGAAAGTATGTTGACAAGGTAAAACTTTACTAGTACTGTCAAGCTGTTCAAGACAAACTGAACATTCCAATAAATCATTTAGAAAAGCTTCATCCATTCTTGATAATCTGGATTTGAAGATTTTTGGCAGCTTTTAGCAATATTTTAAGCACATATATTCCTANCCTGTTTAAATTTATTATTTACGTAAAATAAGTAATCCACTTTTAGTTATAGTTAGAGCTTTTTATGGCTCTCAGTTATAAGAGCTGTATACATCTAACGCAGTAATTATAAAATTTACGTACAAAAATATAAGAGGTACTCGAGAAACAACTAATGGGCTAATGGGGTACATCAACAAAAAAGGTTGAGAACCACTGATTTAGTGCATACCCGACATAGTATATGTCGAAAAAGATTGCCATAAAACTTTTTGAAATAATTACTCACATCTCCCACACATTCAAATGGCTGTAGCAATTTTTAAAGCTTTGTGTCCATTGACACTTTTGATCAGATAGTCAAAAAGTATAGCATATTAAAATTTTAGCCAATTTCACTGAGGGTCAAAGCCATAAGAATTGTGAAGAATCCTTTAAGGATGTAAAAACTGTAGATTGATGGCATTTCTTGTACACATTTTAACTTTAAAGCTATACGTCAACCAAAGCCGAATATTATTGGGCCAGAAAAGCTATTTCTGGCCCGATAATATTTGGCTTTGGTTGACGTATAAGCTTTAGAACATATCGGGTCTAGTAAGGATGTTTGATCATTTTAACTTTTCTAAGAAAAATCACTATTATAATGCAAGATTTGACAATCACAAATACGTAAATGACTTCACACATTTAAAAACCCTATTTTCTGATTTGATGCTCTATATTTGTCGTCAATAATTCAGAGAAATATTCTTTCTGCAGCAATTGAAATGCCAAACTTAGTAAGGTTGAAAATTAGAAAACATTAATAAATAATTTGTTTATTTTAAAAAAATATATTTTTTATCAATCAGTTAACTAAAAACTAATTTTAATTTTTAATAACATCTGTCATTTTAAATTTATTTACTTTTTCGGAGAACTTAAAAAAAGGCTCAATTTCTCTTTTCATCCGTCAATACACTTAACTGCATTTCGTTTTTGTATATTTTGTTTTGCTGAATGAATAAATCATTTGCTTTGATTGATTGATTATGTAAGACGAGAGAGATTGTTTTGAACAAATTTAAATTATACCAAAGTCTTGAAAAGTATGTTCAATTATTAAGTTTTTTAAATCATCTCTTACCTAGGAAAAATATATGTAAAGGTTGCACAGTAAAAGTTAATGAGCACTCAATGCCATCATACCCTTAAACAAAGAGTGCCAAACAAAAAAAAAATGCTAGCAAGGGCTCTTGATTGACTTTCCCAGTACAGTTAAGGAGATCATTAGAAAGTTTGACAATTTTCAATTATACTTATACAATGATATCTGTGCACTTACCAATGTGAAGTAGCTGATGTAACATCACCAGTATTAGAAATTAATACAATAGGAAGCACTTTCAGTGAAGTAAAACAAGAAGCAGAAACTTAAAACTAATACCTCGCATTCCGAAACAGAACATATTGTTTAAATCGCTTTAAACTGGAACTGAGCTTTTGCTGCTAAGTATTGGAACTGTTTGTTAAGATCCCTCCGACAGATAACATTCTAATAAAATTGATCTTTTTTTTACATTTGACAAATTAAATTTATCCCCAGAATTTAATAATAATCATATAGCAACCAAAATTAGACAGACTACAGTAATTTTTGCCATTTGAAACATCAGGTACGGATGGCAAAAAGTAGGAATCCTCTTTCAATAATTTGTCAACAGTCAACAAAACAAATGGTGCATTTTCTAATTTTTTCTTTTATTTTATCGCACATTATAAAACTTAGATATAAATAAATGTTAATATGAGTAAAAGTCATATTCGGTTTGTAAGACATTCGCTTTAGTGCAAGGCTTTTGATATCCTGCAGGATCAAAACATAGTCCAGATTCCACATACGAATGCAAATTCCCATTTTTATATATCTGCCAACATTCAAAACAGTATAAATAAAAAAAAAAAAACCACATTAGAATTATTTCCATAGGTACAGTACATGTGCTACATCAACATATTATTTTGTACGTGTATCATTGTACAAAGATTTATCTATATCTTTTGATCCTTGAGTGATAGGAAAATTTTATTACTATCTTCTTTAACTGGATGTTTTCTTAAAAACTCCAGCAGTTTATAACACTAATTTTTATTGTCTAAATAATAATATTTATTTTTATTTAGACAGTAAAGGTTAATGTTATAAACTGCTAAATTTTTGGTTTTTTGAGTGTGTTTAAGAGTGTATATTAGTTAGGTGCCATCTCTTATTAATATTAATAAGAGATGGCGCCTAACGCTTACCTCTAGTGCCAAATTGATTACATAATTTATTTAATAATTAGCACTAAACGAGCCCGATAGATTTTCGGCAGTCTGTTGGTATGTAGCTGTATTTAAGAGAATTTGAAGGCGATTTTTGAAATCAGGAAAATTTTTTTTTTATGAGAATTAAATATTTTAATGCCAAAAACCTAAAAAATTTCTGTTTGGTTAGGAAGTGCAACTATTACCGAAATATTTAATACTTATTTAATTATCTCAAACTTCCAATTGGTGGAGACTTATCAAACTGTATTGGAGCATCAGAACAATTGAGATCACATCATTAAAGGGCTAATTTTATTCGTGGAATGCATTTCGACCATACATAGACCCTCTTCGGCCACTTTTATATTGATACCTACAATATTGCACACCTACATTACATTTAATTGTTTATTTTGTTTGTTTTGTTAAGGTAAAACAATGCAACACTTGTGCAATCTGCCTAGGGGGATGCCTTCCAGGAGGTCTTTTTAAGGGTAACTGGCCCCTATTCAGGCATTACAGACGTGGAGAAAACCTAGAAAACTCCAAGTGGCCAGCCCGTCCTGGCCAGGCGCAAACCCACAACCGAACTCCCAGTGTTCATGGAACGGAACCACTTGGCCACTGGTGTGCCAATATTACATTTAAAGTTGGATGTTAAATATGTATGACTGAAATACATTCCACAAATAATATTAGTCTTTTAATGATGTGATCTCAATTATTTTGTTGCTTCAATACAACTTGATAAGCCTGCTATATCTCCAACAATTAGAAGTTCAAGATAATTAAGTAATTTATTGGAGGCAAAAAGCTTATAATTAAGTAACTATACTCATTTATATTTTATACTCAAATATCATACTTAATTAAAATATAAAAGATTTAATTTTTAAAGACCTTAGATACTAAAGAACATTTTTCTGATTAGTATATTACAGATTTATATATATATATATATATTTTTAGTTGATCCAAAGTGAAAATTTCCTTTTCGAAAACTTTAAAACATTCCTAAAAAAGTGGATTCAACATTTTAAATAAATAATTTTTGAATTTGAACAAAATCTTTAAATCGAATAAAACCAAACTTAGAAACGGTTTTAAAATATTTCCAATCCATAAATTATAAACGATTTTAATTTAAATATGGAAGCAATTACTCGTAAAAGATATTATTACAATAATGCTTCCTATCTTTTTCCTCCCAAACTAAAATTTTATAGGGGGGAAAAAAAACAAATTCACAACAAGATTATTTGAAAAGCCATTTGCTGAATTTTAAATTAGTATAAAAAATTGATACTCTCAAATATTTTGACATTAATAAATAACAATTTACTTTGCAGCAGAAAAACTGAATAATATATTACAATCGTTTCATATCCTATCTTATTTAAATTTTAAACTAAAAAAAAATATATACATATTCTGTAATCATTCAAATAAATAAAATATATTTAAAAATTAAAATAATATTATACTTAAAGCCATTTAAAATTAATCAACAACAAGCTAGCAACTCAAAACAACTAAATAAGTAATAAGCAATTGAAAAGTGCAAAAGTTGCAAAAATAAAAAAAAAAAACNGAATAGAATAGTTTTAGATTTTTTCCTGCTAATAACATTAAGATGCTACACATCAGACATCATGAACAAAACTTTTTCTGAAGATATACTTTCTGGCAAAAAAAAAAATGAAGAAAAATCTTCTTGAATAAATCAAGTGATTGTAATATTATTTGTTTCATCTAGCTTTTTACAATAAATGATACAGGAAAAATTTAGTTGATCTGCAAGAACATCTATCAATAAGTAAGAAATATAACAAGTTAACAACAACAAAATAAATATTATTGCTCACTATTTGTTTCTGAATTATTTCTATATATCATTTTTGTATTAAACTTTTAGGAGGCACAACGTTTACAGGTTTACATTTTTTTTTAAAAATCTTTTATGATAGCATTATTTATTTTATTCAAATAAAATAAATAAAATTGTAGAAATAAGTATATCACAGAAATCCTTGTTAAATCTTGTTCAGTTTCTTTTTATGTTGTCAGTAGACACTGTAACAAGGACTGTTTCAAAGTAGAAGCGTGCTTCAATTTTTTGCATTTCCTACATAAAAAGATGCTTTTGCATCTGCATCTACAAGTATTTTCTTTCATATGACATCTATTTTAATAATTTTTATAGTAATAGTAATAAAAAAAAGTTTCAAAACAATAAAAAATAAGAAAATAGGCCTGCTTTTCCCAAAAGAAAGAGAATACCTCTATTTACTCTTTTACTGCAAGTCAACAAAATATTTTATCACCATTGAAAACTAATTCAGAGTATGGTTTTATCCATGTGTTTACTTTAAACATAATCTTCAATTAATTGTATATAAAGGATAATACCAGAAATGTATGAGACTTTTTCTTTGTTTCATCTGAACACTAAGATGCAATCAATTACCAAAGTAAAAACAAAAAACTGTTAACTGTACGAAGAAAAATGATTCAATTTTCCAATATATCTACAAAATAACTTTATACAGTATTTTTAAAAAAGAATAGTATTCTTTAATGAAGATTTTTTTTGATAAAAAAAAATCTAATAATATTTTAATATAATAAATATAAATAAATGTTTACAGTAATATAAATAAATATATTTTTATTTTTTAATGTTTTTCAATATTTTTTCAATAAACTTTTCCTTTTATGACACCAA